AGCTCGCTTAATCTCTCAGCAGCCCTATGAGCCGTTACCCCACCCCCGCTGTACAAATGAGGAAACGGAGCTTAAAAGCCCAGTAAATGAATCCTACAAAGAAAACGGCAGAACCAGAGTCCAAAGCAAGAGTTCCAAAGCTACAGGCCCTTACCCTTAAGCCTACTCATCTGCAAGAGCCAGAGAGAGACGTGGACATGTGACATGGCTACTTCCAATTCTCCCAAGCGAGAATTGCTCTTACATTTTACCAGAGTGGGCAGGGGGAGCCCTTCTGAAAGCAAAAAGTCAGGTCACAACCCACAAAGTATAAGTAAAAGCACTGTAGTTTCATGTTTTTTGCTCAATTCTGCACAAAACTAGCTAAAATTCTGCTAAACTGGTTACCAAGCAGAAGCTATTTCAGGGTGAATATAAGCACTGAAACCTATGCAGACTATGCAATACGGCAATGGCTTCTGACTGAGTCAGTTATTTCTACTCTGGCTCAGCTTACCTCGGGCGTCTGCTGTATTACAATAACATGGCTATTGACATCGGTCATTGCTGTGAGGCAGCTCTCAGGGGAGAGTCTTCCACAGTCGCTCCTCTTATACACACACAGCATACTCTGGAATTACCCTGGGCCTCCGTCGTGGGCATTCTGATGTTCATAATACGAAGCTCTGTTACCTGTTAGAACTACAATAGATGACAGCTGCTGAATGCTTGAGTAGGTAGATTAGTGGGGTAATCGTCATATTGACCCGAGAACAAGAGATCTTATTTACCACGACGAGGAGAGCTAAAGTGTGCATCATTAACAACCTTCTTCTCAACCTTCATCCCAATGGGCTGCCCCAGGATGAGCCAGAGGGTAGGGCACAGCCTTCCCTTAGATCCGTGTGTCTTGAGAAAACTCGTGAGATCCTTCCACAGAGTTTCTGAATCTCACCCCCTGCTGGGATGGGAGACTGGGGCACCTCAGAAGAGCATGGTCCGATGGGGAATGAGAGTCTCACAAGGAAGACATTCCAAGTGTCCTCACACGTATGATCTTGAGTGATGGCCTCCAGCGGTCAGAGTGTCTGTGATGCTGGTGAGGGTTTTGGTGCTCCAGGTATACACCAGGAATAGGGCTTTGAAAAAAACCAAGTTCCCACCCCCAGAGCCTATATTCATTGGAGGAAGATAAGCACGGTGGCCATCTAGTGCTCTGAAGAGCATGATGCTGAGGGGAGGTTGCAGGGACTGGGCGTCCTCGGTGGATGGGAAAGTCACTCTCTGAGGAGGTGACATTTGGGCAGAGACCTGAGAATGAGGCTAATCGCAAAGAATCGGGGCTGACCATTTCAGACACCCAGGGGATTCATTGATGAAGATGTTTCTGCCTGGAAATCAGAAATTTGGCTAACTGCACTCATTCCCTAGAGCGACAGTTCTCCCCGAGAGCAAATTACATCATGTTTTTGGCTCATTTTGAGAATCAATGTAAAATCATCACATCTTTTCATCTTCTAGGAAAGTATTTTTCAAGATCTTTTTCGCACTTAATGCCATGAACCTTTTTGTCTTCAGACAATGATTCCATGACGCTGTTTCTCTTCCTGCCTAAAAACGCTGTTGTTAGGAGGGCTCAGGAGTGAATTTTATCTACTGGGAATTAAACTACTCCCCTACTCTCAACACCTTTCACATTTCTCTTATGACTTCAACAGCCTTTTTATTTAGCTTGTCTTGTCAATATTTGGCATAGGCAAAATTTTACATTCAGCATAAAGACAGTGCATAAAGTTGACCCTCTAAAAGTTCATGTCCACAGAAGAACTAAGATGTTGATAGCATCCTATTCCTGCAGCATCCACAGATCCAATATCTGGGTGGTTGATGAGGAAAATAAGACATTTGGGGTGGGGATGGGGGAGGGGAAGGTGTGAGGGGCCTGCCAGCAGCCTGACTCTGTATCCCCAATGCACATTCCTGTTAGTCTACTGCCCCTTCCTTAATATCTGGTCTGGCAAGACCTGTTTACCTAATCACATGTGTCAAACACAAGGCCCGCGGGCCAAATCCGTCCCGCCAGGCCTTGCAATGTGGCCCGCACCGCGCTGTCATCACTGCACTCCGCTGCGTTTCCATCACAATGACAGTTTATGACTGTTCAGTAAACCATTCGGCCCGCGATTTAGGCTGGATTTTAGATTTTGGCCCCTTCTCTGATTGAGTTCGACACCCCTAACCTAAATACTCCCGTTTTACAGAGGCCATACACCATGAACAATACGCAGCGCCCAGAGGGGGTTATCAGTGCTGGTGCCAGGCCAGGCCATTAGGTATTTAGGTGTGGTCTCAGGGCCCCATCCCAACACACATGGCTTTTTGCAAAGCCCTCGAAAGGTCCGGATGTCTAATCCATATATGGGGGACAAAGAAAGCAGAGGGTATAAAGAGAAAGCTTCCTCCATGTTGGTTGACTCAGGATTTGGAGCAGTGACCCCCTGAGTCACTGCACGAGTACATGTGAAATGTCTGAAAATAAATGTTTTGTTTTCCCTGTATCTCCAGGTACTTCTGGGTATTTTTTTATTAAATTATTATCTGTGCAAATATACCATTGTCCTGTGTGTTTTTTGATCACCTTCATCCAGCAGAAGGGCCAGGCTGACAGGACTCCCATCCACCACTGCCCACTGTGCTGGTCTGGGTCCTTCCGTGGCACCTTCTGCTCTCAGTGCCCCCAGGGGCCAGCAGGCCTGGCGGTGTTCCTTAGCAAACAGGAACTGAAATGACTTAAATGTGAGCCTCTCTCTGCTAGGAAGTAATTAGACAGGCAGTCAAAACAGTGACAGGGGCCTGGGGGGTTGGGGGGAGGTAGCTAATTCCTGAATTATAAACGGGAATAAAAGGGTTCAAGGGCCGAAACCGGTTTGGCTCAGTGGATAGAGCATCAGCCTGCAGACTGAAAGGTCCCAGGTTCGATTCTGGCCAAGGGCAGGTACCTTGGTTGCAGACACATCCCCAGTGGGGGGTGTGCAGGAGGCAGCTGATCCATGTTTCTGACTATCTCTCTCCCTTCCTCTCTGTAAAAAAAAAAAAAAAAAAAAAAAAAAAATCAAATAAATTAAAAAAATAAAAAATAAAAGGATACAAGGGTTTAGCTACTCTGACTGTTTAGTGCGTGCACGCGGAGGTTTGAAATGCAGACAGGTGTTTTCATTGTTCTGTCTTGGTGGGGATGCCTGTGGGGGCAGGGTTTAGGACAGAGCTGGAGTTCCTGGATGACAGCATAGTTTACCCAGAAGGAACCGAATTAGAAATTTAAAATTCTGGATTCTCATGCCAGCTCTGTCATTTATGAACAGTTATGATATTTTGTCATTATGAGCCTGAATGTCCTCATCTGTAAAGTAAACACAATTCCTCACGTATACTGAGATACAGGTAAGAATTAAACAAGATCATCCATGTAAAGCGCTTTATAATCACACAAATAGAGACACACCTGGTGCAGAACTGCACCACACCAGGCTGGGGGTTAAATCAAGTTTTCACCTCTCCGGGCCTCGGTTTCCCATCTGAGAGTTGTTAAAGTCGTTATCTATTACTTCTTACAGGTTAAAGTATGTTATGTAATTTACTCTCTCTAATTTAGTATCTCACTCAGAGCAAGCACACAATGAACATTAGTTGCTATTGTTATAATGATTGCCTGAAAGAAACTGAGGAAAAAGGTATGCAGCTGAAGTCCCTGAGAGCAGGTGCTTCTGAAGTCAGGTTTATATGTCTTTGGAGACATACAAAGGCCCCAAAGTTGTTACAAAACTTTCACATTGTGTTTTAAAAATTTTGTTTTGAGAGAGAGAGACAGAGAGGGGGCGGGGGGGGGGGGGGGAAGAGATCATGTTCCAATCCTCACCGGACAGGAGTAGGAATGGTGTCACCAGTTAGCACCTGCCCTGACCTCCAGCAATGCTAATGCAAAGGCAGAGCAAGAACACAGGTGGGCGAGGCCTGAATGCGGAGACCCCTCTGCCCTGTCTTAGTCACCGCTGCCTCTGGCTCAGAGGCCACAGTCTTGTGGGAAGAATGAGTCAAGCAGACCTGGGTAGACTCCTGGGCCCGGCCCCAATTAGGTGACCTTGGCCTCTCTGTGCCTCTTTATTTACAAAATGGGCTAATAATAGCCACCTCTATTGTCAGCGGTCAAGATGAAAGGAGAAAGAGTATAGGAGCCCTTGGCGCTGAGCCTGACACGGATGATGAATCCGTCCACATCTGCTGCTGACTGGGCTGGGAATGGGCCAGGGCATCGCTCCTTCCCCAGCTCTCCTCCCTCCTTCAGGGCCCCGGCCTCCAGCCCTGCCTGCCTCCCCCCTAACTTAATGAAGACAAACAGAGTTCATTCATAGCTTCAGGGGAGACTGCTGAGGGAGGGAAGCCAATAGTTTTCCAACCCAGGGGACAGAGAAAGAACTGTCCTTTCCCCGCTGCCCCCCTCCTCTTCCCCAACCCCCCCCCCCCTCTCCTCAAATGTCTTTTGCTTTCTTCCTCCTCCGAGTTCAAGGGCCTTTCTGGAACCCAAGGAGCAAGATCTGAGTGTTCTAAGAGGCACTGCGTTAGCTTCAACACTTCATTGGCAACCAGGAGGACAAGAGGCATGTGCCAGCTGGTGGTGGTGGAGCCTGCGTGGGCAGAGGCCACAGGGGTCAGGGCCAGGCCCAGGCTCCTTCCCGCAGCCTGGAGCATGCACGGGCATTGGTGCTGGCACAGAACCTACCGGACCATGGTAATAGGACCTCCAAGGCAGCAACACCAAAACCCACCTACATAAGCATCTTCTCCTGCTGTTGTTTTTTAAGATTGACCTTAAGGAACAACAATAAGGGTAATTCTGTTGACTTGTTAGTTCGCAAAGCATCTCTCTCCCCACCCTTGCTTGGGCCTCTCTCCCATTCAGCTAATGTGGCAGGAGCTGCGAGAACAAAGGAACCTCAGCCCTGTGTGAATTGGGTAAACTTTATTGAGCACCAACGGACAGACGTCAGGTTTCCTCTGCGGGTCAGGAAGGACTCTGGGCGCCAGGAAGGAAGGGAAGGGAAGCTCTGGAAAGGTTTGGGGTGGAGGTGGAAGTTCAAAGGGAAATGATTTAATGACAAGATGAAGAGCCCCTTCTGAAAGCCTTCAGGTGGGGAAAGGAGCCCGGGGCCCAGGGAGGGAGATGCAGAGAAAAGGCGGAGAAGCCCAGAGTGAAGATTTGCTCTGGGGAAGTGGGGAGTGAGGATTTCTCTCCTGTTGCCCAGCGCGGGGCAGGGGGGCCTGGGAGCCCCTGGAAGAGAGGGCAGCACAGCAGGACTCCACGGAGGGGCCTGAGCTTTGGAGTCGGAGCCTAACTCACTAGCCAAGTCTTCCCCCACGTGCCACTCCTGATCATGTGGCTTTGCCCTGCTTCCCTTTCCTCAAATGGAACTGATAATGCCCACGGCCTGGGACTGTTTGGAGGACAGTGTGAAACTAAAAATATGAAAATTCCCAGCACAGCACATTGGACACACACAAATTGCAGTTCCTATCTAAGCACCCAAAGTGACTTATTCCCACCCCTGAGCTGGGCCCAGGCCAGCTGCTGCTTTTCAGTGCTCCCCAGAGAAATCAGGGAGCCGCTCCAGCTCTGCTCCCCCCCGGGAGGTGACCTCATCCTCATCGGGGACTGCTGCAGTCAGAGGCTGAGGGGCAGCTGCCTCTCCCCACGGCGGCCGGCCGGGGGGTGCCCATGCAATGTGGGGAGGCCTGCAGCTGTGCGGAGTGCAGCCAGGCCCGCGCTGGAGGCCTCCTGCCAGGAAGCTGTCACCTTCTCCTGACTTTCCAGAGGCCTCCTCTCAGCTGGCACCTTGGGAGCCCAGCCAGTAGGGAGTCTGTGGCTTTCGGGGTTGTCTGAAAGTGAGGACAGCATCTCCTAACCCATTCACAGAATCCAGAAGGCAACCCAAACTGGCCACAATTGCTATTTATAACCCATTCTTACTGCTTGAACTTGAAAAAAAATATCGAAAGTCAAGAGCATGGCAAGAAAAATGACAATGGATCTAAAAGCCAATCAAAGGCTAGACACACCCTTCCCCACATCACACTCTCCTTTCTAACCCTCCTCCCCCAACAAATAGAGTAACACACACACACACACATATACATATGTGTACACACACTCTCACATGAACATCTATACATACACAGGCTAGAGGCCCTTACGGAAAACTTTGATATTATCCAACATTTTCCAGTTTCTTCTCTAAAATGCCACTGGCAAATGTAGAGAAGTTGATGAAGTTTGTACATACAAAATAACATTTTAGCAAATGTGCCTATCACCTGACCCCCCCCACCCCCCGCCAATGGCAAGATATTTCTCAGTTACAAAAATACTAATCAGAAATAAAGTTAGATCCCGTCTATGCACAAAAACATAAAAAATAAGTTGCAGGTATGTTAAAGAGCTATAGATAAATAGTTACAGAAACATATATTTAAACCTAAACATTTAGATAGCCTTGGAACAGGGAAAAATTAGGCAAAGTGAAAAAAAAAAACACATATAAGCCATAAAAAAGGAGATATTTGATCATATAAAATGCAAAACTTAAAAGAGGAAAAGATCTCATGCTCAAAGTCAAATATAAAATATAAGAATGGCAACAAAACAATAGATTGGGAGCAAATATTTGTATCACATATCATGTACTAAGAACCCTCCCAAATTATTAATGACGATAAATAAGCAATAGAGAAATGACAAAGAACATAAAATGGCAAGTTATAAAAAAAAACCCAAAACGAACAACAGTAACGTAAAATTTTTAAAGCCGCGCCATCTCAAATAGTTCATAGAAAAATTAAAATTAACACAACGACATACCTATTTCCTATCCATTAAAACAGTTCAAAAGATTGGTAATATCCAGCAGCTGGTTCTGGCCCATAATGTTAGGGCAAGTGTGAATAATTACAAACTTTGTAAAAGTCATCATATTTATTCAGCTTTAACACGTACACACTCTCTAATGCAGGAATTCCATTTCTGTGAATTACTAGGACTAATTAAAATATCAGTGTAAAAAGCTAGTGAGTTGTCTGTGATGTCTGTTAAGGCACTGTAATTAAAAAGAAACTGAAGACAACCTAAATATCATTCACCAGGTGATTCATTACACAAAGGATGCTGTGGCGCATCGTTGACCTTCTGCATCCTCTACTTGTTCACACGTGGGTCGCAGGGCAAGTCTGCACTTCCGTTTCCTCGTCTGTAGGATGAAGGTAATAACGGCCCTCACGTTACAGGTTTATGTGTGCTAACTTGGGAGGGCTTTGGCTATGTGTCCCAAGTTTAAAAAAAAAAAAAAGCAATTTGTAGAATTAAAGAGGGTCTTTAAAAATGCATGCATGACTACATTTATTTGCATGAAAAGGAAGAAGTGGACTCTACATAAAATTGTGAACACCTCGACTGCCTTTGTAGTTTGTTGCTAAAAAAGGAAAAAGTCACCAACAGAAAAAAAACACAGGAGCCATAAACATTGAGAAACAAATACAAATGCTTACTCATTAGAGGAGGGGACTATTCAGCCTAAAGCTTACCTCTCCTGAGAGCCTCCTTAATGCAAAGCTCCTTGGTGATGCCACGTACCATCAAATCAGCCAAGCTGAGGGCGCTGTGGTCACCCCCTCCGATGAGGCACAGGGAAGGTGTGTGGGTGCATGTGGGGTGACTTGGGGGTAGGGAGGAGGGGCTGATGCTCTGGTGAAGAAATAAATACCTTTGCAGGGATTTGAGGTAGACTAGGGTTCTGATCCTGCCCCTGGCACTTTACTACACAATCAAAATAGTCTGGTTTCCTTTTGGAATCATTCTCTTCACTTGAGAAATGAGTGAGTGACGGGATCCAGAGAGGTCATATTCCCAGGAGGCCTAGCACAGGACCCTCCAGCCCTCCGAGCCCAGGCCCACCCCGCAGCACGGAGTCCTCCCTCTCCTCCTCCCCTGCTCTACCCCTCCTGTTCCCTGCACTAGCCTTGCTCGCTGGCAGCCTTCTTTCCCTTCCCTTAAGACCGCAGGCGCTGGCCCTAGGCTCCTCACTGTCTTAGCATAGTCTGTCTGTCCCTGGCGGTCTGTTTCCCATGACGCTCATCTCTGCTGCATGTAAGGGATTTGGGGTCCTTGTGCAGGTAAAGGCAGGGTTCCAGTCACACACACACACAAGCACTGAGCCCTTTCCCTGACACAGAACCTTCTAAATTGGAATCCAGGTGTCACCCTGGATCCTGTACAGAATACAGGTCTCCTTGGCCACGGAAGAAAGCTCCCCACGCCAGCGTGACAAGAGAAGATGAGCTGTAACCATTTCACAGTGCTTTACTTAAAGTCATGGAACCTTGAAAGGAACGTGAACAGAGAAAGGCAGACGAATCCGTGTCTTTGCAAAGGACCAGCCTCCTGAGACATCCTGGGGGAACTGGAAGCTAAGTACCTGCTTCTCCGGCTGTTCCATCAAGCCCAGAGGACATCCCCTGAAGACTCTCCCCACAGCAAGGTCCCAGGCTGCCCACACAGACATGCCCGTGTGCTGCTGGTGGTCCAGGGAGCCCGGTGGAGTCCCCGAGTGGAGTCTCTGGGCTGGGCTCAGGCGCTCTGGGCCCGGGGCTCCCTGCCGCTGTTGAGCAGGTCCGTGAGCTCCCCGATGTACTTGATGGTGTACTTGAGCGTCTGGATCTTGGTGAGCGGCTGGCCCCGCTGGCTGTAGACGGGCGGCAGGTAGTTGCGCAGGGTGTGCAGGGCGTCGGCCAGGGTCCGCATGCGGAGCTTCTCCCTCTCGCTGGCCTTGCGTCTGCGCTGCACGGACATCCTGACCTTGCTGCCCTTGTGGGCCTTGGGGCCCCCGGCGGCCTGCAGGTAGGCCGGCTGGAAAGCCAGCATGTTGTAGTCCACCTCCACCAGGCCGCCCGCGTCTCTGCTCTCGGTGCTGGCACCGCCGTGCCCACGGGGCAGCCCGGCTGCGGCGGGGCAGGGGGAGGAGGTGTAGGACTCCAGCGAGGGCGCCGGGGACAGGCTCTGGGCGGGCGAGGCCTGGCTCAGCTCGAAGGGCCCGGCCCCGCTCTTCCAGTCCCAGGCGGCCAGCAGGCCGGGGCCGTCGGAGGGGCCCCCGCTGTCGTCCTCCAGGCCCAGGAGGGTGTCCCGCAGGCCGTCCATGCCTGCCAGGTGGCTGCAGAGAGAGGGGCTCCCCGGCCAGAGAGAAAGGAGGTTCTGCGGCCGCCAGCCCGGCCAGAGCTGGCTTTTATGGTGCTGGGGGCCGAGTGATGAAGTGGCAAAGAGGCCGGGGAGGGAGTTCAAAGGAGAGTCGAGCAGGACCAAGATGGAAGATGGACTCCTCAGGTGTCACTTTCTCCTCATTGATAATTAGCATCCTCCAGCTAAAACGGCTCAGAGCAAAACGGCCTCCCCTCCCGGGGAAGAAAAAAGGAATTATCTCGTGGCAACTAAACCAATTAAGGCTGCCTAACTAGACTTAGCATCGTCCTGAGGAGCTCATTAAAGGGGAGCCAAAGAAAACAAACCTGGGCAGCCTGCAGCCAGGAGGCAGCGGCCAGGGGCCAGAGGAGAGGAGCAGAGGGGCCCAGAGGCCTCCTCTTCCCTTCAAACCCTCCTCCCCCCACCCTCCAAACACACACACCCCAAGCCCACCTAGAGGTTCAGAGCCTGTGGGGTGTACTGTCACAGAAACAGGTCTAGGGAGGGGATAACCGCTCTGAGCGTGGATGCCCTCCTATGCTAAACGCAGACCATAAACCCTTACTTCACAGGGCTATTGGGGGGAGAAGGAGAAGACATGCTGGATGCCAGCTTCCGCCTTTCTCCTCCGTAGGCGATTCCCCCAGGGTCTGTAGCGGGCAGAAGGCCCACAGGCAGAACGGCCAAGGCCAGCAGCCCCAGTGAGCGCAGAGCCTTACGGAGCAGGAAGTACCTCCAAAAGCTTAAAGCCTTGTTTTCACTGAGCAGGTTGTGATCTGTCCCAGGGAACAGGCACCAGGAAAGAGAAGGCTCCTTGAGGCAGGGGGTTAGGTTCCTAGGGTACCTGGCAGCCAGCTTCTGAAGGTGCTGGGTGTTTTGTTTTGTTTTGAGATCGGGCTGCGGAGTCACACCTTGTTTTTGAAATGGACGGGAAGTGTGAGATTAACTAGGGAGCCGGCCTGTTTTCCCCACCCCGCCTCCAAACGCCCTGCGATGTGTGAGTTGGATGGTCCTGCTAGTTTGCTTCACTTCCTACATGCTCTGAGGGGCGGACCTGGGTTTCCAAAAAGGGTGTCTCCGAGTCCCCATTTGTCCCAGGAGCGTTCCTTCTCCTCCACGGAACTGATTCTACAAGGGAGTAGGATTATCAGAAGCACGGCCAGTTACAGCTCAGAGTAATAGTGTGTCCTCTAGCGCGGTGAGTTAAGGCCCCTTTTGCAGTTATTGAGAAATGTCAATGGTCTAATTAAAACACTGATGGTCGTTTTTAATTAAGTAGGCGCAGGGAAGAAAATGCTCACTCGGGCAATCTAGAGGAATGCTCTTAATTTTTTTAAATTAAATTATTATCTTTGTACATATACCATAGCTCCCCCCATACATGCCCTCCCTCCCCAGAGTTTTGTATCCATTGGTTGTACTTATATGCATGTATTTAAGTCCTTCAGTTGATCTCTTATCTCCCCCAGGTCTCCCCAACCTCCCCGCTGTAATTTGACAGTCTGCCTGTTGCTTTACTGTCTCTATATCTATCTTTTAATGCTCTTAATTTTGCTACTTACTAAAGGACCCTTAGTCCTATCTGGCAGAATAACATTAATAAAACATAGTAAATGTAACAAGTGATTTCCTCTCCTCTTCCCCTCCCGTTTCTTCTCCTTCAGCTCTTACTGGGAAGCCTAGAATCTGCGGTTACTATTTAAGGACATTTACACATCATCTAATTAACCTTTATTAAAAAACAAAGAAGCCAACATTTTACGGATGAAAGTATGAAGGCTCTGTGGTTAAAAGACTCAGTTACGATTCCCCTGGTAGGAAGGGGTCGAGCCAAGGTCCCCGTAAGACCACCTTTTAAAAAACCGATTTCTTTCTATTTCACTTGGTTGTGTAGTGGCAGGTGGCCTGAATGTGCTGGGGTAGCCACTGTCTTTCGGCTTTCAATCCTCATTCCAAACCTCCCAGTTTTGCACATGATATCACTTCTGCTCTCAGACTCCCTCTCTTTTTCTTTTTCTATAGCTTCTTTCCAAAATTGCTAATTCCTTAAGCTTCCACTTTACGAAATTTCGTTTTCCAAATGAGACAACATCTGCCAAGTCCGTGGTACACTGGCGGTGCTTAATAAGCACTGGCTTTGCTCTTGTCACCGGTATCAGAAGGACTTCCTGTGCTCTCACTCCCCTCTGCTGGCCTCAGGCAACCAGCATTGCTGGTCCCCCAATCCTGTTTTGGGAACAAGGAAACTGCCTGGGATCCGTGCTTGCCAAGGTACCCTCTCTTTCTCTAGTAAGACATAAGCCAGAACCAGATCTGCATGGACCTGCTTGTCTCCCCGAAGCTCTCTGAGATCATTCTGTGGACATGGGGTTCAGGACAGCAGAGCTGGGGCCACGGCAGGCCTGGAGGCCAAGGCTGCTCCAGAGAGCACTCCAGGTGTGTAACAGAGACTAATTCACACAATCCTCACGATAACCCTAGGAGGTAGGAGCTATTATCACCACCAATCCTGTTGTACTGATAGGAAACTGAGGCACGGAGTGGTTAAGTAACTCCCTGGAGACCCCACACCTAACATCTAATGCCTGGCAGCCCAGGGTTCAAATCTCCACACACTGCCTCAGGCCAGGCTTTAACCCCTGGCTGGAACACCCGACAACAGTCAGAGGCATTGGCACAGATGATGTCTGTAGAGCTCTTGATTCCTGAACTCAAGCTATAGCTGCAACCCAGTTAAAAACTGGGAAGACTGATTGATTGGTGCCAATCAATGGTGGCCAGTGTGTACAGAGCACCGAGATTGGCCTAGCACCGAAGGGGCTTAAAAGATGCAGTAGGTTTAGACTTCCCATCCTCATTCCTAAATTAGACAGTGAGACAGATTAGCATCCACGTACTTCTCTGCCACGATTCGTGGACAGGCCCGATTCTGGCATTCTGAAGGGAATGCTGTGTGTACAATCAATCCCCAGAGGCACCCCCTGTCTTGGCCATACCCACAGTTACCCCAATAAACTTATTTAGTGCTAAGGGTTTTGTATGACTTATTCCTTTGGATCCTTATAAAAATCCTTTCGAGAAAGTACTGTTTTGCTCCCATTTTACATAAGGAAAGAATGGAGGCTTAGAGAAGTTGGAAACGTTGTTCACGGTCATGATTAAAAAGTGGAGGGAGACACGCTCTGGACCCAGGTGGCCGGACTGGAGGGCCAGGCTCCAGCGAGCGCGTCTACATCCTGAGGGAGGAGCAGGGGAGCCGAGGCTTTAAAAGGGCCCCTGTTCGTGTCCTGAGGCTGTTTTACAACTTCGGGTCCGCAGCTCCAGAACCGGAGGCATCTGTCTCCCGACCACCTTCTAGTGCTTTCCCTGGCCTACCGCCAGGCAGCCATCTTGACTAAACAGCAGGTAAGGTTGACATTTAGACATAGTTTCCTATAACTGAAAATGTTAGAAAGAAATCTCATTCTTTCACAAATGAAATAATGTTATCTGTTAATGTTAATAAGTAAGAACACTTTCCTTTTTTGAGTTCTTACAGCCCCTCCTCTGTGCTAGGTGCCAGAAACAAGAGCCTGGTATGCAGGATCTCATGTCATCCTCCACAGAATTCGGGATGGTAGGCCTTGTCTGCACCTCACCAGAGAGGAAATGAAGCTCAGAAGCTAAGGACCTCGCCTGAGGTCAATGGACACAGCCTCTCCTGAAAGGCCACAGCCTCACCCAACACCTCTGCGGCTGACACGCCCAGAGTCCGCTGCAGTAATGCAGCCACGTGCTGTCCTCACTGCCTCCACCGCTGAGCTCATCACGCAGACACTCAGTGCAGCCAGGCGTCAGCAACTGTCTTTGGCCCTTAGGGTCTACTCGACCCTTTGTGTACTCCACAGTCCCTCAGCCTCAGCCACATGACCCCACTGGCATGCCAGCCTCTAGTAGCCTGTCCAGAGCCTAGAACTTCCTGCCAGAAAAGAGATAGAGATGGAGTTTGAACACAGTTAGGACTAAGGTAAAAACCTGCACCCTTTCACGCCATCACACAATCTTGGCACTCAACTAACACACAAGCCAAAAACGCATAAATCTTTTGGGGCAAAGGGAGAGAGGGAGAGAGAAAGAGAGGAAGAGAGGGAGAGAAAAGAAAACTCCTAATTGCAATGTGATATCTTCCTATGTCCTTGAGCTAGTCAAGAGAAACAAAAGTAGCGATTCCCTACTTGGTTACTGTTGAGCTGTGAGAGTTTTAGCAAGGTCAGTGTCTGCGGTCCTTTCAAGGTCACTGCCATTACTCTCCCGACTAACCCGGGAAACTGTGCACGTTTTTGGCTCTCCTGACTTGAGTCTGAGGTTCATTGGAAAGCCAAAGAGTAATATTTTGGTTTTAGTCCTCTTACAAATTCATTGTGAAGCATCATATAATGAGCAAATAGATGATTTACACAGGCTAAGTATTCCACCAGGACAAAATACACACACACACACACACACACACACACACACACACACACACAGAAATGAAATGAAGTGGCTTACTTCATAGGAGACACGAGAGACAGAAGATAAATATGCTCAACTGTAGAAGCCCCTTTGAACAGAAAGAGAAAACCCTGTGGACTTCCTGAGGAGAATTCACCGGCCTGATACGATGTTTATCTCTAGCCCCTTCACTAAGCAACGTGGGGAGGAAGAGCATCCTTCTTGTCCAGAAGATCTGTAAGGCTCCCTCTCCCCTCAAACACGCTGACAACTTGAGCTCAAGATCCCAACTCGTCCGCCCATTCCACAACCAAGCACTGTGTGCATTTTATTTGCTGAATGAATGTAGATGGAAACCAAGTCAGCGTGGCTTTCCCTTAAACTAATCCATTTACAGGTAACCACCTCCCTGTGGGACCCCGGTAGTTCCAGATGAGAATATAAGCCTTCTGCTATTTGGAAAATGTGACTAAATACCCTGGCCGCTGTGGCTTAGATGGTTGGAGCATCACCCAGTGCACCTACGGGTAAGCTGCACCCAGTTCAACTCCTGATCATCCCAAGATGGGGGAGGGGGACATGCAGGAAGCAGCTGACCTCATGTAGATGTTTCTCTCTCTATAAAAATATGTTTCTTTTTTGGGGGGCAGTCATCACATCTGCACAAAACGGGCTGTTCTGTGGACCACAGGAGGGTGGTAGAGAAGAGAATGCAGTGTGTAGGGCAGAGGAGCATGAGAGTAGCGACCAGGGTGAAAAACAGAGGAAGTGGCAGCTATTACTCCCTTGAGAGCAACAGGGCAGGATGTGGGGATGATTCTTCTCACAAGAGAATATGAGCATTTCCTCTTAGTTCAAAAAATCTCATGTCAACAGTTAGCCCCAAATAGCTTGGTTTTCCCCCCACAGACTCAGGAGGGGAAGCAGCTCTGAGTGCTCCACCCCTAATCCTTCAGCAACTGGCTAGCAAGATTTTAAAAAAATCTCATGTGTCACATTTACACCTACTCCCCCTTTTAAGTTGGATCCTTTATTACCACTGGTATTTGGGGTGGTGTTTTAATACCCGTGTCAAAAAAGTTGAAAGCAACTTGCACTGAGGCGGTCCTCCAAGGAGTTCCCTCTGTTTTTATCAGCCTGCAAAGCAGAAACGTGCAAAGTTGCTTCTTTAGTCCCCCCCAAGGCCAGTAGTTAAGACATGGAAGCTCCTGGTAGAACATACTACAAATGCTTTTAGTTAGATATCTGCATAAAAAGGCTGCTTATTTTCAGAAATGCTGGTCTCAACATTGGATCATTTTAAATCCAGATCTCCCTACTTGTAAGCTAATTAGCACCTAGAAAGCAGATACAAGGCAAAGACCAAACCTGGGAAAATATTTCTCACAAATCTGAGATTTGAAGGGTTATGGCTATGAAGATCTCACAAGAATAAGAGAAACACGAGCCCACTGGGGAAATGAACAAGGGCATGGATAGACAGCTCACAAAAGATGTGCTAGTGGTAGTAAATGTAGAAAAAAATGTCCTATCTCGCTAGTAATCAAAGACATGTAAATGGAAACTACAAGGAGAAGTCATTTTTCACCTCCCAAATTGGCAATGTTGGCAAGAGGGTGAGGAAATGGTCCCTCACACACACTGCTGTGGGTCAATTGGTGAGATCGCTTAAATATTCTAAAATCTCTGGAATGTAATTTAGATTTTAAAAAATAGCTTTGACACTCTGCCTTTATTCTACAGAACTAGTTAGAGTCAAAATTTATGAAAAAAATATTAGTCATAGTATTATGATAATAAAAAATTAAAAGCAATCTCAAGACTTAACAACAAAGGAACAATGATATAAATTATGTCCCCTTCATGTGATGGAATACTATTAGTCAATGAAAATAACATTTATAGAGAACATAAACATAGGAAATATAATTTAATATGAGAATTTATAAGCAAAATTGCAAACTTAATACTTTGACCCAATTACCTTTTTTCCATAGAAAAATGATGAAGTATTTAAGAATGGTTATTTCCCTTCCCTCCCTCTCTCCCTCCATGTCCACCCTCTCTCTCCTCCTTTTTCTCTCTCTTCCTCCATCTCCTTCCTGCTCTCAATCTTTCTTTCTTAATTTCTTTCTTTCTTTCTTTCTTTCTTTCTTTCTTTCTTTCTTTCATTTTTATTGAAGTGACTCTGGTTAATAAAATTATGTGTTTCAAGTGTAAAAAAAAAAAAAAAAAAAAAAAAAAAAAAAAAGAATGGTTATTTCCAGGGGGGTGAAGGCATGACAAGGGGGGGAGGGGAGGTGCTAAGGGGTGATAAGGATACTTATGTAATACCTTAATCAATAACGAAAAATTTTAAAAAAATAATGCTTATTTCTGGTAATAGAAATTGAAGGTCATTTTTTTCTTTATTAATCTGACTTTATTTTTTAGGGGTAGCTTGTGTCATGATTAGAAGCATAGGGTTCCTGTTCAAACCTGATCCCTCTGCTTTCATTAATTACGTGATAGTAAGAAGGTAACTTACTGGTATTTGGGTGGCATTTTAATACCTGTGTCAAAAAAGTTGAAACCAATTTGCACTAAGACGGTCCTCCAAGGTGTTTCTCTGTGCCTCAGTTTCTCTGTGCCTCAGTTTCTCTGTTTATAATATGAGGATAAAAACAGTGCCTACCTGACAGGATTCTTGTGAAGATTCATACATGTAAAGAAATTTCTCGGTAACTGTCTTCAGACATGGTAAGCAATCAGTCATTGGTAGCTGCTCTTATTCTTTATGGTTGTCAATATTTTCTAAATTTTAAAAAGACAGTAATTTAAAATTTTAGAAGCTGTGACTAGGCAAAGCTGATCTGAGTAGGTCCATGAATAGAGGAAAAAGACTCAAAAATCACAGTTGCCCTCAAGTTGAATCAAAGCATCTGGGTACTATACTTATTTTAAAGTAAAGAAAAGACAAAGATAGGAATAAAGGAATAAGGGAGGGAGGGAGGGAGGGAGGGGGGGGAGGGAAGGAAAAAAGGAGATTGAGGGAAATACTCTTGTAAAGATAAGAGGACATTGACAAATAGGACATGGAGATTACTAAATCCTTGATAGAGCTCTGCATTTGGCTTGCATGGGGGAGAAAGAAATGGGAAGGAGGTTCAGGGTAGGAAAACAAGAAAGATGAAAGAGAGAAAGTTGTTCTGAAGAAAGCGCCAGTCTTCTCCAGCACAGTTGGGTCGGACACAGAGCACTGAGTGACCCTGCCTAGCCCTCTGTAGACTGAGCAGTCACCCTCCTTCATCAGCATAGGGGGCTCTTGGAGCCGGGAGTCATCAAGGTCACATGCAAAGCATTCCCACAATTCCACGAGGACAAGAACGCCTGGGGAGAGAGGAAAGATTATTTTCAGAAGGATTATTCCTGGGCCCCTCTCCAAGAATTCTGATTTGGTGAATCTAAGCTGGAGCTGGATCATCTTTTTTAAAAAGCAGAGAAGTTGGGAACCGCTGGCTCGGATGGATAAAGACCTGCTGGGGTCCAAAGCTACTGAGCCCGGCACCTGGAAGCAAGAGCATGTCTGCGACAGGCCCCTTGGTCCTGACTGTTAAATAGGGATAAACCACAGGGCTCAGGGAGCAGGAGGCTCTCTGTAACTCCTCGACTTTTCCATGCCACTCAACCTCTCCTGACAACATCCCTGCTCTCATGACCCTCAACTTTATGTGCCATTCTCTGCCCCATTCCAGGAAGGCTCTGCGCTGTCCCTTGAACACATTTTCCCCCCTTGCCCTTTACCTGGGCTATATCCCTCACCCAATGTCCCTTCCTCACACTTAACCTTGCAGGTCTTATCAGTCCTTAAGTCCACCAAGTGTCTTCTCCAGAAGCCCTCTGTGCCTACTCACTCCTGTGACCACTTACGTGGCCAGTCTCCTTCAGACGGTTTATTTCACTAAATTTTTCAGGAATTTTTTTTCACTTGTTAAACTCAGGAAAAGGACCTTAATAAAAACTACTATGGGAGCAGTGCCTTAGAGTTTGTAGAAGATTTTCACATCTATTACATCTTGGGAACTGCATAACCCTCTCATGATGTGGATAATGGTGCCATCTCCACTGGAATCGGAAACTAAAGTTCAGAGAGACATCTCGTGCGCTCTTATGGTGAAATGACCGATAAGGGGCAGAATTACGAGACTGCACCACTGGTAAAAGGAAGAGGGGATCCCCCATGTGAAAACGGGAGATGTGGGGGGTTAATGAATGGCCCTCTTTGTTCTCCAGGCCAGGGGGAGGGTCGAGACACCAGGCTTTAAAGAACAGCTGCACATCGGGGCTGAGCCCGTGTCATCCCTGGCTCAAATGGTGGGCTCATTATTGCAGCTGTTGCTGGCTTTCGGGAGCCAGGCAGCTGTTGCCAGAAAATGTAACCTAATTCTTCCTTATAGGAAGGCCAGGCTTGGCAAGCACAGGTGAGAAAGCCAGGCAGAGAGGAGGTAAGTGCCTTAGACAAGCCTTTCCTAGGTATTCCTAAGAACGGGAAGCAGAGTCTGTGAGGGGGCACCGTCCTGTCGTCACCGGTCTTCGGGACAGGCAGTGCGGGAGGGTGTTCCTGGCAGAGCTGGGGAGCCCTCTGGGTGTCTGGGCCACGAACCAGACAATGGGATTGGAGGTAAATTCCCTGCTCCCCTCCTTTTCCTTCCCATCTCTTCTCCATAATATAAGCTGTGGCCATTTTATGGATCTCAGCATCTTTTTCCTGATATTGCTAATGCGCCCTTGTTCTGTTTTCTCTTTTGATCTTCTTATTGCCTATCTTACTTGTCACTAAAGCTTCCTACTTCATTCTCTCCCTCCCCCCCCCCCCCCAATCCCCTTCCTCCATTGTTCTCCTTGGAAGACAGGCAGCTCATCCCATTGCTATGCCTTGGTTAGTATATAGGTTTCTGCCTCAGGTGAGTGGTGCCATCCCACTGCCTAACCAAATCCCAATTGTTCTTTCTATAGTCTGTTCTGACTACCAGTCGACTTCTTGGTGGCCTCCAGTGTCCTCATAGTGGGACCTACACAGGCTAACTAACACAAGTTTTCCTTCTGCGGTTTAGTCTACTCAACTAGACTAAGAAGAGCTGCGGTCTAAAATGAGAGACTTCCTTCCTTCTAGTTACCCTCACTGCCCATCGCTTACTGTGTAATGGTGTGTATTCAGCATCCTCTTACTTGAAAATACCGATTTCTTTACTCTTTTAAAACTCACTTTTCTATTTTAAATTATCCTGGTTTATGTTGGGTTTAATTTTCAAATCATTATGAACTTTTATGGAGCACTTTCCGTGCATTGATTAGTTCTTTATCTCACCATTTAATCAACACACAACTATAGGAAGTCGAGACTGTTACTACCCATATTTCACAGTGAAGAACCCACGGCTAAAAGAGGCAAAGCCACTCCCTTGAGGTCACATGCTAGTTGGCAGAGGAGGCCTTAACCACTTCTTACAGTGCTTTGCATAAACCACCAAAAGTCCCTACCTGAAGTGTACAAACGAAGATCTGCAATAGATGGGTGTTCAAGATAAATGGGTGAGCTGACATTGGAAGCTAGGGGTGCTCCTCTCCAGAGGTGGGTCCTTGTCCCCACATCCTAAGCCTCGTCTGGGAGTGATATGAGCCAGCCCACATTCTGATCCCCCTTACATATGGAGGAAACTCATTACCCTGTGAGTGACAATCAGCCTGGGGGTTCCACACTTCAGTCCTTGTACTCCTATTCCTTGACTACTTGGCCTCAGAGGACCTGGGGAAAGAAATCTGATTTCTTTAAGAGCTCTCCCTTTCCTGGAAAGCCATGATCTTATATTTGAGGGCACTGTCTTGGTTGGAGATAATTCCTTTTGGACAAACTCAGCTATGGGTGAATTATGAGGTAAGCCAGGCAATTCTCATGGGAAGCCTGTGGTCATGGTATGAAACAGGTCCAACCCGTTTTTGGAAAAAAAATCTTTGCTGAGAACATCTTGCTATAGTTCTTTTTGGGGACTCAAGTGATCACATTACATTCCAAACAAATCTTCTGGCAGAAGATGTTTTCCAGGCAGCCCCAGGGAACCCGCTCAGAGGAGGCTGACCACGATGCAGAGCCACCAGGGGCTCACGTGTACGGTGTCACACCATGGAGAAGTTACTCTGACATCCGCCCCTTGGGCTGCACTTCCTCCTGCTCCTGTTAATGCTCTGTGCCCCTGGGGTTCTCCCAACCCCCACCCCTCTCAAATAAAACCTACCTCTGGATTGCTTCCCCTTCCTTAAAACTGATACTATGCCTTTTCCAAAGACGTGCCTTCAAACAGACAACAATTAAACAAATTAAAAACATCAAAGGATAGTCTCCAAGGGAATTCACATTTGAATCGACTCAAATATTTTCTAAGCACCTAAAGTGGGCCCAGAGAGTGAACCTTAAAGTTCTAAAGAACTTACAGAACTGTGCTAACTCAATATGGCCTCCAGAAGACCACATATGGCTGTCGGCCCATGACATGTGGCCAAAGCTGAGATGTGTAGTCAGTGTAAAATACACATAAAATTTCAAATACTCAGTATCGTTAGGAAATGTAAGCTATCTCACAGATGATTTTTATATTGGGTACATGTTGCAGTAACCTTTTGGACATGTTGAATCAAACATTATTTTACAATGTTTACAAATCAAACATTCACAAAAACGTTAGTACAATTAATTTTACCTAGTTCCATTTGATAAATATGGCTACTAGACTACGACCCAGCAATTCCACTTCTGGGAATATATCCAAAGAAACCCAAAACATTAATTTGAAAGAATATATGCATCCCATACTCATTGCACCATTATTTACAACAGCCAAGATTTGGAAGCAGCCCAAGTGCCCATTAATAGATGAGTGTATAAGATAGCTGTGGTACATTTACAAAATGGAATACTATTTGGTTATAAAAAAAAAATGAAATCTTACCTTTTGCAATAGCCTGGATGGGCCTAAAGGGTATTATGACAAGTGAAAAAAATCAGACAATGAAAGACAAATACTATATAATTTCACTTACATGTGGAATCTCAAGAACAAAATAAACCAACAAAATAGAAACAGTCCTGAACGGTTGACAGAAGAAAGGGGGTTTGGGGCTGGGTGAAAATGGTGAAGGGATTCAAAAGTACAAATTGGTAATTACATAATAGTCACAGAGCTGTAAAGTACAGCATAGGAAATATGTTCAATAATATTGTAATAACTATGTATGAAGCCAGGAAGATATTTGAAATATTGGAGGAACTACTTTATAAAGTACATGATTATCTATGAAACTAATATGGAATAATATCGAATGTAAACTAGTAAACTATAATTAACAAAACACACATGGTTACTAGAAAATTAACAGTTGTATATGTGACTGACATTATATTTCCATTGCATAGCACTGACAGAAATGACTTGAGTAGAGGGGCCAGGATATAAACTGCTCTAAACTACTATAAACTGAAAAATGTGCCATGGGAGGGGAGAGAAGGGAGAGATAAATTTCTGTTGGATGACCCAGAAAGACTTCCTGGAAAAATGATGCAAACTGGGTCTTGAAATAAAATTAGAGGGATAAGGCCTGGAGGCATCCACACCAAGATCTTAGATGGGAATTTGTGGCGCCAGCCAGTTGGAGGACTGAACAGATAACTCTACAGTCTTGGAGTTTCCAAGTCTGATTTCTTATCAGAAATTCCTGGTAGTTCTAAAAGAGTATAGGTTCCTAAACTCACCCCAGCCCAGGACACTGTTTGAAAATGCCAGCTGCAAATGGCCATGCTGTGCCTCTGAAAGGCAGCCTCGGGGGCTCTCCATGATCCATGGCCAGAGGCAGCATTGACATCTTCTGTTCTTTTAAATATATTTTATTGATTTTGTACAGAGAGGAAGGGAGAGAGATAGAGAGCTAGAAACATTGATGAGAGAGAGTCATCGATCAGCTGCCTCTTGCACACCCCTTACTGGGGATATGCCCTCAACTAAGGTACATGCCCTTGACCGGAATGGAACCCGGGTCCCTTCAGTCCCCAAGCCAATGCTCTATCCATTGAGCCAAACTGGTTTCGGCCTTCTGTTCTTTTATATGTCCTTTGGGAAGAAGCACTTGAAATACAGACTCAGGAAGACAGCTCAGGTCCTGAGCTGCTCTGTGGGTCTCAGGGAGCAGAACAGGAGGGCTCTGTGGGCTCAGATTCATCTCAGTGACCACCAAAGGTACTTGTTCGGTGGCTCTGGCCTGTGGGACAACTAGCTAATCTTTGATCATTCTGGACAGTGATCAAAAGGCTCTTTGTTCTTTCAAAAGCTCTTGATTACCACAGTAGGTTATAAGAAGGAAGATAGAATAAGAGTGAGGGAGAGAATGGGGTAAGGAGAGAAAGTGATTATCCTGACTAAGCTGTGATTAATGGATATGTGCTCCCAAATACCACTATTTCCCTTTCTAATCTACAGCAGTGTTGCCCTAAGTGGGATCCAAAGCCCACCTGACCATGCACAGTGTCACTCAATGGCATTCTTACCAGGGGCCAGGGTATCACCAAGTCAGCTTCACTCTTGCAAACTTGCTTCCAGATTAATTCATTCATTCAACTTGCAACACACATTTCCCAAGTACTGTTATCTACAATCTACCAGATATCCACTGCATTCTGGAGATGTACAGGGAATCAGATGAGGTCCCTGGACCAGGGTGCTCGCTCTAGAACAGTGGTCTGCAGTGTGAGAGAGTTCAGGATTGGGCTTCTCGAGTGTCCAACCTAGCACATGACAATAACATGTATGTGCCCAGGTATATTCTACTGGTAAGGAGATATATATATTTCATAAAGTTTTAAAGGTTTTTATCACTCAAAGAAGGGCTAAGAACTACTGGATGGATTGCTACCAGTGATGTGTTTTTTTTTCTTCTAAAAAGAGAAAATGTTTCCCTAACCGATTGGCCTCATTGGATAGAGGGTCTGTCTACAGACTGAAGGGTCCTGAGTTCGATTTTGATCAAAGGCACATGCCCAGATTGCGGGATCAATCCCCAGTGTGGGGACATGCAGGAGGCAGCCGATCAATGATTCTCTCATCATTGATGCTTCAATCTTTCTCTCCCACTTCCTTACTCTCTAAAATAAAAAATATATATATATTTAAAAAGAGAAAATGTCATCACCTACAAGCTAGCAAAATGAGGCCAAGTTGAGATCTTTAGAAACACTGTCATTAGCAGGTCAACTATTTGCCCCAGAATGGATAATATCAAGATGCAGAAACGTCTGTGTAGATTCTGCAATCAAAGCATCTCTCAACATTATCTAGAGGCTTTTACAGGGAACTTTTGTGGGGGAAGGGAAGGAGCATTCCCTCTAGAGACTGGAGAGGGGGCAGGGAGTGGAGGTGGGGAAGCTGTGGCTTGAGCTTTGAACCTGATCTCTCAACCGAAGACTCGCACCAGCAATGACTTCTTACAGCTCCCAATTTGGCACTCTGAAGGCACCCTCTTTGAGGGTGGTGGTGGGGGGTGGATTTTCCAAGGATAATGGGAACTTGCAGAATCTTCTAGTTTGTAAAAGATGGTCTTGGAAAGTTTGGGAGGAGGCTGCAGGCAGACAAGTAGTCCTTGTTTCCCTGAGGAAGTGCTTGTGGTCAAAGTACCACTCAAGTTGTTGGTGAGTGCCAGATGGTTTTATTGTAGATTGCAGACCTGACCTCAGTGAGCCCACAAATGATCGTATTCATCTCCTCATTCTGTTGGTTCTTGGCTCTTTGGCTCAGAAGCAAATTTCACAGGCCAGTCCCTCCCGCCAGGGTATGTCTGCACTCTCCATCACACCCCACCGCAGGCTGTGGGAAAGGAAGGAGCTGAACTTTCCACAGTCCAGTGGTCCAGATCCCAGTCCCACAGTCACTGTAGAGCAAGCATGACAAACTAAAAGGCTAACAAGGGCCAATTAAATGAGGCATGTGGCCCATGAGCCACAAGTTTGACATGCTTGCTGCAGAACCTTCAGTCAGTTATTTCTCTGAGCCAGTTCAGCTATAACATATGGATAATAATTCATTGTGCCTCACTGGCTTGTAGTGAAGCAAGACAAGGCACCTCGCACACAGAGTTGTTAATGTGACTGGGTCCTTTATCTTTCACATTTAACCTAGCCAATGTGTAGTATTCTGGTACATCGGATGTCAGCTACTTTTGCGTGAGACAGTCCCTGAACTTGTTTCCTAGGTGGTTTGAGGATCCCCTCCAGTTGCAAAACTGTGAGAGTCTGCGATTCTGAGCTAGTTCCCCATGGGCTTTCTTTGAGTCAGAGAGAAGTTCTATCCGGCAAACCCCCTGGGGCTGCAGATGAGGATGCCAAACTAAGGCGTGCAGCTGCGGGCCGTGGTGGCCCGGGTGCAAGACCAGGAGGGGAAAACCTCAGGGCCCGAGAGGCGCTGCAAAGGAAAAGACAGCTGCAGGTCTGTCCCGAGTAAATCACAGTGTGACGTTTATTGGGCTATTTCCAGAATAACACCAGCAAGAAAACTGGAATGCAGGATGCGCTCTGCCAGGAAGGATCTTAGAGGAGCGGCCCATAATAACCGGGCTTGTGGACTAGAGTCAGCCTGGCTTCAGGAAAAGGTCACAGGTTTGGGGACACTCTGCCCTGAGTTTCAATTCTGTCTCCACTACTTATCAGTGTTTCTGGGCAGGTTACTTAACCTCTCTGAGCCTCATTTCCTCCTCTCTTAACAACCAAAAAGGTAAGTAATAAAGGAAACTTTCAAGGTGATTGTGGCTGTTGGGAATGTTAAAAATAACTCGATATAATTTGGTATTCAATAAGTAAGAGCTGTATGACTCTGAGCACACACTAGGGCACCCACGTCCTCTGGATCTAGAACCATCATTTCTCAAATGTGTACCTGGCACAATGGAGAAAGCTGATGGGTGGAGGAGGGAGGGGGAAGCATCGAGGCTGGGGGTGTTGGGTAGAGGGGAGAAAAGAGATCAAAAGGCCTATAAATATCTGTCAAACTTTAAAATGCAAATCCCTTGCCTGTGCCTGTTGGGACCAAATCTTCTGTTATCACCTTTCTGAGAAGAGAAAGAAAGATTAGCGTAGTCTTTCTCTTCATGGGATGTTTTGGTTTGGTTTGGTGTGATTTTGCAGCCAAGCCTGAATATGTGATAAATGTTTTCATTCAACCCAGACCTGGAAGCATGGGTAGTGAGTTAAGACACTAAGAGACATATTGTGTCATTAAGTCTTAACAGCATGTGCTATTCTTTGTGGATAGACCGTGAATTTCTTAAGAAAACTAACCCTTACAATAGCCCCTGCAATTTACATGATACTTGGTGTAGAGAAATTGCTTGTGGAATAAATCTATGGACAAATGAATGGGCGGATAGTTGCTCTTTTTGAGCATAGTGACCTAGTTCTCAGGAATCTCCTTGCTCTACACTTTATTGAGGTCCCCTCTGAGGGGCAGTCCTCATAGGGGACAGCTGTAGCCCTCTGAGGAACTCTTAGATGGTCTCTGCCGCCCTGTACCGGAGTATATATAATGCCCAATATCTGACATTCACTGTGTGCCTGGTCCACCCGTCCCAACCCCCAACCATAAGTCAAATACTAGAAACCTCACTGACCCTTTTCCTCCTCATCTTTTCCCTTATTGGCCTTGCTTTCTCATAAAATTATACTTGTATGTAATGAGTGAATGGGTTACTTTCCAGACGAAAGGATCTAACAAATGTCGCCAGCTTGGAATGGCCTCAAATATTTGTCATTTATTACACAATCTTGGGTAAATTCATCCAATGTTAAGTCTTACCCAAGACCTGATGGTCTTCACTCACCCCCCTCTAAACTGTATCCACGTTCAAGCCTCCAACCAACTCAACTAGCAAGTCTCTGAGGACCTCCTGGTGCTCACCGACCACTCTCATCGCATGCCGATACCCTCTGCCACTCCCTTCTCCTAGCACTTAGTTGTATTATTTCTTATCTCAAGTGCAAATGAGTCTGGTGTTACAAATTAGGTATAAAGATCTTGAAAGGAGAGACTAGATATTATTCCCTTGTGTTCTATACCATGTCTAGCCAGGTGCTGGATCCATTTTAAGAATTCAGTTACAACTTGTGGCATGTTGGTGGTCAAAATGTGGATTTGGGTTTTAAGCTTAACTTCTTCCTTCCTTCCTTCCTTCCTTCCTTCCTTCCTTCCTTCCTTCCTTCCTTCCTTCCTTCCATCCATCCATCCTTTCATTCATCCATCCAATAAGGTTGTATTAAATGTGTGCTACATGTTACTCACAGTTAAAAGCTAGCTCAAGGGATATACAAAGAACAAGATGAAGTTTCTTTTCATGTTGTTAAAGTAGTGATAAGAGACAAACAAACAAACAAAAAAACACTAATAATTTGTGAAGAAAATAACTCAAGGTAAGAAGTAAGAGTAGAGGATGGGACTTAACATCGTTGAAAAGCACTAGCTGAATGGTGAGTAGGAGCTCACTACCCAAAAACGTGAGAGAAGTTCAGGCATATGGCACAGTAAGTTCCAGAGCCAGAATGTGGGATGAGCTTGGTGTGTCTAAGGAAATGAAGTCAAGCCAGCAGCACTGGAACAAGGTGATCGAGGGGAAGAGTCCAGAGATGAGGTCAGGGAGTCAGGCAGGACTCAGCCATGGAGGACCTGACAGTCAAGGAACTTGGAGTTGACACCCAGCACAAAAGGAAGCTTTTGCATGGAGGAAAAGGGTGAAGGCGGTGCTGGTGTCAGAACGTGGTTTGCACTTCCTCTAGATTTGTCTGGCTGATGTGTGCACTGCAAAGGGCGTGAGTGCTTTGAAGCAGGGAGCTCAGTTAGGAGGCACTTTTAGCAGCCCTTGCAAGAGTAGTCCCTCAGAGTCCCAGCCCCTTTGGAGGGAGCAATGCAACTGGGAGGAGACGAGCATACCAACTGTGTGGCCACAGGCATGTTGCTCTACTTCTCTGGGTTGCTTTCACAATCAGTAAAAAAATGCACTTAACTGATTACAATAGGCCCAGCCCTTGCAGACTGTGTGCAAAGGTGACTCAGGTCAGAAATGAAGGCCAAAAAGGAGCCGCTCTTCATGGATATTCCACTGAGAACTCGCAGATGACCTCATCCTGGGGACATCTGGCCCTGGTGGTTAGAGCGCTGAAGGAAAGGGAGGAAACTCCTAGGAGACCTGGTGCCCTGGATGTCCCGTACACACCCAAATCTCCCAGCTTTCCCGCTGTAACTTTTGTGATCTTGCTTTTCTGGGGCCCAGCTACTCTGATTTAGTGGCCAGTTTTCCAGAAACCAGATCAGAAGTCAATGCATCTCTCTGACAGGGGGTTTCTTTAAAAGTGCCACAAACTTAGATAAACGTGGAGTATACAGAAGCCTTAATTTTTGCCAAAGAAACTGTAGAGTTCAACTACTAGCTCTGGTTTCAAATCCTGGCCCTGCTTATTATGTGTTGCCTTTGATATATTCCTTAACCTCATATATAAATGGGATTAAAAGTGCCTGCCTTTCAGAGTTTCTGTGGAGCAAATGTGAAGAATTTGAAAAAGCAGAAAAATACATGGATGTAATAGTAAATATTTCATTTCTCTTCTCCCAAGATTCACTACTGTTCATACTATCCAATATGCTGTGTCTTTTTTCTCTGTATTAGCGACAAACTACCTTCTCAAATAATTATATAACACATTTTAAGAATATCCCTTAGTCATCAATAGTCTTGGCAAGTCAAAATCAGTAATGTTAAATGTATACATTAATGTATGTTTCTCTGAAAGTTGCTTATTCTCAGCATGTAAATGAGAGAGAAGGGGGGAGGAAATATCACGCCCATCGATGTCTGAGAAGCATGCAGGAGCTGGGAACATTTGCCCACGGGAGCCAACCTCTACCAGAAATCGGACAATTACTCCGACCATTGCCTCCCACGTCAAAGAAAGTGTCCTTTGGTCTGTTTCACAGGATGTAGACCGGGTTGTATGGAGTCCTTGACACCTCTCCTAGCACTCTCCCAGCTGTGAAGTCAGGGGGCCTTCACAGAGCCTGGACTTGAGACGTCTGGGTTTGGACAGCCCCGTTAAAATAAGCCTTCTGGCATCTGCCATTCACAGGGCTGGCATTCTCAGTTTAATAAAAATGTAAATGGCATTAGCAATAATATTACTTTGGAGCAGTCACTGAATCCACATTGCTTTCAAATAAAACAAAAACAAAAACAAAAAGGCAAAGAATCTGTAATCTACCTTTACATGAACGTTGAAAAAATCACTTTCTCATTTTCAGATTCAAAGGACAGCACTTTGAGACGTCACTCCCAGCAGGAAGGTGGGTATCTGTTGAGTGGCAGATGAGTAGGTTTAAGTTATGATGATGCAAACAGTATAGAATTCTTTCCTTTGGTTTTTGATCAGAGAATTCTAAATACACAGGCAGATTTAGCCATTTGGGGAAGTCAACATTTATTTTTTTGGGGTCTTAGCACAGAATAATGCTGAGGAAGCTCAGGCACTGAATGCCTATTAAAGAACTTCTGTTTGGTGCTTACAAAAGAATTCTTCCAAACATTAGCAGAATAGTCTGTCATTCTCAGCACAGAAGACTCAGCCCGATTTTCTGATGACCCTTGCCTCCACTGCCAAACAGGCAATTTATTGAATTTATCTGGCCTGGGAATAAATAATTACCCATTCTGGCAATCATCAGCAAAGGTCCCGCTTTTTTGGACTATTCCTGGGCCCGACTCTGCAGCTCGTCATTTTAAAGGCAATGTGGCAAGACCTTGAAGGGGCTAATGCAAGCTGTTAGCTGAGCCTGATAAAAGGTTTTCCCAGCTAAGAAGGTGATAAATGTTGCCACATTAATCTGCAGATGAAAGGAGGCTGCCTCCAGTGATATTATTTAAGCTGTTTTAGCCTAAGTGCTACCAGCATAACGGGAATTGTGAGCGGTTGAATTCTAGACCCTTCACCTTCAGAAAGCAAGGCATCTCACCCTGACAAAAGGGGACACGTGATCAAACTGCATCTTCACATGACAAAAGGGGACACGTGATCAAACTGATGGAGGGACCCATCCAACTGAATCCGATCTTTCTTACCCCAAATTCACCACCAGGCAGTCAGCAGCCATTCACTGATGGCTTTCTGTGGCAGCCCCTCTGCTAGGGGTTAGATTCAGGAATACAAGATGTTCACAGCCTGGTACCTGAGACAAAACACAAACCACTCAATATAAAGCTATTTGCAGATAGTATTTTAGAAGTCTATAGGAAAGGGGGGGGGGGGCAATTCATGAGAAGCTATATAAATCCTTCTTAGGAAAGACCAGGTTTATTCTGAGTCTGGATGGATAAATAAGAGTTGGTGAAGCAGAGAATTAAACTCTGAGCAAAGGGCTGGGGGAATACAAAAATAAATATGATTTAATCCCTGTGTTCAGAATTCTGTCTTAGAGAAAGGTAAGTACATTAAAGAAAAAAAGAAAGAAAGAATATGCCTGCTACACAGTAGACACTCAACTAATATTTTGAAAGTATAAATTAAATGTGATAAATACTATCATGGAAATATGTCCAATTTCTTCAGGTGCACAAAGGGAACAACTACCGTGTTCCCCCGAAAATAAGACCTAGCGCAACTTTGGGAGAAAAAATTAATATAAGACACTGTCTTATTCTTGGGGAAACAGGGTAACTGTTTAGAAATAGAAGTTAGGACATTTGAGCTGGCCCTGACAGAGGAAGAGGAGTCTGCATGGCTAACAAGGCAGGAGCAGGCATTCCAGGCAGAGAAGCTCATGAGCAAAGGCAAAAACATCTGCCCGGGGCTCACAGGTGACCTTAGGTCGCTGGAGCCAGCCCTCCTGGCTGTGACTCGCTGAAGCTGAAGCTGGAGAGATGTTTTGGGGTCGACATTCGATAAAGAACTGAATGAATTATGGAAACATAAATATTAGGGAAGGAATTAGGAGACCAGAGTTCTAGCCCCAACTGAAGCGTTTTTCAGCTGGGTGATTTGAAAAAAATTATTTTAAATTTTATGGACCTTCAGCTGGCTGTGATAGCCAGAGAAACATAGGACTCTTTTACAAAGTAGTTGTTCAATAAATGTGTTAGGTGACTCAATGAGTAATTTGTCAGCTGCAAATAATATTTGGTTTATTTTAATGATATTTTATTTTAATGATATTTTAAAAATATTTTTAAAATTTATTTCAGAGAGGGAAAGGGAGATAGAAACACCAATGATGAAAAAGAATTGATTGGTTGACTCCTGCACACCCCACACTGGGAATTGAGCCCAGAGTCTGGGCATATGCTCTGACCAGGAATCTAACCGTGACCTCCTGGTTCATAGGTTGACCTCACCACTGAACCACACCCCTAAGTCAATTAAAAAAAAAAAAAAAAAAAGGACATCTCTATATAGTAAGTATTTACCTGGACTGGATAGTCCTAAACTATCAGAGCCAATTGTGGTGCCCAGATTGAACAAATTATGATCAGCAGATCCCTAGAAAAAATGTTTCAATTAGGATTATTTTTCCTTCTGAATATTCAAAATAAACCTTTATACATGGCTTATCTGGTCAGAACCTTTCAGCATATTGGTCAGGTTCTTTGCTACACTTTGTCCTATTTCTTTTCCCCCTTGCCCAGATACCTGAGTCTGCTTTCTGCTCTATTTCTTTACTTCTCAATCCCTGACTATTCCTTGTCTGCACAGCAATTTGTTCCCTGGAGATCGAAGTTCCAGATAAGACTCCAACATTCCCTAAGCAGGACAACCATCTTTATTCTGTCATCCCCTCAAGCTAACGAATCCCTCATCCACTAATGTCCTGTTGTAATGCGGCTACAATTTGCCAATTTTTGGCCTATACTTCAAAGAACAGTCCCTCCTCTGATCCAGGTGGCAGTGATTGTCCATTCCATTCATTGCACACCTAACTCTATGCTAACCAACATATTCTTTTTTAAATAATTGATTCTTGTATGTAAATGTGCATTTCTTTACCTTGCTCTTTTCAATTTCTTGAAAATACGAGTAGGGTTTTATGTTAATTTGTATTTCCTGTTGGCCCTTGGCATTTCATGTGCACTTATTGCCCAGAGTAAACTCTCCAGGATAAATGAATGTGCATGACCCAATGACTTTACCTAGAACTCGGGAACCAGTTACAGAAAGGCTTGAAAGTACATCCAGGTTAGATGTAACAGGCAACTCAGAGCTTCTACCATCTCTACTAGTATACTTTCAACCCCAGTGATGTCAGGAATTGGTTAAATAAGCAGATGTATACATAAGAAGTAAAGCTTTGACTAAATATCTGTAGCTGAATCATGAGAGCAGATAATATGTAGAAATAGTGAGTAGAGAAAGAAAAGAGAGATAATTTAAGGAGCACAAGTATTTAAGGAGCATGAATATTAAAGTCTGTGAAGAGTGTAATTTCTGTCTCTATATAGATTTGCCTATTTTGAACATTTTATATAAATTGAATCTTATAGCCCTGATTTGGCTCAGTGGATAGAGTGTCAGCCTGCGAACTGAAAGGTCCCAGGTTCAATTCCAGTCAAGGGCATGTACCTTGGTTGCAGGCACATCCTCAGTAGGGGGTGTATAGGAGGCAGCTGATGATATTTCTTTCTAGGAGGCAGCTGATGATATTTCTTTCTCATCGATGTTTCTCTCTGTCCCTCTCTGTAAAAATTAAAATATATTTTAAAAAATAAATTGAATCCTACATGTAGTCTTTTATGAATGACCTTTTTCACTAAGCATGTTTTCAAGCTTCATCACATTGTAACATTTATTAGTACTTCATTTCTTTTTACTGCCAATTGCATGAATAGACCACATTTTGTTATCCACTCATCAGCTGATGGGCATTCTGGTTATTTACACTTTTGGCTATTATGAACAATGTTTCTATGGACATCTGTGTACAAGTTTTTGTGTGGATATTGCCTTTCTCTTGTGTATATACTTGGGAGAATAATGTGGTAACTATGTTTAACCCATTGAGGAACCATCAGACTTTTTCCAAAGTGGGTACCCAAGTTTACATCCCTACCAGGTTATAAGGGTTCCAGGTCCTCCACATCCTCACCAACACTTATTACCTGTCTTTTTTATTTAGCCATCCTATCAGGTGAAAAGTGCTATCTCATTGTGATTTTCATTTTTTCTGATAATTATAAGAATTCTTTCACGTGTTTATTGGCCATTTGTATATTTTCTTTGGAGAAATGTCTATGCAAATACTTTACTGGCTTTTGTCTTACTATTGAGCTAAGAATTCTTTATACAAACCCCTTAAATCTTTTATCATATTTATGATTTGCAAATATTTTCTATTCTATCTCTTTTCTCGTTATTAAACTTCACCTGAGGATATTTTTTCCCACTAATTTTTTTAGAGACAGTAAAGGGAAGGAGGTGGAAAAGGTGAAGGATTGAGAGGGGGGGTGGGAGGGGAAGGAGAGAGGGAAAGAGGTTGGGTGCCTCCTGCACGCACCCTAACAGGTGCTGAGAATGAGACCTGAGATCCTTTGGTGCTCAGGTTGATGCCCTAAACACTGAGCAACACAGCCAGGCCCATCTCTACATTTTCTTAATGGTGCCTTCTGAAACAGTTTTTAATTTTTATGAAGTTTTTTTCTTATCTGAGCTTTTGGTGGCATATCAAAGAAATCATTTCCTAATCCAAAGTCACAAAAATTTGTTTTTTTTTTTTCATCTAATTGCAGCTTTAGCTTTCATAGTTTTTGATCCATTTGAGTTATTTATATATATAAAAGCCTAATAAGCAACCAGAACAATTGATCACTATGATATGCCCTGACAACCAGGAGGCAGACACTCAATGGGGGAGCTGCCTCCAGTCCACAGGCCCCGATTGCTTCCAGTCCCTACCCCTGGCCTGCAGGTCCTGATTGTCTGGTCAAACTTCCAGTCCCTACCCCTGGCCTGCAGGTCCTGATTGTCTGGTCAGGGCTGGGACAGGGAACTGGGGATAGATGGCAGGGGATGCGGGCAGCAAAGGGAGGAGGAGGCAGGAAGGCAGGGAAACTGATTGGCCCTGATCGCTAGCTAGGCCTAGGGACCCCACCTGTTCAGGAATTTCGTGCGCCGGGCCTCTAGTTGTTGTATATTATATGAGGTAGCAGGTCAACTTCATTATTTTGCATGTGTCTATCCAGCTGTACCAGTAGCATTTGCTGAAAGACAATCTTGTTTCCCCCTAAGTTGTCTTGGCACTCTGGTTGAAAATCAATTGAAACATAAATGTGAGAGTGTATTTCTGGACCCTCAATTCTATCCCACTGATATATATATATATATATATATATATATATATATATATATATATATATATATATATATATAAAATCTACCTTTATACGATGACAACAAATTCTTCATTACTGTAGCTTTGTAGAAAATTTTCAAATCAGATTTAAGAAGGGTAAGTCCTCCCATTTCTCTTTTTTAAGATAGCTTTGCCTATTCTGTGTCCCATAAATTTCCATATGAATTTTACAATCAGCTTGTCAGTTTCTGCAGAGAAATCAGCTGAAATTGATGGGGATTGCACTAAATCTGTAGTTTGCCATCTTAATATCAAGTCTTCTAATCATGAACATGGAATGTCTTTCCATTTATTTAAATTTCTAAAATTTTCCATTCAACAATACTTTTGCAGTTTTTAGAGTATAATTTTTTTTATTTCTTCTGCTAAATTTATTACAAAACATTTTATTCTTTTAGTGCTGTTGAATACAGAATTTTCTTAACTTCATTTAGTATTACTTCATTGAAGATATATAGAATCACAATTGATGTTTGTATATTGATCTTAAATCCTGCAACCTTGGTGAACTCATTTATCAGTTCTAGTAGTTTTTGGTGGATTCCTTAGGATCTTGTATACTCAAAATGTTGTCAACTGCAAATATTGAATTTTACTTTTTCCTTTCCAATCTGATTGCCTCTAGACTAAGCATGTCAAACTTGAGGCTGCTGGGCCACATGGCTCATTTAAATATAAAAGGCATATGGCATACGGGCCGTGAGTTTGACATGCTTGCTTTAGACCAGTGGTCAGCAAACTCATTAGTCAGCAGCCAAATATCAACAGTACAATGATCGAAATTTCTTTTGAGAGCCAAGTTTTTTTAAACTTAAACTTCTTCTAACGCCACTTCTTCAAAATAGACTCGCCCAGGCTGTGGGTATTTTGTGGAAGAGCCACACTCAAGGGGCCAAAGAGTCGAATGTGGCTGGCGAGCCGTAGACATTTTGAATGATAAATGAATAAACACCTTAATATTTGGAGATGCTGAACTCAATATTATATCGATTAATTGTTAAAATAAAAGAAAAAGAAAAATGTGCTATAGAAGAAAAAGAAAACCTAAAAAATCTCACCAAACTAGAAGGCAAGAGAAGAAATCTAATTCTCACATCATTATTAATTAGCTGTGTGATCCTCAACAAATTTCTAATTTTCTTCTGATTACATATTCTATTTTTCAAATCTTTTTTTTTTCTTTTGGCATACCTGTTAACTTCTGGGGATATAGAAAGAGTAGCTTTCCTTAGTTTATTCAGCATTACAACCATGATTTTTACTATATATATATATAGATCATCTTCCTCCTTTCCCATTTTTCCCTCAGAAAAGAGAATAAAGTTACCAAAGCAATAGAGTATACTAAAAGCATCTTCACATGGAGAGAAATATAGCTCTCAAAAAAGGCACAATAGAAGACATTGAGATTATAGGCAATTATAAAGAATTATCTTCTTGGGAACAAGCTGAAATATGAACACTATAGAGGTTTGTGTAAGTAATGAGTATAAATGAACAAAAAGATGAAGCCTTTACTCTGCCTAGTACTGTATTTACACTTTAAAACTATGACTAAGGAACAGTCAATGAAGATATAAAATATGGCAAAAGTGAGTTTTAAAAATATACATTATCTACAGTTTTGACCACAAAGATTATCTTTTAAAATGAAAATTTTAGATAATTTTTAAAAATTATAATTTTGATTAAAATGGCAAAAAGTATCTCCTGACATATAAACTACATTACATTTTTCTGCCAAACATTAATAATTAGACACCTTCCTCCTGCCTCTGCTAATGCTGATGATGCCAGAATATTAACTAACACTTAAACATTTTTAATTTCAAGTGTTTTGGAACCTCAGTTTTAATCTCTGACATAAAGGAAGAGGACTATCCAAGCAAGTACCAGAGTCATCTTTTTCCTTCTGACACTGTGGGAAATTCAGAGAACCGTTGGCTGCATCTGGGAAACAGTTTTCTTCATTTACAGCTGTTTTAGAAGTCTGGACATATTGTTCCGTCTCTTTCATATGTATGTTAGGGTTACTCAATTTGTTGGCATCATTTTTCTGGAATTGGGCTGGTTTGTGCTTCTGAAAACTCTGCTTCGTTTTCTCAGTTGCATTCACAGCTTTCCCAAACAATGAGGCACTTTTTTCATCAGAGGCATATCTGTCAAGGCAAACACTTTTCTTCGTTACAATTTTCTGAGTGGTTTGCAAGTCAACATTTCTATTATGATCTAACGAAGTATTTGGTGGCTCGACTCTGGCCTCAGAGCTCTTTATTATCATGTTTTTGACAGAATAGGGTAAAGAAGAATTCACTTTATAGTTTTCTTGAAACAGCTGGTCTCCTTTTAGAACTTCAGAGTTCCTAGATTCCTTTTGCAAATAAATTCCTAGATCCTTTGAAAGATGTGATGGACAATCAGAACTACTGTTAGCATTACAACATTTGTTTGCTGTGCGTACGGATAAAGTTTCCAGGTCTGATTGTACATTACCCAGAGGATGTAATGACTTTTTAAGTAGTATTCGTTCCTTTAAAGGCAGGTCCTGACGATGTAAGTCAGTAATGCCAGAAGACAGATGCTCTTCAGGATTAGTCTTTTGAAGATCACAATTTAACACTTTATTTATGTTTGTGGTGCACCATTCTGAGTTACGTGACAATTGTCCTGGGATACGTTTAAAGCTATGAGGGATGGCTGTTTCAAGTCCTGATTTTAAGCCATGAGAGCAAGTATTCCTTGGAATAGCTGGAGAATTACTAAAAGAAGTTCCCTCCCAGTCAATGCTGCTCAAGTTTAAATCAGCAATAGCTGACACATTATGGGATGAAATATTTGGTTGACTAGATTCTGAAATTAGAGATTTACTAACAGCTGTAATTTGCTGTGTAGTCAAAGGTTTTGAAGAAGAGATTAACTGTTCTTGAGTATTCAAACAGAGAGCATCTTCAGATAAAAGCAAGCTATTTAATGATGCAGAAAGAGATTCCTGGGGTAATGCAGAATCAGGGGAAATTTCCAAATTTAATTTGGAATTCTGTTTAGAAGAGATTTCACATGTGGGTTTTAAAGTTATGAGTGACTGAAAACTCATCTCATCTGTTCGTGGCAAATTATTTTCTTTAGGCTTAGTTTTCATGCCTGAAAAGAAAAAAATAATACAATATGATTAAAACCCGTTTTATTTGAATTAACTTGAGTAAACAAATAAACTAAACAGTTCAGATTGAAAACTACATAAGCAATTTCTGCATTTTTGTCCCAGTGCATTCCTAGAAACTGTGGTGTAAGTTAATTATAACAAAATAATTAATGACAACATATTATAAAACATTTTCTCCAGGAAACAATGTTTGATCAAATTCTCTTCCTTAGTTTTTCTATGAAATAAAGAAAATGTATTTGTAATCCAAAATATATTACATATACTACTTGCTCAATAAGTGGTTGGTGTAATTACTATTATTAACACTTGGTTAAGTTATCAGACACATATGAGAATGGGTTAGTCTTGGCTTTTAGGCTTTAAAATAAAGTTTATCAAGACAAAGCAGCAAGTTCTTATATAGAACTTACAGCAAAATTTAGACATCTAGACTTGTATAGAAGAGAGAGCTCCTCTACAACAGCTGTGTGTGGCTATCAAGTGAGATACTTACTTTTCTTTTTCTTTTCTTTAACTTCTAACTTTTGTTTGTGATAAACAGCAACAATCTCTGGAAAAGCTGCTTCAAATAATGATTCTTCTTCTATTGTTTGTAGAACTAATTCTCCATGTTTATCTTCTAGAGCATAATATTCTAACAGATTAAAAATACAGTAAAACAGCCTTAATTAGATATGAAAAATTCAATTTTCCAGGTAAACTAAGTCACCCGCAAATGGATGATTTATTGCAAATATTGCTTTATAACATCTCTATTCTAGTAATCTGCTGATTCTAGTATAGAATTGATCTTCTTCTGCCTAACAAGAGCTGGAAGGAGATTACCTTATTTTTTTATATTCCTTATTGTTTAAAGCACATGTGTCAAACACAAGGCCCGCGGGCCAAATCCGTCCCGCCAGGCCTTGCAATGTGGCCCGCACCGCGCTGTCATCACTGCACTCCGCTGCGTTTCCATCACAATGACAGTTTATGACTGTTCAGTAAACTATTCGGCCCGCAATTTAGGCTGGATTTTAGATTTTGGCCCCTTCTCTGATTGAGTTCGACACCCCTAGTTTAAAGTATTACATATGTCTTCTTTTCCCCCCATTGATCTCTCCCCAGCCATTCCCACCCCCAAGCACATACTCTCACCCCCTATTGTATGTGTCTATGGCTTATGTTTATATGTATGCATACAAGTCCTTTGGTTGCTCTCTTACCCACTAAGTCGCCCCCTCTTCTTCCCCCCTGCCTTCCCTTTGAGGTTGGACGGTCTGTTTGATGCTTCTATGTCTCTGGATCTATTTTTCTTCATCAGTTTATGTTGTTCATTATATCCCACAAATAAGTGAGATTGTGTGCTATTTATCTTTCTCTGACTGGATTATTTTGCTTAGCATAATGCTCTTAAGGTCCATCCATGCTGTTGCAAATGATAAAAGTTTCTTCTTTTTTACAGCAGCTAGTATTCCACTGCACAGATTTCATCTGCTGATGGGCACTTAGGATATTTCCAAACGTAGCTATTGTAGATTGTGCTGCTATGAACGGTGTATATATCCTTTCTGATTGATGTTTCTGATTCCTTAGAATATTTCCTAGAAGTGGGATTACTGGGTCAAATGGGAGTTCCATTTTTGATTTTTTGAGGAAATTCCATACTGTTTCCCATAGTGGCTATACCTATTCTTCCATGTATGAGGTGGAACCTCATTGTTGCTTTGATTTGCATCTCTCAGATGATTAGTGACTTTGAGCATGTTTTCATATGTTTCTTGGCCTCTGTATGTCCACTTTTGGAAAGTGTCTATTTCCTTTGCACATTTTTTTTTATTGGATTGTTTATATTCCTTTTGTTAAGTTGTATGAGTTCCCTATGAAGATTGGGTCTGCTTCCAAACAGTCTTCAAAATTCTTTAGCTTTCTATCTTCTTATTATTTAGAACTGTTTATCTAACTCTTGTTTTGTTTTAAAAAAATATATTTTATTGATTTTTTACAGAGAGGAGGAGAGAGGGATAGAGAGCTAGAAACATTGACCAGCTGCCTCTTGCACACCCCCTACTGGGGATGTGCCCGCAACCAATGTACATGCCTCTGACCGGAATCGAACCCGGGACCTTTCAGTCCGCAGATCGACGCTCTACCACTGAGCCAAACCGGTTTCAGCTGTTTATCTAATTCTTTATTAATTTCATCCTTCAAGTTACCTACAACTTAAACCTTCATTGATAAATCTATTCTCTCAATCATTCACCCATAAATCACACAATATCATCTCAATGCCAAACAGAAATGAAACTGGGATTGTTTTTCATTTAAATAATCTGTGCTTTTCTTGCCTTTGGTTTTGGTGCTAATTCGGAGTTTACTGTATTCTTTTCTATAGCAAAAATAAGAGTAAGACAACGAAAAGTTCCCGTGAAAACTAAAGAGTGAGAAAATGAGAAGAGTACCCCACATGCTGCTTAGCAACCTTGATTTCTTTAGAAGCAGCTACACAGTGCAATCCAATGAGCAGTATTTTCTAGAAATATACCAATCCAAACTATTTCCATATTATTTTTTAAATATTAAGTACAAAAGAAATGCCAATTAAAAAAACTAAAAGTTATTTGAAGTTTTCAATCTTAGTATTAGTCAAAGCCTATTTAAATAGCACAGGGAAACTATGAAATTAACCCCGGGTACATATTTCCTCTCTATTTTTTACATACATACATATATTTTACATATGTGTACAATATTTGCTAAACATGTATGGTTTAATGTTATAAAAGCTGCTTAAACTGAATACATACCAGGCTTTTCCCACTCTATTTCAAAGCAATGAACTCCATTTCTGACCCGATTTTTAACAATTCTGAAAAACAAATTCATCTAATGAAGTCCAATTGCTGAGTTATTGGAAGTTTTCAATTTATATATTGAATAATTCAATACTCATTGATTCTTATTCTATTTTTACAATATTAAAAATATTGAAAGGAATTATTACATTGCTATTCAACTAATTTACACAGATTTTATTGTTAGGGGTGTAGGGTTTATAATTATTAGAGCATATAAATATTGTTTCTTTCATTATTATTCAGTGTGACACTTTTCCATAATAATGTTTGTTTTAAAGTCTATTCAGTTTCTGTTAATTTTGCTACATATCACTTTGGTAAATATTTGCCTGGTAAATGTTTTAAGTCTCTGTATTTTCTAACTTAATGTATATTCTGTACATGCTTTATAAGAATATTGCTGAATTTTGTTTACTCATCCAATATAATGTCTTCTAATAGATGAGATAAATCTACTTACATTTATTGTGATTACTAACATAGTGGAACTCATTCCTATTTGTTATTCTGTGTTGTCTATTATCAAGCTTTTTCTTCACTATTTCCCCCTTCCTCCTTCTTATACTCTTTTGGTTTGGTAATTTTGTGTGTGTGTGTGTGTGTTTTAATTCTCACCTGTGGCTATGATTATTGATTTTAGAAAGAGAAGGAGGAAAGAGAGAGGGAGAAACATCAATGTGAGAAATATCAATTTGTTACCTCCAGTATGTGTGCCTTTATCAGAATCGAACCCGTAACTTTTAGGGGATGGTGCTTCAACTAACTGAATCACCAGGGCTTGGTTTGATAGTTTTATTTTATGAATTGGTTGGAAGATATTGTATTTCTAATGTTTTAGTAGTTACCCTTATATGTCTACATATACACTTTGGAAGTTTCTGACCATATTTTAACCATTAAGCAATATGCAGCTATTTATATATATTTTCAGTCAGTTTATTAATTTAGCTGTGTTTTATCAATTTTGTGCTGCCCACTATTCCTTGTTAACTACATTTTTCCCCTGAGTTCAGTTTTCTTCTTGCTGAATGAAGTACATCCTTTAATAGTGCTTTTAATGAGGACCTGTGAATGGTAAACTCTTAGTCTTCATTTGTCTGAAAATGCCTTACCAACCAGTGAATAATATTCTAATAATGTTTAAGCTGCCAATTATTTTGAAATCTTATTGTCATATCCTGACATCTATTACTATTATGAAAGATGTGTGCTATCTCATTGTCTTTTCTTTGTTGCTTATCTTTTTTCTTTGATACTTTCCTGCAAACTTTTTATTTTGAAAGTTTTAAAACTTCAGAAAACTTGCAAGAATAGTACAAAGATCACTCACATACCTTTCACTGAGGTCCCTCTATTCACTTTTACATTTTTGTCCCTTTTTGGTCACTGAAATAGTTATCTGGTTAAGCCTGGCTATAATTTCTTCTACTCTATTATAACTATGTGTTCAAAGCAGAAAAGTATGTCAGAGTATGAAGTTATTATGTTATTTTGGTTGTAAGCCCTGACTAAGCTTTTATTATTCCGGGAGACCTTTCCTCTATCTTTACAAAGATATTAAGAAGAAAAATTTAGATCCTAAGATATTCAAATGCACACACACAAATTCATACCGAATTGGCTGGAGTTGATTAGAGTGTCTTCTACCAAGTTTTCTTTCTATCATGTCATAGTGGGTCAAAAGTACCAACAATTTCTCACATGCATAGTGATTGGGCCACTCCATTTTTTCAAGAGTAAATCTCTGTAAATATAATAAAAATGAAATAAGGTTTTATCTTTTGGAGACAAAGAGCACTCAGATGATATTTTTTCTTCAGAACGAACATTAAAGTATTCTCACTGACAGAACAATGAGCCTCCTCAGGAGCCAATAGTACACAGGGATTGTGAAGGTTCTCCATTTGGATGTCAGCATGATATTTCCTAGATGTTGGTAAGTTACTTAACTTCTGTCAAACTCAGGTAAAATAAAACCCAGCTCACAGATTATGAAGATTAAGTGACATTATATGTAATATGTTTTTTAAAAAAGCAAATTTTAAATGTTCAATAAATGTTGGTTACCACTATTTCTTTTGTTGATAGGAATAAGCAAGAAGTACTTATAAGTTACTGAGCCATTGTTTCCCTACCCACTCTATTAGGGATTAATATAAATAATCTCATTTAATCCTTATAGTTACTTTGTAAGATAATATTATTTCTATTTTGAGGCTAACACATATCCAGTGTCACAAAGTGAATGATAGACTATCCAGATTTAAATTTATGTAACTGATTACAAATCACAATGTCCATGCAAATTATACTACCTCGCCTAACAGAATACTCGATCCTGATATTCTTTGGCTATCAGCCCCTCTCTCTCAATGCACCCCTGAATACAATATATCTGTACAAGGTATTTAAGGTGTTTTCTAACAAACAGCATAATTATAATTTGCCTTATGGTTTGCAAAGTACGGTTACTATGTAGCAAAGAAATGAAGACAAAGTGATTATTCCTTCTATCTTCCTAGTATTCAACTTCATACTGTAAAGAATTTATTTTTAGATACCTGAAACAATAATAAATCAGGTCTTTGATACCTGATTGCCTTTTCCAATTTATCCTTGTTCAAAAGGAATTCTTGAATAACCTAACAAGAGAAAAGAAAACAGGAAACGAGACTTCAAACTTTAAAAAAAGAAAACTTCTGAAATAAACACACTTGAATTATTAATTATTACCTCATGGAATGGGAATCCCTCACAACGGCAAGCTTTTCTGAAAATAGATTATACACACGTTATTAATATAATCAGATTAAAACTATCTCATCTCATTTAATGAAAAATGTCCTTGTATAGCATCTCAGTCATCAAGTTTCACTTTGAATACTATTATATTACCATCTCCTGAAATGGCCTATATGTTTAGCAGATTCAAGAAAAGGATTTTGTGAAATGTTAATTCAGACATGGGGGAAGGCTTTGTGGAAATACTTCAACCACAGGTGTATAAAATAGGTCATGCCAGAAATGAGTAAGTTAAAAGCAAAACTTACTTCTTAATATTGTTCTCCACTGTGATCAGTTGCCTATCCTGCTCAGTTTTGTGCCACTCACAGGGACAGCAGTATTCATAATCATGCGGTTCACAATATCGATCAGTTTGACATAATTTGCATCCATTATGCTCATGATCCTTAGGTGAACCTTTAGGGCGATATTAAGAAAGTATGATTTTCGCCGAAACCGGTTTGGCTCAATGGATAGAGCTTGGGGACTGAAGGGACCCGGGTTCGATTGCGGTCAAGGGCATGTACCTTGGTTGCGGGCATATCCCCAGTAGGGGGTGTGCAAGAGGCAGCTGATCGATGACTCTCTCTCGACGATGTTTCTAGCTCTCTATCTCTCTCCCTTCCTCTCTGTACAAAATCAAGAAAATATATTAAAAAAAAAGAATGATTTTCACTGCTTTTTAGAATTATCTTCTATTATACTTTTTTTCTTGCCCTTACCCAATTTTTCAAAAATGAATACTGCCTAACAGTGTGTGGCTTATGAAAGGGTTTCAATACATTTAGGTTGACGAGAATAATGCACACCATAATTTTTCAGGTGAGGTAGATGCTAAGCAATTACTATCACCTGACACTTTGTTTCTGCAAATTCCATTATCTGAAAGTTTTTATTTATAATTTGAAATTATACATTCATAATAATCAATGAAAAAGTTGCACTTAATTTGGTAGATAAATACAATTTGGTAGGCTATAATTATTATTAAAAAAGATAACTTACTTTATAGAATAATTTATAAAATGGTTTCCTTAATTAAAATATTAAAAGAATACAGCAATTAATTCCCTCTTTTAGTGTCTAGCTCTAAGTTACCGTGTAAGTATTTTTAGATTATGCTTGGAACATGAACAAATTATGACTGTGACAAAGGTGTGGGCCCCTAGTTCCCTTTAAAAGGAAGCATGACCATCTTCATCATTGTTTTGAGAATACAGAAGAACATACATAACCGATATGACCTAACATGATCATTTATAAGTTATCAAGAAAATATAGAATGGAATCTTATCCATAAAAATTTTTTCTTCCATGATTTCAGCTATAATATAATAATGTTAATGAAAACATAGTAAGACAAATAGGTAAATGCCCTGGCTAGTGTGACTTGGTTGGTTTGAGTGTCAACCCTTGCACCGAAGGGGGTTTGATCCTCAAGTCATGGTGGGTATGCGAGGCAACTGATGGATGTTCTTCTCTCTCATATCAAGAAAGACTCTCTCTTTCTGTCTCTCACTCTTCCCTTCTCTAAATTCACATCCTCAGGTGAGAGAAAAAAAAAAAAAAAAAAAGACTAATACATAAAGCAGAATTTCTTTTAAAAGATGAACTAACATGATCTAAGTCTCTCCTGAAGTGGAAGACCTTTCTAATCTACTACGTATCAGTGACATCTTCTTCTTTTTTTAACCAAAATTAATAAAGAGAAACCAAGCTATTTTAAAAAATAATGAACATGTTTTAGAAATTAGTTTCCAGGCACTATCTTCACACAATCAAAATGCACTATAGGACAATTAAGAACCATTTCAATGAAACAAATAGTTTCAATTCCTTTTTCCCAATATTATTAGTGTATTTTTCCCCTTAAAATAGATTTCTATATTAAAAACATAATTTTAAGATCTAAGTAATTTGGATTCATAACTTGAAATTGTGCTTGTTCTATATTTATATCACTTTATTTCATTCAACTAACATTTACTGAGTGCCTATTAAGTATATACTAATGGCCTGTACCCTCTGCAATCAGGGACACCTTGGGAGATGTCCGACTGCCAGTTTAGGCCCAATCCCAACTGGCAGTCGGACATCACTCTCACAATCTGGGACTGCTGGCTCCTAACTTCTCACCTGCTGGAAACCCCCTCCGCCTGCCTTCCTGATTGCCCCAACTGACATACCCTACCAGTTGCCCTCCCCTGCTGGCCTGATTGCCCCTAACTGCCCTCTCCTGCCAGCCTGATCATCCCCAATTGGCCTCCCCTGCTGGCCTGATTGCCCCCAACTGCCCTCCCTTGCCAGCTTGATCACCCCCTAACTGCCCTCCCTGCCGGCCTGATTGCCCCTAACCACCTCTGCCTTGACCCTGCCACCATGGCTTTGTCTGAAATGTCCAGAAGATCTCCTGGTCTGATCACATTTTACTCTTTTATTAATAAAGATGACAACTCCTATCTCTGAGGATTCCTAATCTAGCGGAAAGATAATATAAAATGTAGCTATAAAACAGGGGTGAAAATGAGGGTATCTGACACTAACACTTCAAGATATCATTCCCTATGTTTGCTTACCTGGATGGGAACACACTGAGCAATGAGCTAGTTTTTTAGTAACTAGTGGTTGTTGATTAGAGTCACAAGATTTGTCTTCACTCCATTGAATAAACCTTTAAAAGAAAATGGTTTTAAAAAGTAAAAACAAACAAACACAAAAAACCCCAAGGTCACCAAAGTGCCATCTTCTCAAATATCAGGTTATTCTGTTCCCTTCCAACCTACTAACTTGTTTTCCATTTGGTGGTAAAGTTACTGTCCAAATTAGAAAAATCCTCAATTAACGTATCTCAATTTTTAGATGTGTCCCCAAGAACAGAAGAATTCCAACAGGGGAGGAGAAAGAGTGTCAGAATAGGGGAGAGGGAGAGAAAGAATGTGCGTGTGGGCGTGTGTATACTGATATATTCATTCAGCCTTTATTTTTAAAAAAAGAATCTTTACTTATGCATACATGTAGGGAGAATGATTCATATACATTTGTTTTTTATATATTTTTTAAGTGCCAGAGTATAAAACAAAGAGAATCATGAACACTTCTGTATATCAACATAAGGGTCAAGGGCAACATATAACACTAAATAAAACATGAAGTTTCTGGGTAAGAACTGTTTTAAAAATCCAGATAATTTGAAATTGTCATTTTCTTATTATCCTTTCCAAACAGCATAAGCATTACTTGTTTAATGAAAGATTTTAAGAAAATGTATATTACTGTTAAAATCTTTACTAAATAGTTAATTTAAAAAATATATATATTTTCATTGATTTCAGAGAGGAAGAGGAAGAGAGAGATACAAACATCAATGAAGAGAGGGAATCATGGATTGGTTGCCTCCTACACCCGCCCACCCCACCAACTGGGGGGATTGAGCCTGCAACCCAGGCATGCGCCCTTGACTGCAACCGAACTCAGGACCCTTCAGTTCACAGGCCAACACTCTATCCACTGAGCCACACCAGCTAGGGCATAATAGTCAATTTTTCACTAATAGTTTCGTGTCAACTTAAAACTACCAAGAGGATAAACATCGTCATAAAATGTAATTTCTGAATTGTTCCTCTACTTAGAGAAGTTAAAGTCCTAATAAAAGACTAAATTATCTCTTCAGTTTGCTGTCTAGTAACTGGCACTGAGAGTTACTCTTTAGCTTTTGGAACTTCTAATTCATATATTACAAAGACCAATGACAAGCGTGTTAAAAATTAGCATTAATTGATGCTGGCTACTGGATAAATAATAGAGATTCAAATGTTAAAAATATACAGGGGAAAAGTTAGTCTAAGCTAATAAAATTTAAAACATAATTATAACAAAAAATGTAATTCCATTCTTTTCAAATGTTAACAACATTTAATAAAATGTTGCCAAAAGTACAAATTTGCTAAAATGACATGTAGCTGGACAAGGACCATTTTTGCTTGTTTTTTCCCTTTTTGTACTAGTTTTCACAAATCCCAAATAATTCCTTAACTCACCTCTATGCCAAAGAATACCTTTTTTTCCTGCTTTGGCACAGTAATCACTGATCTCAATAATGAATTTATTGAAGGCTTAGAGCTATCAATAGCTTTTCAGCTGAAAGAGAAGTATTATAGGAAAAAGCACAGTAATTTGAAATGGTTTTCATTATTATTCCTTCTTGATTTCTACAACTTGTGTTTCCTTTCAAGCACTCACCATCTCAAACCTAATTGGAGGCCATGGCTGGTTTAAGTCTCCAGTGTTCTCATTTTTTCCTTTATTCACTCTATTTTATCAACCTTAATATTAATTTTCATCAAGTAAATCTAGTTCACTAGTAGCATAGTTTGTACATTTCAATATATTCTTTATCTTAACTGGTTCAAACCAGTTAAATTGTACAGTCTAAATTAATTTGAATACATATATTCTTATATGTATGGTTATAGAACAAAGTAAGTCAAGTAAAAGTTTTGATCAAGTGTTACTTATTAAATATTTATAACATGTTAGGCATTTCATTTACAAAAATAAGTTCAATATCAAAGTATTTTATATAAAAATAACTTTAAGGATAAAACTATTTTAATGTTACATTATCTTTACTTGGTAGTAAAATAGTTTAAAATAGCCCATAGCAAATGCCCATGGTCATAAATAAATACATTTGACATCTACTTGTGTTTACAGTGAGCTAGTAATATTGAAAAAATATATATAGTATGGCTTAGGGTAGGGGTGTCGAACTCAATCAGAGAAGGGGCCAAAATCTAAAATCCAGCCTAAATCGCGGGCCGAATGGTTTACTGAACAGTCATAAACTGTCATTGTGATGGAAACGCAGCGGAGTGCAGTGATGACAGCGCGGTGCGGGCCACATTGCAAGGCCTGGCGGGACGGATTTGGCCCGCGGGCCTTGTGTTTGACACATGTGGCTTAGGGTATACAGGGGTTGCTTTAAAGTTGTATGTGAAACATAGAGTTTATTCTTGCATTATTATTTATTAACTATTGTATTATTTTCCATATGTAAACCTACTCTTGCCCACCCTTACTTTGGAAAATTTCAAACTAAAATTAAGATATTTCAAATGAAAATATAAATCAGTTTAAAAATACAAAAGCTTTTTTGGGGAAAGCATAATACTTTTTGTAATCCTATATAATAAAAGACTAATATGCAATCCACCAAAAGGCGGAATGACAGGTCGCTATAACGTGCACTAACCACTAGGGGGCAGACGCACAACGAATGGAGCTGCCCCCTGGTGGTCAGTGCACTCCTAGCGCAGCTCAGCCAGAAGCCAGGATCACAGCTGGCTAGCAAAGTGGCTCACAGCGGAGGTGGCCTTGGCAAGAGCCTCTCCTGCCTCCAAGGCAGCTCTAAGGACCCCTTGGTGGATATCCCCAAGGGGACCCGGACTACAAGAGGGCACAGGCTGGGCTGAGAGGACCTCCCCCCCCCCCCCCCCCACCAATGCACGGAGCCTCCGTAATATTCACTACAAAATTCAACAAGAATAAAAGTCTGATGTCACAAGAAAACTTAATTTTTAGTTACCTCTGAAGTAAACTCTGCCCTTTCAAAATCTGTATAAGTTTTAATGCTTGCTCTTTTCCAACTCCAGGGACGCCCTTTCAGAAAGGGGGAAAGAAATTCAAATGTTAATCATTAGAAAATAAATAAAGTACATTAAGTTCATTCCAAAGAAGTTGGTGCAACTCAAAGAATGTTGGTAACTCCGTAATGACAGGAAAAGATGTGCAAAACACATTGCTGTGTGTAAGATGAAAACCACGAACAGCCTATGGTCTGATCTAGATTTGCAAGTTAAGTAACAATTATATTGTTAATCTATTCAGAGGAAGACAGTCAGAGGATTATATACCAAACCACCGATATTTTTTTGGTTTTTTTTTTAGGGGAAGGAGAACAGAATTTTAGAGGGCATTCACTTTCTTTGTTAATGATTTGGGTAATACTTTTATTTAAGCTAACTTTATGTTATATTTGTAATTGGAAACAAGCATGTCATTTAATGATATGAAATTTAATATTTAAAGACCCAGATGTCAAAAAAGAACAAAAAAAGAGTTCCAAGTTAAGAAAATTAAAACAAACTCTAATTTTATCATAAATTAGCATAAATTCACATGATAATTTCTGGTTTAAGTTGAGGCTTCCAGTTCCTCTAAAAGTTTGTGAGTATGTCTTTATAAGTAAGGCTGCTATTTAGCCAATATGCACTGGAATAGACATACCAGTCTTAAAATACTCCTCAAGCGTCCTGAGTGCCTGCTGGCAAACCCTCTAACCTGAATACCCTTCCCAGCCCACTAGGATCCTGTACTAAAATGGTAGCACATGGCACAACAGACAGCAACCACAAGCCTATGTCCTCCGTATACCAGTTGCCTAACATTTTGTGTATTACTCTTTTTGTATCAGTACTTAGCTACGTTTTAAAATTTTGAAGACAAATTGACCAAATGGCAGAACAACCAGTTGCTTTAACATGTACTGACCACCAGGGGGCAGACACTCATTGCAGGAACTGTCCCCCGGTGGTCAGTGCACTTCTACTACAAGGGGAGCACTGCTCAGCCAGAAGCCAGGCTCACCACTGGTGAGCGCAGCACTAAGGACCCCTCGGGGGATGTCCAGCTGCCAGCGGGGAATGGGCCTAAGCTGGCAGGTGGACATCCCCCAAGGAGTCCAGAGCTGCGAGAGGACGCAGAGCAGGCTGAGGATGCTCCCCTCCTCCCCCGCCACCAGTGCATGAATGTTGTGCTCTAGGCCTATACTATAAAAGGCCAAAATGCAGAACGACCAAATGGCAGAACAACTGGTCGCTATGATGTGTACCAACCACAGAGGGGCTGCCCCCTGGTGGTCAGTGTGCTCAGCCAGAAGCCCTGAGCTGGGTTCACCACTGTTGAGTGCAAAGGCAGTGGCGGGAGGGACCCCTCTAGTATTAGTATATAGTCTTAACAATCTTTTAAGTTAAAGAACAATATAAATATTATAGATGGCAATTTGGGTTATGATGGATACAAATGTTCAAAACAGCTAAGGCTAATGCATAATGTAACACCACTGTAGATAAAGTTGGTTTCTTACATTCAACAGTAGGCTGCTTCTAGTCTTTAGGATTTAATAATTACAAAAGGGAAATATAAATTTTCTATTTCAGAATTACAATTATAATAAAATAATTATTTTTTGTGTTATTTAAAAATCTCATTCCTCCTTATTAGTTTTTTTTTTATTTTTAAACTTGATTTCACCATCTGGTCACATAAATTAGAAATTAGAATTAATAATTTGACTTATTTTTCCTCTCTCCTAAGCTCTAGCTAAAAAAAAAAATTGCTATTTTTCCTCTCTCCTAAGCTCTAGCTAAAAAAATTATATGTCCTCCATCTCTAGATCTCTCTTGGGGATAGCATAGACAGTATAGTATGTGAGGGATTCAGTAAGAAGAGATGATCAGTAGGGACATAATAATGGGACTACATAATAAGAGCTATAATAGAGTAATTTTATATTTTTAAATATAGTATTTAAGAATGGGGTTATCCTCATAATTCTTAATCACTCACTGAATATACCTACTTGTTACAGAGCATTATACTAGTATTGTGCATGCTAAGAATAAATAAAAGGTTTTCTGAACAAAATTGAATGCAGCACGAAAGGATGAATGGCTTATCCCAATAATCATGTAGCCTAGCAACAATAATAACAACACCAAGCGTGTGCACAGCGGGGAAAGCTAAAGACTGAAAACCAAAAAACAGATAAAACAGTGATAGAAACTAACATTAGCATGACACAAGAAAAGAATAATTCCTCTATTTCTTTAAAAGAGTAGTTGAAATTTGAATGTGAATTCTTAATCTAGAGCAAAATTCTTAATCTAGGTTATGAGATTCAAACTGTGATAGTAATTATTATTCTATTCTCATTTAGAAGCTTCAGTGTTAGAATGAACCAGCTTTTTAATGCCATTTGAAATGCTGATTATTTTAGTTATTGAATATTTTATTATGCCTAAAATTATCATCTAAATTAGGTTCTTAATCATATAACAATACTGTATTTATGCAAATCGAAAGGAATGAAAAAACCCCACATGATGAATAGTGAATTTCAGTGTACCTTTGGAAGATAATCACAGCCAAGCAGTACTGCCAGTCCAACCAGAGCATCTCTATCCAAACCTAGTTTACTCTTAACCGATGACATTGTATAACAGTCAACATGTGGGTCCTAAAAGAAAGCACAAATTTGTTTAACCTTCAAAATGTAAATGTTTATACATTAAACAGCATTACAAAAATGCATCAAAGGTGTCTTGAAGTATTTAATTATTCCCAAATGTTTAAAAAGAAAAATTATCCTAATAACCAGAATCTTTGTAGAATCTAAAACCTTTAATATCTGGAAATAGTCATAGTTTCAAAAATAGCTAAACATTTCAGTATTCATTTTTTCCTTCTTTATTATTTTCTGTATACAAAAGTAGATTTTCATTTTACAAAATTAAACACTTTAAAATATATATTACTGAAAGAAAGCTTTCCCTATAATTGCAATTTCTAAAGTTAACATTAACAGTGTGGTACATATTCTTCCAGAATACCTTTTCTTTTACACACATGCACAAATATTTGTTACTAAGCAAATTTTAAGTAAAAACAGGATTATATAAAAGAAATATTTTGCAACATTTCTTACCCACTAATATATGTATTTTTAATGTTAATACTAAATACCATTTTAATAACTGCTTACTCTTACATTATATCAATTCTAGGGAAGTGTTTCTCAATGGGGATACTATAAGCATTTTCAGAGATCACAGAATTGTCTGGCAAGAGATTTAGCTTTCCTGGCTCCAATCCATTGAACGTCTATAATCTCCCTTTTCCAACCTTCAATAGTTATAAACAAAATGTCCCCTTGTAGTAGCTCCCTAGCTGAGAACCATGACTATATTTAACTGTTCCCTGTCAATAGGCGTTTGGGTTGCTTATCAAATTTTTGTGATTACTGACATTGCTGGAAATAGTAACCTTGCATACCTCTCCATGCATATTTGGAGGTGTTTTTGAGGATAAATTATTAAAAGTAGAAACTCTGGGTAAAAGCAATAAATTTCATATGCAATTTTATAATATGCTTTTAAAACTAATTTAGAATTAAAGTATGTGAAAGAAGTCAAACCCTTGAGAGAGAAATCTACACTTCAAAGAGAATGAACTATGTGGCAATGATATTTAATAACAGTAATAAGCACTTTTTCTAATTAATCAGTAATCTCTTTAAATACTGACAGAGAGGAAGAAAAAAACACCTTGGTGTTCATAGTGAAGTTCCTATAAACAGTCTGGGCCCCGTAGAGGAAAGCATCCCCGTCATTGGTGAGGCAGCCGTCCACGTAACCGCTGGCATCAAGGTAAGCGCACATGGCTTCCGCTTCCCCAGCAGCTTGGACCCAGGGAATTCCTAAGCATTCCAGCAACTCAAGACACTGAAAAGAAAAAGGAGGTGCAAGAAATCTAAGAACACTGCTATTGCTATTTTTTTTTCACTTACTTTTCTATATTACAAACTAGAGGCCTGATGCATGAAATTCGTGCAAGGGGCTTGGCCCCTGCAGCCCCAGCTTGCCTCGGGCCCTTGCAGCCCCAGCTTTGTTCAGGTCACCGGAAGGATGCTCATTCGGCAGTCCGGTCTAATTAGCATATTACACTTTTATTATAGATGTTAACAGTGTTATATAGGTGTCTTACAAGTTATGATACTTGCTTAATAGTATCTCAAGATTCTGGAAATATCTTTTAAAAGATTAATCACATTAATATTTATGTCTGCAAAATTACAAAAATTCTCACATGATGTTGTCAATGTAATATGAGGTGATTATACAATTTGGCTTGAGGCTTTAAAGTTCTCTTCTTTTCCTCATATCATCTCTCCCTTATAATGAAACAAATGGTGGAAAACCACAGAGGTCAGCTGTTGATGTGTTCCTTGGAAGTCAAATGTCTGTGCAGAATGTTCCTATCAGTTTGCTGATGCATAAATAATCCTGAATTTTCTTTGGATTATTAACTTAATCCAACTGAGAATATTGTAGTCTTATACCCCAGTGTATTCTTTCTTGTCATGTATAATTCTCAAATTCTATCACTGAAGAATACTGGGTTAGGTGAAGAAACCAGGGCATTGTAAGTTTGGAGAGATGACAGAGTAAATATCATCTCTTTTGCTTTAACTGATCAATTGCTTACATGCCATATTACATAAGAAAATCCTCTGCCAGATGTTGCCCAACGTGGACAAGGTCCAAAGAGACAAAGTACTATGTTGACAAAAAAGGAACTTTTCAGAAGACAAGTTTTGTTACAGGTATTGTTTTATGGCAACACTATAGTTACTTCAACTTTCCTCTAGATAAGAAAATTCTTTCATAATAAACAAGAGTTTGAAATTTATTTTAGATTCCAGTGCTATTTGTCATTTCAGCTCTTCAAAAACCAGCAGAGAATTTGTGATGAGGCTGGTTGTAAATTTCCCTACCCTAAGGCCCTGTTCCATGAGGGTGTATGTGGTGTTGTAAGAAGACTAATTTGTGCCTTTCATGCTTATAAATAAAAGTTGGCAGTGGAGTAGGAGGAAGTAAGGCCTAGTAACTGAAGGTACAGAAATATGAAAATAATAGGCAGGTAACACTGAGCAAAATGTCTAAGAACACCCCAATTATTGTAATCCTATATAATAAAGAGGTAATATGCAAATTGACCATCACGCCAACACAAAAATTGTCACCCCCATCTGGTCAAAGATGGCCACCCCCATGTGGACAAAAGATGGCCACCACAAAATGGCCTGCAGGGGAGGGCAGTTGTGAGGAAACCAGACTTGCAGGGTAGGGCAGTTAGGGGTGACCAGGCCAACAGGGGAGGGCAGTTAAGGGCAATCAGGCCAGTAGGGGAGCATCAATCAGGCTGGCAGGGGAGTGATTAGGCAGTGATCAGGTTGGCAGGCAGAAGTGGTTAGGAGCAATCAGGTAGGCAAGGGGTTGGGAGCAAGCACTCCTGTATTGTGAGAGGGATGTCTGATAGAATCGAGCCTAACTGGGCAGTTGGGCATTCCTCGAGGGATCCCAGATTGGAGTGTACAGGCTGGGTGAGGGACACCCCCACCACCATCACCACCATGCACAAATTTCATGCACCGGGCCTCTAGTAAAGAAATAAAAATGGAGTAATTTTCTAAAAAAAAGAGAGAGAGAGAGAGAGGGAGGGAGGGAGAGACTACTTTATTCTGGGCATTTAATGCTCTAAGTATGTGTACCATGGTTATTTTCAGTAACTGTTTACAGAAGAAATAATGAGAATCCAGTACGTATATTTTCTTCAACTATTGATAGTCATTAAGGTGGAATAGCTACTAATTAAAAACTTTTTTTTTTTTTTAACTCACCTAAGAATAAAAAACAGAATTTCAGGAGAAAATGATTATTAACTTACATAATACCTTTTAAAGAAATAAATTGTAAAAAAAACAAGGATATGAATTAAAAGCAAATATGATAAAAAGTTTATATCTTTAATATCGAAAGAACTTGAATAACAACAACAAAAACTTAAAACTTTAAGAGATAAGTGGGGCAAAGACCATTATCCATAGAGGGACTAAAACTAGGTTAAATGTTTAACCTCACCATTAAAAGACCAATACATATTAAATATGTATATATATGTATTACATAAACAAAGAAATATCTTTGATTTTGAATACTAAGTAATACAAAGATAAATCTCCTATCATTCTGTGTTCTTATGGGTGCACTGAAATTGCTTATTTCATATCTATACTGGTGGAAAATAATTGGTAGTAGCTATAAAATCATTGGTCTATCTATCTCATTTTGGGTAATTTTAAAAATCCCAAATCACCAGGAAAAAACTATGTACACAAAAAATGTGCATCGTAATTTCACATATAATGGAAGAGCTAAAAAGTAAACAATATATACAATCCTGAGTAATGATTTTATAGCCTCATAAATGTAACAAGAGGGAAATATGAACATGACATATTAAATGAAAAGTCCAAGATAAAAATTATTTATGTATTATAATGGCAAGTTTTAAAAATATATACATTTGAAAAAAGATAAAATAATAGCAGTTTCTTATTGTTTCCATAATCTATGAAATGGATAATTTCTTTTTATGGATAATTTTTTAACTTTTATAAAAATATGTAACATTTTATAAGTAATATGTAAATACATTAAAATATAACAATAAATACTTTTAAAAATGACAAAGCCCTAAGAAAGTCAAATATGTAAGTTCAATGCATGAACTATCATCAATTCTGAATGAGTGAAGTATGAATTAATGGATCTCTGTTCTGGGAATTCTTTTTAGTGATAAAGATGTCATTAAGGTAACATGTATCAAGTCTCTACTATGTACTAGTTAATTAGATATTAGATATTTGGAGATTTTCTCTAATTTTCAGTACATCCCTGCTAAGTATTACTATCCTCATTCACACAATAGGAAACTTTTATTTTAAATAAGTTAAAAACTTGCAGAACACCTTAGAGTTTCAAGATGCGAGAGCCAGGCCTTGAACTTAGGTCAGTTTCACTCCAAAATGTAAACTCTTCTCTACCTACATTGGCCTTCTATATGCAGTACAATAAGAATGATCAAATCAGATCCAAATGCTCACCTCTCTTAACACTGATTTAAAATGTGATCTCCCTGTTTTCTGAGACCATGTTTTTCCAGAAGGCCCATACCGAATTTGATTCCTCTTGTTTATGACATCAGCTTTCAGCTTTGGGGGTTCTCCTTCCATAACAAACACCAGTTTTACATCCATTAGTGTTAAATGTGAGATACGAAAAAATAAGTTCCTGAAATATAAAAATTAGTCATATATTAATCCTCATATATTAATAGCAAAAGCCAACATAGCAGCATGCCGTTAATGGCAAGAACATTAGACTAGTACCTAAAAGGTTATATGCAATAACATTTTATGTATCCTATTTTCATGGGACTCAGAAACCACTGAATTTTTTGTTTTTTGAATGTTTTTAAGCAAGGGAAACTTAGGATTGTTTTAATTGCTATATGGAAAATGGTGAGGAAGAGGAAGAGGAGGAGGAGGAGGCAGTGGCGGCGCTCAGAACTGAGGGAGGGAAGCCGGTGAAGAAGTCATTCCGCTGTATAGATGAGAGATGATGTTGGCACACACTGAGGTGGTGCCTCTGGACAGTAACGTCTATGAACAAACACAGAAGTTTCTTTTGGAAGAACTGCCAATACTTCTGAGCGATTGGACATTGGGCCAGGTAAAACAGGGAGAATGGCTCCCAAATTTCTGGCTTATAGTCATGGCAACAGCCAAGTAATATATTAAATAGGCAACTAAGTATGTGAGTCTAGAGTTCAGAATGTAAGAGGTACAAATTTGTGAGTCATCAATACAGAGATGGCAGATTTAGGCACATTAATATCTTTTAAAATCTCAAAACCAAGACATGAATTATTTATGCAATCATACGTTTATATTCTAAGAACATTACTGTACCTGAGGTGGGGCTTTGTGACAATTCCAATCATTTTTTTGACTGTCTGTGCTTCACACACCCAGAGGCTCAGATCAACAGCAATGGTTTTCCCACTAAGACTACTCAAGTGGATGTGCTGCTTAACAGGCTCCAAAATTTGCCACAAGTCACTCACTCCCATTCTGGTTATTATCGGCTGTTATTAGAAACACACTTTTCAAAAATTGTTATTAAACACAAAAACTTAAAACAGGAATTCAAGCAGTATGTTATGCATTACATAAGAATAATTCACAAATAGAGGATTCTACTTATTTCTTTCACTTGTCAGCTTTTTGGAATCAACTAAGAATACTTAAGCCATTAAAATGGTGGTAAATGGCCCTAACCAGTTTAACTCAGTGGCTAGAGCATCCGCCTGCAGACTCAAGAGTCCCAAGTTCGATTCCAGTCAAAGGCATGTACCTTGGTTGCAGGCACATACCCAGGAGGTAGTGTGTAGGAGGTAGCTGATCGATGTTTCTCTCTCATCGATGTTTCTAACTCTCTATCCTTCTCCCTTCCTCTCTGGAAAAAAACCAATAAAATATATTTAAAAAATAAAAATAATAACAATGGTGGTAAATGACATACTGGCTATAAAATGTTGATGCAATGAATGGATTATAAGTAATTTACATGTCACCAAATCTGGGTTTCTTTGCAGTACTTAAAAAGTTATTTTTATATTTAATATAATTCAAATATCAATGGTGTCCTTTGTCCTTCCTCATTCTTCTCTCTTTTTTTCTATGTCTTCTTTAGTAGCAGCTGAGAATAAGATTTTTTCACATGGTTACCTAACATTGTATAAAAAATAGAAAATAAAAATTACCCCCCAAAAAATAATGGTGATCATTGGCTTTGTTCCAGCTAATAACAAGAACAAACGCAAGACAGGTAGAAAAAAGAGATGCTGTAAATCATATTTATCTTATTGAAAATTGCTTCCTTGATTTTCTTTTCTTTTTTTTTTAATATTTTTATTGATTTTTTTTACAGAGAGGAAAGAAGAGGAATAGAGAGCTAGAAAAGTCAATGAGAGAGAAACATCGACCAGCTGCCTCTTGCACACCCCCTACCGGGAATGAGCCCGCAACCAATGTACATGCCCTTGACCTGAATCGAACCTGGGACCTTTCAGTCCACAGACCGACGCTCTACCACTGAGCCAAACCGGTTTCAGCCCTTCCTTGATTTTCAAACAAGCCTCTATCATGATCAGGAAAAACAAAAAAAACATAAGCAAGGATCCATGCAAACAAAGCAAATAAACCAAGGGGGAAGGGGGAAGAGGTTATTGAAGGAAACGTTGAAGACAGAAAATAGAAACTCGAGGTATATGGAATTATCTCTTCAAAGAGCGTTGAAGGCCTTTTTAATTACAAGGTCTCATGTGTTCATAGTGGAAAAATAAAAAAACTTTAAAAAACAAATTTTTAAATCACCCATACTTACACAATCCAGATAAAACTATTGCTAAACTCTTTCTATGCCCATGACATTTGAAAAACAAAATTGGCTTAAATTCTGCTATTGTAATAACCTCTTTGGTATTTTCTATAGGCCAGTTTTTCCTTATTAAACATCTATATTTGTTTTTTTTCTTTTGTTATTATTTGATAAAAATATAATGCAGCATTTGAAATGATTCAATCTGACTACACATACATCCAGATTATCATCCTCTCAATAACGAACTTCATTCCAAAACACATTCCAAAACACAAGGTTGGATAAAAAATAAATAAATAAATAAAAAAGTCAAAAAGTTAATGCAAAACCATTCTAAATAAAAATACTATATTGTTGTTCCTTTAATCCAAGTATATTTTGTGCACTCATTTTTATGAAGAATTGCAGAAATATTTGCTGATATCTCAACATACAGGGCACATACAGATTTGAATGCACCATTAATTAGGTAGTTAATGGTGGCTCAGTGCTAACATTGTCGATTTCACATCAAGAAGTCCCACTGGTTGGAATGCACACTACAGCATAGACTCAAGAGTTGAGATTTCATCCCTTTGTTAATGTGAAAAATTGCACTTACTTCTGGAAAAAGAGTGAGGCACACACATTTACTAAGGCATTATTATGAACAGAAATAAGACTTAAATATTAACGATCAGAACACATAAAATTAAAAGAAAAACCCTCAAAGTTTGAGGGGGAGTTTATGCTTTCCTTTTCTTTGTGAAGCAAGGTGCTTACTGGAATTGACTGTTATTGAAGGAAATTACGCAATTCTTCTTTCCAGAGGACAATTATCATAACTGATCTTATTTTATTTGTATGTAACCCTGACTCTAGCTGTCAAATTTTAAGTGCCAGTATCTTCTGACTTAGCAATAGCTCTCCTAGGAATTTATTTTACATCTTAGGTGTGTGCAGATGTATGTACAAAGATATTCACTGTGGCATGTTTTTTTTCATCCTTTCCCGAGGATTTTTTTTTTACTGATTTTTAAGAAAGAGGAAGAGAGAAACACTGAGCCAAACTGGTTTCAGCAACCTAGTCATTTTTAATTCTTTACTTCATTCTCTAATAGCCCCTTGATCAGCAAGTTATCTATCTCCAAAATCTATACTAAGTCCCCATTTCTAATGACACTCCCTAGTGTTGCCTGTGTATGACTTTAATAGTCTCCCAACTGGCCCCCTGCTTCTAGCTTTGTTCTGTTCTCCACCCCACGTAATCATTCTAATGACGCCAGAGTAACCTTGATTAAGAGCCTAAAATATTAAAATCATCATCTCTTTGGTAATAGTGAATTTCCTTAAAGGTGATATAACTTTTGTCACAAGTTAATTTACATCTTTAAATATGGTGCTACCTTAGAGCCAGTTGTAAAATGAAAAGAAAAGAAAAAACTTTTTTTTTGTAAAATTACTGTTTCAGAACACTTTTTAATGTAATTTAGTATGTAATTTAAATGAAATTTAAAAGAGTCTTAAAATACTATTTTAGGGTTATCTTCAGTAGATCTGCATCTTAAGTTGTCTAATTTTCTTTTGAAAAGCATTTATGTTCCTTGTGAAAATAATTCATAAAAGCAGAAGAATATTAAAAGAAAACCTCAATAGTTCTGAAAGGATAAAATTATGTAAAATGTCTGTTTTATGAAAAATAACAACAGAACATATTTTAAGATGGCAGTTCATACAAAATATGTATTTCCATGACCTACTGCTTTCTTGTTACTTTCTTTGCACCACTCCTTCTTCCAAAGTGACATTAAGTACCAAGAATATAAAAGCAAATAAAATTCCAAAAAGGGACAGAATGCAACAGCTCTTAAGATATTCAAGTGCAACTACACTCAAAGATAGAACAAATGGTTTTTGCATGAGGTCATGATCACTCTGATGAGGTTACTTGAAAATAACTCATAAAATTTAAAAATATTATACATGTCAAACTCACCCAAAGCTATGTATCATTTTGCCTTACTTTTTTTTTAAATGTGGTGAAATTTGAAATTTTTGTGGTGTGAGATTTGATTAGTCTCTAGTTTTATAATGTAATAATTTGATGTCAATCTGATCATGCAGTCTATGTATATTACATATAAAAGTCTCCTAACATTCACAATTCTTAAGATTTAGAGTGATACATGATTACTTATGTGAGTCAACAGTCAGAATAACCCATAACAAATAAATTATAACCTATTAGCGGCTTCAGTTTATTTAGTTTAGTAAAAATGCACTGTACTTGGGATAAGAAATCTAGGATTTTGGTTTTGGATATAATATTGACTAGCTGTATACCCTTGGGAAGGCACATTTAACTGCTCTCCAAAATGAAGGATATTAACAAGATGAATTACAAGATTCTGACATCCTTGAAGATCATGACCAATTTTGGTAGCTTGATACCAGAAAGAAAAAAAATCCAATCACTCTATTTCAGATATTATTACTTGGCTGAAAGAACATGAATTTCTAGTTTAAAGAAAGTGCTTAAAATTCACATTAGGTTAAAACAAAAACAAATCCTTTGATGTAACCATATGGTGCTCATAAATCAATTTATGCTCCTAAAACTTCCTTAAAAGCTAATAAGCTTTTATTGGTTGATTATAAAACTGAATGAGGTGAGAAAAGCACAGAAGCTTGCTAATGCCAATAATGAATCAAATTTTTAAAAAAACATAAAAAAAGGTCTGGTTCATGCAAAAATACATTTTATTACTAGTAAAACAACAGTTTTGCAATTTTACTCAGTTTTAAGCCAAAACATTAGAAACTTATTTAAAAAATTGTACTGTATGGGATTTCTCACATAATTTCATTAATTTTTTTTTAATTCCGTCAGTTTTATTTTCATATGAATTTAGTTCTAACTTTAAAGCATAATATAATCTGGGCTTAACTTAGCTATCCATTAACAGTAATTGCTTACTATTTATCGCAAGTGCTTTTAAGTGCTGGAGATACAATAATAAAAGATTAAGCCTTGAATTCAAGTAACTTAGTAGAAGTGAGACTAGAGGTAAAAAGAATTATAACAATGTGACAAGTACAGGTACAGACATAGGAGAGGGAACTGCTACCAACCAACTCTAGGAAAGCTACCTAAAGGAAGTGACATCAAAGCAGACGCCTCCCAAAGTTTCCCTTTGTTTACCAACAGGACCCCTTAGCCTAGATGTCACAGCGTTTCTGACTGTTTAGACTATGTCATACTTATTGTATCAAGGCAAGGACCATCATGGGACTACAACATATATATTTGATTATCTTCAAAAGTAAAAAGGTGGCTTTGGTGGAAGGAATTTCACTACCAGACGTCTGACATCCACTTGTCTGAGGGTGCACTGGGGTAGCGGTCAATGCCACTGTGTCCCCATCAGGAAAGGAAGCCAGAAAGATTGCTGCGTGAAGCGTTGCGCACAGACATTAGAAGTGGGTTAAGGTCGGGTGCAGAAGGGCGCGGAAAGCGAAGTCAAGGCCCTTCTGGACCCGACCTTAACCCACTCCTAATGGCCCCGAGATTTACTGAGCAGCGTTACAGTACAGGCCGGCGCGGTGGGGGGGTGAGGAGGGAGGAAGAATGGCCGTTAGTTAACCATCATGCCTGAAGGCAAGTGCTGTCATGGAAGTAGTTTTCCCAGCACCACGTTTACACTGACAAAGGGGGGCGGGCGAGTATGTCCCACGGGGATCAGTAGGCTGGCCCGGAGGGCCTAGAACAGGCGTGGGCGTCGGCCGCACAGGGTGCCCAGGGGAAGGCCGTGGAGGACGCAGCGGCCTTGGCAGAGAGGTTAGAGCCCGAGGGGCCGGGACACCGAGTTCCCGCCCCGGGTCAGCTCCGGGCCGGAGGCGCAGGGGCTGGAGCCGAGCCCGGGGGTGGAAGCCGGGCCGGGGGTGGCGGGCCGCGGACACAGGGCTCCCCGCTAACCACTGGCCAAAGGGCCGCGGACACAGGGCTCCCCCCGAACCCACCGGCCAAAGGGCCGCGGACACAGGGCTCCCCCCGAACCCACCGGCCAAAGGGCCGCGGACACAGGGCTCCCCCCGAACCCACCGGCCAAAGGGCCGCGGACACAGGGCTCCCCCCGAACCCACCGGCCAAAGGGCCGCGGACACAGGGCTCCCCCCGAACCCACCGGCCAAAGGGCCGAGGGCCAGTGCCGGGCCCCGGGGGCCGCCTCTGCACGGCCCGTGGGACTTACCCCGACAACCCCTTCTCCTCGGCTCTGGAAGGCGCCCCTCCGTCGTGTACCAGTTTGGCCCGAGTCCTAACTAGCTGCTTTCCGTTTCTCAGTTTAATCTTCTCCCCAAAAAGAAAACTAAAAAAAATGTCCGCTTCCCTTCCCCACGCAGAAGCAGAAACCCGCGGCCAGGTCGCAGCGCTCGGACGCGGAAGTCTCCCGGGAGCCCTTCAAATCCGGCGCCGCCGCGCGAGGCCCCGCCCCTTCCGGGAAGTGGCGGACCGCTGCCCCCAGCCCCGACCCGCCCGCCCGCCAGCTCCGGGCCGCGCCGTGGTACGCATGCGCCGAGCTGTTGCTGGGCCTCTGGGCCATCTTCCCTCTCATTTAGGCAAATCATCCCCCCCCCCCCCCCTCCCTCTGCGCGCCGCCCGGCGTGCGTCCGGCCGCGGCGCAGCAGCCCCAGCTGTTCCCGGCTTCCCTCCCCCCCCCCCCGCCGCCGCCCGGGGGCACTTCCGGCCCCGCCTGTGGACAGCAGTGGCGCGAAAACTGCAGACCGCGCACGCGCGGGCGGCGTCCCGGCGGGCGGGGGGGGGCGTGGCGCAGGCGCGGAGCGTCCCGGGGTGGGCGCCGGGGCGGCCGCGCTCCTGCCTCCTCCTGCCGCCGCCGGCGCGCGCTTCCCGGCGGGCCAACGGCTCCCAGCCGCGGCCGAGGCGTCCGGACGAGCGGCCCGGAGCGCCCCGTGGCGGCGCGACCCTCCCGCGGCCGGGTTCCTCGGGGAGACTCGGACTTGTTGGAGGTAGGCTGAGGGTGCGCGCCTCGGCTCTCCCGTGCCCCGGGTGGCGTCCCCGTCGCTGCCCCGGTCGCCGGCATCCCGCAGCCCGTGTGGGGGCGCCCGGGTCCCCGGGGCTCGGCTGGCCCGGGTCCGGCAGGGTCCCCGCGGGCCTGGGCGGGCCGGCCGGCCGGGGCCGCTCGGCGGGCGCTCTCCCCGCGGGCGGCACGGGTCGCCGCTGCCGCGGGAAACTTGCCCGCCGGCGCCGGGCCCCTCCGGGCAGCCGCCGGGGCGGACGGGGGGAGCCTCTGCCCGTCCCCCCCCCCCGGGCCCGGGGCTGCGAAAAGAAGCCGGAGGGGCCGCGCGGGGTGAAAGGGCGAGGCTGCCGTGGGGTACGGGGCGCTTTATCAGGAATCTGATGGCGATCACCTCGCCCGAAGCAACTTATGTTTAAGAGAGATTTGCAACTATCACTTGCAGTTGCCTGTGCGCTGAAGCCCAGGTTCATGGAAACGCCAATCGCATGTTCTAGAAAAATGAAATTGTGATGTTTGGGTCTTAGATGGCAGCGTTTCTCTCCCCTGTTTTCTTGCGGAAATGCACGGGAGAGGAATCCCCCAATCGGGGAACTGCAGGGACCCAGGACCTCAGGGTAGAGAAGGGGGTGTGGGACCCAGAGGGCTTGGGATAATTCCTAGAAAAAGCCATGCTTTGTGAAGACAGTTATACTTCATGAGCAGGAGATTAAAAGCGAGTGTTTTCTAGACAAGCTATTCTGGAGTGAATATTTAAAAGAAAGAAAAAGTCGGAATTCCCTGGCTTTGAGAAGGCTGATGTGTAGTCTTTTTAAAATTTTCAGCAGCAGATGCGCTGGCCTGCAGGTAGTTTGTTCCCTGAGTGTGGAGGTGGGGTGGGAGCGTGTTAGACCTCCTTAGATTTGCTCTCTCTCTCTGTGCTGTTGCTGTGCGAAGTGTACAGAGTACTTCGTTTCTTTGGAAATGTGCATTCAGAATTTCTTTTTCCTGAATGGGTTGTAACTACAAAAAAATGTTGAGATCCTTCGATTGTTATTTAAAAAGCATGTTTTTGTACAAGGCAGAACCGGTGGTGTCTGACCCCGGGCAAACGGGTACCATCTCTGTTAAGTCTCACTTCCTCTTCTGTAATTGCATAAATTAACATAATATTTAACTCACAGGATTCTTAAATATATTGGGGTGGGAAGCGTGTGCGAGATAGTCTCATTTATAGCTCTACGTTTACCTATAATCTGTAATAAGGCACTTATTGAACCTGACAAAAAGTAAGTATAGTTGACATATTAGAGTTGTTACAGCGAAAAACAGATTTTACTCAAAGGTTTATTTTGCTGAGTGCTTAGATGTAGAATTTTATATAAAACCTGCCTAAATCCTAACTATCCCTTTTAGACTTAAGTTAGGAAAATTAATCAAAGTAGTACTTGGCTTGCTTTTCAGGAATTAGTACATAACACAAATTACCGTTAATAGTACACATTATATTGAAGGCATATTTAAATGCTACTGTTCAGTTGACTCAGAAGTCCCGATGACTGAGAGTTAAGTACAGTCACTTGCATTAATATTAGCATTTTTTTAAAAATATATTTTACTTGATTTTGTACAGAGAGGAAGGGAGAGAGATAGAGAGTTAGAAACATCGATGAGAGAGAGTCATCGATCAGCTGCCTCTTGCACACCCCCTACTGGGGATATGCCCGCAACCAAGGTACATGCCCTTGACCGGAATCGAACCCGGGACCTTTCAGTCCCCAAGCCGATGCTCTATCCATTGAGCCAAACCGGTTTCGGCAATATTAGCATTTTTGATTCACTAATTAATGAAATACATCTTGCCTCACTCAACACACTTTCGCTGGTGACCAAATTCAAAATAATTTCTGTGTCTTTCTCAGCTCCACTCCCCAGTCCACCGCTGCAGCAGAGTGTGTTTTACTGCCTGTTGGCCTCCATCTCCGTCTCCTAGGAGCGCTTCATACTCAGTGTTTTCAAATAAGATTAATGTATTCTATATCCTCCCTCCTGGCCAGACCTGCTTCATCTAACTCGAATGGCATGTTAGCATGAAATGGGAAGGTTGTTTCTGAGCATTAAACACCAAATAAATTTTTATAAAGTATAGGAACATTGGAGGGACATATCACAATAGGATCTCTTATGTAGTTTTTATACATTAATGAAGGGCAGACAAGAAGATGGACAGATGAATAGCCAGTTTACAGGCGGTAAACAATTAAACTGTCCAATTCAGTCGTCTATGCCTGGAGGAACTTGGGCGCTAAAGAGGTTTCAGTTTAGGTTTTGACAAACCTGGGTTTGGATCTGGGCTACGTAAACCCGGGCAAAGGTCCTCTTGAGCCTCAGTGCCCCCTTTTGTAAAATGAGGACACTTCCTAAGGATGCTGAGGATTAAGGGAAATCCATGGAATGTTTATCGCAAAAGCCAAGCACACAGTCAAGCAAGTGGTTATTCGACAAATATTAATTCTACTCCCCCAGGTTCCCCAATCGTTTACATCCCCTGGTTCCACCTCTTCCCATCATCTGGTATTGCGTTTGTTTTTTCTGTTCAGTTCCCACTCGATCTGTAGAGACTGGTCTCTTGCCCATCCGCCCTCTACTTTTAGGCCACAGGATGTTCTTAAAACATAAATCTGACTGTTCGAATTTATTAACTGAAACTCTGTGCCTAGTACTTTCCAGTTTCACTTATCTGGGATTGTTTGATGGGTGGACTTAATTGGATTTTTAAACTTAAATATTTATATAATTACCTATTATATCTCATATGATTTCATGATATACTCCAAGCAGTGTGCTTAACTTAAATATTTATATTATTATCTATATAATGTTATCTATTAATTAAGCAGTGTGCTTGATTAATTGAGTACATTAAAAATCAGGTTGTTTAATGCACAATGAATGTATCCATGGTGGCGGGAGGAGTAGAATTGGGCACGAAGTAAACAGTCCACAGCAGATTCAGAAGTAGTACCAATTTGCCTTTTATAACTATGATTTTTTTTTTTTTTAGAATTCCAACTCTTGTTATGTCTGCTCTCACTGCTATTAGTTCCAGCTTAGTTAAATGGGAAGCATGAATTATTAGGTGCTCACAATAAAATCTAAAATCTAGAAATTTATAATCCTGTTAAAATGCATCTGATGTCTATCAAATTTCTTACGCACATACTGTCAGGAATTGACCAGCAAAATTATATCCGAAGCATGGAGGCATGGAGCAGACTGACATACTTGGATGTGGGGTTGGAGAGAAGAGAAGAGATAAACCAAAGCACTTATTATACATACTTACATGCAGAGTCCATATATAGCTGATAGGGTAGTGGAGACCTTTTCCTCCCCTTTTTGTGTATTCCAGAATATTTAAAAGTATTTTGGGGGAGGGGATCTTCCGTATCTATGTCTCTTTAACCTTTTGGAAACAGGTTTTCTGTTTTAACCTGTATCTACCTTTTGAGACATTTACATGTGATTTTAAAAACCCATTATCATTAAATCACAAAGTGATTCCTATTATAAAAGGTAGGATCCTTCAGTGTCTGTTAGGTGCAGGTTACCATGGCAACCTAGTAGCAAACGGCAAATCCCAGACTAAGCACAGCAAATAAAAAGCATCGTCTTCATGTAGCACAGTCTTCTGTGGAGTGTAGAATCTCACATTCACTAAGAAGCTTATCACACTTACCTTTGTTCATTTCTCTCCCCCAGTTTCGTTTGATTTTCTAGGAATGGTAAAATTCTAACATCAGTCAGCTGCTCTATGAGTGCCTGCTAAGATCATGTTATTAAGCATTAATAAAAACAGTGTCTAAAAGGGCACTTAATGTTGTGCAAACCTGAAAGTAATGTTTCTTCTTTGCTCTTCTATAACAAATGAATTACTGCTCCGTAATTGAGAAATGAATGGAGGATAGATGGGGTGGGAGAGAAGAAAGTGTTGGGGGAAATGGCTTGATGGCATTCTAGGGAATTTAAATTAGCAACAAGTGAAAACTGATATACTTTGAGCCCAGCCAGCTCGGCTCAGTGGTTAAGTGCTGACCTATGAACCAGGAGATCACGGTTTGCTCTCAGGTCAGGGCACAGGCCCAGGTGTGAGCTCAGTCCCCAGTGTGGAGCGTGCAGGAGGCAGCCAAGCAATGATTCTCTCTCATCATTGGTATTTCTATCTCTCTCTCTCTCCCCCTTACCCTCTGAAATCAATAAAAACATACTCAAATATATGTCCATTGATTCTTGTTATTAAATAATTTGAGGAATATATATGATTTTCAAGTTTTGATTTGTGTAAGAGATTCAAAATAAACATTAAATTAATGTAAAATAAGGATATTGGGCATTAGTATGTAATTGTGACTGTAATGGTAATGTTTCTAAAGACATTTGTTGAGGTTAAAAGTCCTTTGGATGTTAACTAATATACCTTTAGAGTAGGAGTGTCGAACTCAATCAGAGAAGGGGCCAAAATCTAAAATCCAGCCTAAATCGCGGGCCGAATGGTTTACTGAACAGTCATAAACTGTCATTGTGATGGAAACGCAGCGGAGTGCAGTGATGACAGCGCGGTGCAGGCCACATTGCAAGGCCTGGTGGGACGGATTTGGCCCGCGGGCCTTGTGTTTGACACATGTGCTTTAGAGTGATACATGATATATCATGATAAATGAGGTTCATCATTGCCTTCAGGATAGGATAAAGTCCAAGTCCTTTAATGTTGTTTACAATAGTTGTTCTTGGACTTAAATAAGCTTAGGAGCTTCTGAGGTCTTCTAAAATGAAGCTTCAGCTCCATTTGCTGTGGGGTGTGGCCTGAGATCTGGCAGTCCAACACATTCCAAGGAGATACAGAGGCTGCTTGCTGGTCCTTGGGCTGCGCTCTTGAATACAAGTCTGAAGTCATTCTGTGGTCAGCCTTCTGCTGTTCTGACTTCCTCCTCTGCTGGCCCTGCCTTGTAAACAATGGCCTGTGTCAGGGATTGCTTACAGTGTCTCCCACAGCAGCATCTGAGACTTTCACAGGGCCTACACGGTAAACTGTTTGTAATAATAGTAAGATGTTCTCTCCCCTTTCACTTTCATCCGCTTTTGAATGTACTGTGGGGCTTTCCAGAGGTTCTAAGACATGTGATGATGTCATTGCTCTCACGACTGATAAAATGTGTACTTGTGTGTTGTGTTCATTTATAATATGGTAAACATTGATAGCTATAAAAGAAAGTTCTTTGATGACTGTAGTATCTCTTGAGAGACCACGACCTTTGAGAACTGCTGCCCTACGGTATTGGGCTGTGGACATAGAGACTCTGATCTATTGTAGAACTTCCCCGAGCTCTTTGCTTAGCCATAGTGACAGCTGAGCCCGAGTGGAAGCTTCTGCTCCCCACATGGTCACCTCTCGGGCAGTGGTAAAGGCCTCCTCAAACACCAGGCCCGGGCAGTTGGGAGTGGGTGGCACCCTATTGCCGCCTGGCGGGTTAAATGTCTCAGCTATTCAGGCCATCTCCACTGAGGTCATTGCCATGGTTCTCCCTGGGCCTGCACAGCCTTCTCTGACAGCAGCCCTGTTGGGAGGTTGAGATGACTCCTTTTAGCCTCACCAGAGCGGAAGGCCAGGTTACCCACTTGGCCTTCGCTGGCGTGGGGGCCTGGGGCACAGTTTGTTCAGTGGTATTTGGCTGGAGTAGAGCAATTCTTGCCAGAAAGTTCTCTGTCGTGGGCCCTTTTCCTGATCCTTTGGCTAGAGCACATGTGTCAAACACAAGGCCCGCGGGCCAAATCCGTCCACCAGGCCTTGCAATGTGGCCCGCACCTCGCTGTCATCACTGCACTCCGCTGCGTTTCCATCACAATGACAGTTTATGACTGTTCAGTAAACCATTCGGCCCGCGATTTAGGCTGGATTTTAGATTTTGGCCCCTTCTCTGATTGAGTTCGACACCCCTAGGCTAGAGAGAACAGCTTTCCTTGGCTCCATCCTGTCTTCCACCTCCCCTGCACCTGCACCTGTTGGTGTTTTCCCAGTTGTTGTCTTCTCCAAATCTGAGAAATTTGAAGCAAAGCAAAAACTCAGGGAAATCACCAGGGGGTCATTCCTTGGGTGGTGAGATCCCTATCCAGTCTGCCTCCTCTTTCAGAGTCTTAGGTCTCTTTTACTTATTTTCCGGTGTATAAGACGACCCCCTAATTTTACAGTTAAAACATACAGTTAAAAAAAGCCTGCTCAGATTGGTCAGAGTCAGAGAGGCGGTCTATTAAAAAAAGAACTGGTGTTGCCTCGGAAATGGGGGGTAGTCTTCTACAGCGAATATAGGCCTAAACCTATGTTTTAACTGTAAAATTAGGGGGTTGTCTTATACGCCGGAAAGTACGTTATATATAATGTTCAAGGTTTTTAGTTTTACTAAGCAGGAGGAATCGGAAAATACACCTATTCCATCCTATGGAAGCGGAAGTCTCTGTCCTTTTTTAAACTTGCGCTGTGGGAGATCTAGTCTCACTGCATATCCCTTCTATGTGATTGTATAAACTATATGAATAAATACTAAAACATTCCCATTGAAGAAAAGCTAGGTTTGGTGGAACAAAGAACTAATTTCAGAAAGAAATGTTAAAAATTTAATGAAATAGAATTTGCATGAAAGGAGTCATGACTATGTTTGAGGATTTATAAAATATAAGGTGATTTTGTGTAGTATATTTGGGCTCTAAATTATCAATATTTTGGAAAGTAAAAATTAGGGAAATTTTTTATTTTCCAATTCAAGAAGATATAGTGAACCTGTAAAACCCAATATACAAGACAGGAAGTGAGATGATTTCGTAAAGGTAACTTTAGAACAGTCTCCACTATCTAATTAGCTTTAAGCCTAGTTCTTTCTCACTTTCCAAACACATTTAAATGTCATGTTATAGAGGTAATTTCAGAGCTTTAAAAAGATAGGAGAACTACTGATTTCACTTAATAAATTGTCGTAATAACAGACTTGCAAAGATTGTTCTCCGGAATAGTTCCTCCAAAATAAGCATAGGCATTCAATACTTAGGAAATTGGTTCTGTCATTGTAAGTTTGAGAAGCAGTGTTTTTTTTTTTTTTTTTTTTTAAGTATCACTGCATGAATGTGTTTTCTTCACCCTCCTTTTCTCTTCCACACCCTTCCTAGAGTCCCCGTCCTGTTTCTGCACACCTGCTCATGCTCTGTAACACAGCTGCACTAGCCCCCTCTCTCCCAGCACACGTGCACTTAGGACTGCTTTCTTGACCTGTGTTCATGACATCACTTCTAAGGAGGACTGACCACAGCCTTTAGTCCAAATCCATAAAAGAGAAAGTCTCACTGAATGCCCTGCTGCCCACGCCCCGGGCACAAACAGGGTTGCCATGGTGTATGTAGTACTTGAGAGACTGAAATTGATTGAGCCTAAAACTATTCTCACATTCTTTTCTAGTATCTTAGAAACTTTTGACTACCTGTGCCAAGGATTTGTCTCTTCATTCACCAAACAGTGATTAGGTAGCTGTCTTTTGAGGTTTTAATGCATTTTAAAGAGAAAAATGAAAGCAGCAATCAGAGTAGTCATAACATTTAATTTCAGTCACAGTCTATCAGCTGCAACTTGAAGTGTAGTTTTCATATGTTTAGAAAATCTTGTGTAATTTTAAATATATTCCTTTTCCAGGTATAAATTTTATAGTCTGTGGGTAAGTCAATGAGCATGCACTTTCTTTAAGGAACGGTTAAGGGAAATTACTGGTGCTAGGCAACACTGCTTCAAAATATACTTCTTTGGGAGAATAATATTTTTAAAAAGTTTTATCCGATTGACTGTTACTCTATAACTTGTAAAAGTTGGATGTTTGCTCAGGAATAATTTCAGAAGGCATTATGCCATCTCTAAAACATCTGGGAAACTAGAAACCAAAGGTACAAACATCTTGTACCTTTTGTGAATTTAGGAGTCAAACTATTTAGGTAGGCCCATATCAGTAAAATGGTGGCCATAAATAATGGAAGTAAAATCAACTAGTATTCCATGTGCAGATGATTTAGAAACACACACACAGATGTATTACCTTAGACTTCCATGGGGGAAAAGTCTGACCGCCTCGCTGGGTAAAGTCAGGGCGGCGGTGGGTCTGTGCTCCTTCCTGGGGCTCTAGGGAAGAATGTCTCCTTGCCTTTTCTAGCCTCTAATGTAAGGTGACCAGACGTCCAGCTTTCGGCGAGACAGTCGCGATTTTTAACAATTTGTCCCGTGGGGGATGCGGGACAAATAGTTAAAAATCGCAACTGTCTCACCAAAAGCGGGACGTCTGGTCACCTTACTCTAATGACACCTGCATTCTGCTCATGGACCCCTTTCTCCATGCAGATGACATTTTAACCTTTTTAAAGTCAGAATGAATGAGCATAGTACTTATAACTAAGCTTCGTCCGGTTTATTTTGTTAAGTTTAATGTATGTGGAATAATCATATGGATACTGTACTTGATTTATTCCATCGTTACAATAATATGTTAACATTTGTTCAGACCTGATGGCCAAAAGAAAGGAAGATAATTTCTGCTCTCCTGAGAATGCCAAAAGACCAAGACAAGAAGAGGTGGAGGTGGAGGATTTTGATAAAGATGGTGATGAAGATGAATGTACAGATGCCTTCACTAACGGTACCTCTACTTTGGTAAGTACGAAACTTTGGGGTTTTTTTATTAGCATGTTTCTCATGTCTGGTTCATATGTCATATTCCTGATAATTCAATATCAGGAAAAACAATATGACTTTTAAAAAACTGAGGTAAAATAACCTAATTATTAAGTTTTTGTTAATTAGAAAAAATTAGTAGAGAAAAGCAATGATATAAAGAGTTAGTTCTTTGGAAAAAGCAATAAAATTGACAAACCTCCGATAAGACTTTAAAAGGGGACTATAAAATGATACAGCTACTCTGGGAAATAGTTTCCTACAATGCAAGACAGCCTTCCTCTAACAGGAAATTTTCTGACTCAAAATATTAGTATTATTTACATTAAGAAACCTTGTGATTTACTTATTAGATTCCCTAAGGAGTTTAGAATGAGTAGTTACTCACATAAGGCTCACATTTAATTTCATTTCACTCATTGTTTGAAGTTTATGTTATTCACTTCCTGCAACTTTTTTCATGGGTCGACACTGCTGATCTTTCTCCTGCTGTAGATGTTGGGATAGTTATAATGAATGAATTGGGCCGATTGATTGTCTTCTTCCATTGTTTTTTAATAGACTGCAGCAGAAGTTGGAATAATTGAGAGTATTCAGCTAAAAAACTTCATGTGTCATTCAATGCTTGGACCCTTCAAATTCGGTTCTAATGTTAACTTTGTCGTTGGCAACAATGGAAGTAAGTGCTTTTGCTTTCCTTTGTGCACTCTGAGTACTGCATTGACGTTAGAATGCATTAACTTTTCAAAATGGGCGACTGTTAGTGCTGATAAATCTGAACTTTAGGTCTGTAACTGTGGTCAAGAATAGTTTCAGTGTTTGTTGCCATTCTACACGTTAAGAAAATAAGTTAGCACTGGGTTCATTATGCAACAGAGATTCATAAAATTCCTGTTTATTCTTTTGGATCTATTTACCTTGAGATTCACACCATAGAAGAATGGGTAAGCCATCCTTATTGTAATTGAGGCAGCCCTGTGTCTGCTTCTATTAAATGCTGTAACAGAGCATGAATAAAGTGCCATGGGCATCCAAACGTGGGAAAAACTTCTCAATCTTGTGACCAATGAAAGCATATGAGAGCTGCTATTTGTGCTGGGACTTTTCTCGTTGGGGAAGAAGCTGAGATCTTCCAGGCAAAGATTGCTCATCAGCTAAGATTAAGGTATGTGGAGGTAGAAGTGGATGCCTGTGCAGAGAGGCAACAGCCTTATATGGCTTGATATCATATTGTACGTGGTAGGGAGGGGCGAACACTGACACTGGAGAGTCAGGTCGTAAGTGATACTGTTGGGGATCTTGGATGCCATGGTAAGGAAGTGGGCGTTTTATTCAGGAGTCAGTGGAGAACTAAAGTTTGTGAGTAAAGTGATGACATGAACAGGATTGGTGAAACAAACTGGCCACGCTGTGGAGAATCCATTAGAAGGGGAAGACACAGGAGTTAGAAAGAACAGTGATGTAACTTTTGTGATAGACCAGCCAGGCATGAGGTGTTGCGAGCTTGATTGAGCCAGCACACTGGGAAAGGAGGCATGCCAAAGTCTACCACTGCTAGGACACGAACCTGGGTACCTGTAGTTCCACAGCCTGTTTAGTGCTTTGTTTCCCTACTCTGTATTCAGCCGAGAGGGAAGTGTTTTCAGGAGACAGTGGACAGAGGGATCGGTGTTACATGGAGGTCACTAAGGACAGTAAGTGAAGAAAGACTAGTGGGTTGGTCCATTAGTTCCTCTTATTTTTAACTCTTGAAACAGTGATTTTATTAATAAACTTAGAAAGAAATAATGCAAGTAGTGGAGGCAGTGCATTTAGAAGTGAAGGAAGAGAGTTAGGCTAGGGACTCGAAAGGCATCCCAAGAACTAAATGTGTTAACCAGTGGTATATTTTGTTTTGTTTTTTTGTTTGTTTGTTTGGTTGGTTCATAAGTAGATGCTCAACCACTGAGCCATGCCAGCTGGACAACCAGTGGTATATTTTGGTTAATTTGGACTGTATTGTGGCAGATAAGGGGCCAATAAGAGTTGATTGAATTGGTTGATGGTGGAATGCACAAAATAAAATGGTTATCATATTCTGGATAATAGTTGTAGGTTTTGGAATTTCAGCTTGTGATATTTTATGTAAGTTAGGGTAAAAAGAAATACACTTTTAAAGTGCTAACTGATGAATAATATTCAAATTAGGAGCAATAATTGTCCAGATATTTATTTATATGATTGATAAATTTTTCATATGTACGTTCATACATGGGAGTGCTATTATGAACAGATATTGGAGACACAGCATTGAATAAAGGAGACAACATTCTAGTCTCAATGGAACTTGAATTTAAGGGTTGTTAAAAATGGTTTCTGGCTTCTAAGAATTTATGGAAAAATAAATTTTAATTAACTTAGAATGTCATGAAAAAATAGATGAGTTAAATATGTATGTGTATACATATAGTTAGGAAGTTCAGTGATTATACATGGTCCAAAGTACAATGGGATTTTTAGGTTGAAAAGGCAGCAACTATTTCTTTCCATTTCCTTATCAGTGGCAAAAATGTAATTCCTGAAATGTATCAATTTTTCCCAATAGCATTAGCTAAATATTTCATTATATATACCACTTTTTTCTTTCTTTCTTTCTTTCTTTCTTTCTTTCTTTCTTTTTTTTTTTTAACATTTGCTGCTTTGACACTGGAAGAAAATTATAATTGAAGTGTAATACTTTCAGGGTTAGGCTAATTCACATTTTTATTCTGAAATTTTTACATCAAATTGTAGGCGTCAGCACTTCCTTTTCTCGCTCTCTAATGAATGTAATTCTTCAACACCCGTTTCTTTAGGTGGGAAGAGTGCAGTGCTCACAGCTCTTATCGTCGGCCTTGGTGGAAAAGCAATTGCTACTAACAGAGGATCTTCTTTAAAAGGTTTCGTGAAAGATGGACAGAAGTAAGTGTTTGCTTTCTGCTTGTATTTGTCAGTTTTTTCATTCTAGCAGCTACTTTAGATTCACCGTCCAGGTAGACGATATAGGAAATGAAGTGGCTTCTAGAACTGGAGCCCAGGAATCACAGCTCTCCATTCCTTTTTCTTGCCCCTGTTCCCAGCATGGCCCGCTGTTGCCTGTTCTCCATCTCCAGACAGAAGGCTTGTGCAAATTATTGCCATGTGCCTGTTCTGTTACCTTTCTAGAAGAATGAGCAGTGATAAATCTATGTACTTGTGTTTCTAGCAAAATATTTGTAACATGGAACTTTGATTCTTGTTCCAAACCCAACTTTGGCAAATCCACGTTGATAGGACACAGGTGAAGGCAGAGTCTGTCAGCAGTCAATGTGTCCCTGCACAAAATTTCTGCCTCCAGCTCTTTAAGAATTCCAAGAGTATTCTACTCTCTGTCTCCGATTTTTATATCCTTTACTCAGGTGATTAACCAATGAGTTTGATTTGTGGGCCGCAATCACAAATCTGTTTGTGGTCCATCTTGACCCTTGGTGAATGGTCTCATAACTATTCAGTTTGGCTTCAAGTTTATTTTTTTGTTGTTGTTGCAGCTTGCCTTCACATAACTTTATAGTAATTGCCTAGTTTGCATCATCAAAAATTCATGGCCTTTTGCCTTTTAGGAGCTCTCTTCAGGATGATGTCCTTATTTTATTTTTAATGTTGCCCCTGGTGGCTCAGTGGGGACCTTGCTTCTCCTGAGAACTAGATGTCCCACACTGTCACAGCTCCCAGAGTGGGGCTGCTTCCAGTACTCATTCCTCTCCTATGCCGATGCCCAAAACATCAGGAACTTGGATAATTAATAGTGATGCCTTTTTCTTATAGAATAGACTTTTCTCTATTCAGTGTCATATCCATTTAACTTCCCCCATTTTATTACTAAAAAAAATAGAATAGGGAGGGATGTGAATCAGGATTGCAGTTTCTGATGTAGCTCTCAGGAACCTTGGAAATCTGGACCCTGAGCCAGGGTTCCAAGCTGACTCAGGAGTCGCAGGGGAAAGATACACAGTAAACCATTTCCCGTGCTGCGTGGCCTTGGGCAAGAACTATTTGGTAAGAATTCTCCAGCATATTTTTGGTCAACCCTTATCTTATTTGGGCCCTAGCCCAGCAGGTTCTTTTCCATAGTCCGCAAACAAAATTATATCTGAAATAAAAAAGTTAGTTATTTTAACACTTTTTAGTTAATAGTCCGGACTCAGTTTTAATTCATTATATAACTATACATTTCTTAGTTGTCCAAAGAGTTACCTCATCTACCTAGCCAGATAATGCGTTGATCGAATGGAACCTTCAGGAAGAAATTATTTTTTTGGTATCACTAAATGATTTCTGACTCAAATTCCCTCCCCTCTTCTCCCCTATTTGGGAGGTGCCTGAACCAAAGCAGAAACTTTTTCTGAGACTTGCCCTTGGAAAACCATTAAAAGGGAGGAAGAAAGAAAAGGGCTAGCTTACACAATCCCCAGCTTTTGAAGCCACAGCTGTCTGTAGATAGGAACATCAATATATTTTAAACAGAGTTAATAACAGTTAAAAGCTTTAATGTGAGCTCAGTCTCCTTTTTACTGGCCTTGTCTGAAAAAGTAGCTATAAACAGCTTTTCCAGACCCATTACTATTCCTGTCACCCCTTTCCTCATTTAAAACATTTGGTATCTGTAAAATTCCCCTCAATTTATAGTGTCTGATTCTGTCATCACATTTTTACAGAATCAGCTCATTGAGCTTTCCAGTTCTATTTGTAGTCTGTTCTGTGTCTAAAATCTATGTGGCCATCCCTCTGTGTCTGAGGAATGGCCTTGTCTGGCACAGGTGTGAGATGGCCTTATGACTCTCCTTCCTCCAGTCAAACATTACCCCCTTCACTTGTGACACTCGGACTGAGAGCTGTCTTAGAGATGCTTGCCCAGCATGGTTAGGAGAACAGAGAACTGTGCCATTAGACCCTTCACCTGGGGCTCAGCCATCCATCCCCCAGCCCTTTTCAGTTATACAGGGACAACTACTCCACTATCCTCTGATACATCTCCGTCCTTGGGGACCTCTCACAGTGAGCTCAGCTCTCATGCCTCTGGCTGGTCAGGTTCCTCTTGAACATGACAGTTCACCGTTTCCTCCCTCAGCCAGCCTGGTCTAGCCCTCGTGGTGGTGGGATCTTTGTACCTGTCTTGTTGCCATCAGCTGTGGCATTGGGAGTGGGGGATGGAAGGACTAAAACTCAAGGTTACGGAACTTACTGCGGAAGAGCTGGCTACCCAGAGAAGGGACAGATACGTTGTATTTACACGTGTTTTCCTTGGTCCTCGATCCCATCTGTGTGTGCTGTCAGTTACCTTTGTGAGGTGGTTTCATCTGGAGAAAGAAGCCACATGCTTACCGTGGCACTGCTTGTTTGTGTTGTCATATCTCATTGATAGTTGTCTCTCTTCACATATGCGTCTCCCGTATTTATAGACACTATGGCCCTTGACCCAGATCCAGTGTAAGCCACATCAGTGTGGTTGGGAGGAAGGAGTTAACCCAGCTCAGTCTTCTTTCTCCGCTTTCACAGGTGTTTTGAAGTACTATAAGGGGTTTTTTCTTAACTCTTCATTTTTTTAATAACTTGGCTTTCTTATATTTATTAAATTCCTATAGCAACAGGATGTCAGAGCCTCTATAGTTCTCACAATACTAAGGTAGTTTTGAAATGCAAGCTGTAAGCTAGGAATGAAAATAATGAAGTAGATGTTTGCTAATCAAGAGAGATTTTGATAATTCAGACAGCATATCCAATCACTTTATTTTAAAATGTTTTCATGAAGCCCTAAACAGTTTGGCTCAGTGAATAGAGCGTCTGTCTGTGGACTCGGGGTCTTGAGTTTGATTCCGGTCAAGGGCATGTATACCTTGGTTGTGTGGAGGGCGTACAGGAGAAAGCTGATTGGTATTTCTCTCTCATCTATGTTTCTGACTCTCTGTCCTCCCTCTCTGTAAAAAAATCAATCGATCAATAAATGTTTACATGAGATACATCACTTAATATGAGGTAATCATATTAGTTAATGAAACATTTTATGCACTGTATTATAGTGCAGCTCCTTCCTGATCATACTTTATTGATTTTCAGCCTGAGTCTTCATTAGAGTCAACTCGGGAAGCTTATAACACTCTTGGTAATTACTACTTGGCAGGAGCATATCTGTCTTCATTAGGTGTCCTGTCTAATAAATACGCTAATTGACCCTCACACCATCACAAAAATGGAGGCATCCATAGCCAATAAGGAGTGAATATGCTAATTTATGCCCCGCCCTCAAAGATGGCGGTGCCCAGTCCTCTCAGCCCCCCAACCACCCAGGGCCAGCCTGAGGTGCAGGCAAGTCTCAGATGGCAGCTGCCCAGTCTCCCAGGGTCGCCTGAGGCTTAGGTAATCAGGGCTGGCGGAGGCTTGCGCTGCCAGCAGCTGTCCCCTCCCACCCCTGAGGGCTCCCAGACTGTGTGAGGGCTGAGGGACCCCCCCCACTCCAGTGCATTGAGTTTTCATGCACCAGGCCTCTCGTTTCTGAATAAAAGAAAACACACCAACCCATTCAGGGGTGTTTTTGAAAAGGAGATTTGTTATAAAGATGCAGGGATATATCTCTTGGAAGTTTCCAAGAGAAAGTAGAATTGGGTCTCATAAATGACCAGAAATGAGACCCTCAGAACCGAGTGTCTTCTGTTTCTGGTTTTCTCTGCGCCTTTGCCTCTAGGCAAGTAGTCTCTCCGGTTCTTCAGGCCCTTGCTGTTCTCCTCTAGGCCACCTTCCGCATCTTCCCTACCTAATTGCCTGTGTACATCCCTTTCTCCTGATGACAAGTGTGTGAGGAAATTAGTGTTATTGTTTCTGAAGCATGTGTGCTGTTACTGTTTAACAAATTGTTTCTGTATTAGATAGTCAATTTTTTTTTATAAAGCTTCCCTTATTCTCAATTTTAATTTTTTTACTAGGTGTGATATCTGGTATACAGTAACTTTCCAAATGAATTAGCCAAATTACTTGGAAGTTTTGAAAGTTTAGTAATCTTGCACTGTACCTTCATGTACCTTCATGTACTTAACCTTGTTGCTTTAGCTCAGCAGACATCTCGATAACATTGAGGAACAGAGGAGATGACGCCTACAGAGCAAATGTGTACGGAAACTCCATAGTGGTGCAGCAGCACATCAGCATGGATGGCAGTCGGTCTTATAAGCTGAAAAGCGAAACAGGTTTGTTATGAGTTCTTTTCATTTCATATAAAATATTAATAAACATCTAGTGTAAAAGAGTTAAGTGATTATGCTGGTATTTATTGTAAGGGCACTACTTACCGGTAGTTCTTGAAACCTCTTGTAAGATGGTCCCTTGGCTGCATGTATGTATACATACGTGTATACATGCATACCAATATTATACATACTTGTACCACCGGACATTCTACAACAAAACCACGATTGGCAGAATTTGGGTTTGTTTGAAATACGCTATGCCATTTTGTTCTCTGCAAACCCTCTTTCAGCCCCATAGTTTCCATCACATGAGAGAGTTGGTTAGCAAAAGGTGGGAGAGGACATAAAAAGGGAGTGAGTGTTAAGAGTTATGGGAGCCAGAGATGAGAAGGAACAGAAAATGTTGAGCTGCGGGAAGGAGAGAAGCACAATCACTGCATCTGTGCTCTCCCTCTGTGGGTACTTGAGTCCTGATAAGTGTGAATATCTGCTCAGTTTTTCTCTGTATTATTGCCCTAGAAACAGTCTGGTTATTTTGTCTTTCCTGAAACTAGGCACCGTGGTTTCTACTAGGAAAGAAGAGCTGATTGCAATTCTTGATCATTTTAATATACAGGTAACTGCTAAGTTGGTATTTTACAGATGGTAGAATGAAGGGGTTTAAAACTTTTCTCTTTTATACTGGCCCTACATATTCTATCGTTTAGGATCAGGATCATTTTCTAATATACCAGTTGCTTTGTTACTTGTACCAGGAGTATAAAGTATAAGACCCTGAATCTTTTTGAAACAAGTAATTTTTTTTAAAGTTTTTTTCGACTATAACACATGTGTCAAACACAAGGCCCGCGGGCCAAATCCATCTCGCCAGGCCTTGCAATGTGGCCTGCACCGCGCTGTCATCACTGCACTCCGCTGCGTTTCCATCACAATGACAGTTTATGACTGTTCAGTAAACCATTCGGCCCGCGATTTAGGCTGGATTTTCAATTTTGGCCCCTTCCCTGATTGAGTTCGACACCCCTAGACTATAATTTGAACTGTTAATATACTTTATATTATTACCTTAGCTGTACTTTAACTTGTTAGCCAAAGGTGGTTGAATCCAAGCAATGGCTTATTTAAAATTACTCCTCACTCCAAAAGATAGAAATGACTCCAACATTTCCATTTCTTTTATAATGTCTTCATGAAGGAATAACAACAAATGGGAACTCTGAAAAACTGCTGGGAGAGAAAGAAACAATACTTAACATAATTCTGATTAAAAAGAAACTGACCTGGACCCTTTTGTATTTAGAGAAACTAAGTTGCCCAAGTCTACATAGGAGGGTAGGAACAGAGCCCAAACCAGGTCTCCAGTCAGCTGAATCCCATGCTTGGGCTTTCCCGACTCCTGTCCAATAGTTAAGAGTAGCTAGGAGTGGTATTCTGTAAAACAGATGAAAGAAATGAAAACTTTCTGGTAAAAACACTTCTTCAGAGAATTCTTATAGTTGTGCCCTCCTGTAATAGCAGAATGTTTAATTTTGACTGTAGTATACATTTTAGTATCATGAAATATTGAAACATTTTCTATTATAACATTCTTTGTATATTTGCCCTACTGCTTTAACCATTGGCTAATACTTAGCCTGCTGATGTAACCATAGGTCAATTGTATTGTATATATTCAATTTGTTTATCTTTAAGGCATTAAATTGACGTATTCAAAAATAACCTTTTGTTTGCTTGTTTACTTTTTTCAGGTGGATAATCCTGTTTCTGTTTTAACACAAGAGATGAGCAAGCAGTTTTTACAGTCTAAAAATGAGGGAGACAAGTACAAAGTAAGGAACACAAAGTAAACGTGAACTTAATAAAAGAACACATTCATAGGTTAAGCATATATTCTGAACACAATTCTTGTTTCCACAGTTAATATTGAGGGTTTTTTAATAAGCCACCTATTTAAAGTAAATATTACAAGGAATCATTTAGGAAATTGTTAAGTAAGATAATAAATTAACACTACCAGAATGTTAATCTTTTGGTAAGTTCTTGGTCCACTTTTTGGCTTTTAATTCTGAGGTAGAATGGGTTATTATTTTCTAAAATTAATCTTTAAGGAAATATACAAAGGAATGATTAACCACATATTATAATAACTTTTTTAAAAGTTTTTATTAAATTCATTGGGGTGACATTGGTTAGTAGAGCCATATAGGTTTCAAATGTATATTTCTATGGTACATGATGTGTATATTTCATTGTGTGCCCACCACCCACCCAAAGTCAAATCATTTGCTAGCACCTTATGTTTGCCTTCCCTTCATCCTTTACTACCTGGCCTTCCTCTTCCCTCTGGTGAGCATCATACTGTTGTCTATGTCTATGAATTTGTTTTATATGCCAAACATAAGAAATCATATTTCTTAGTTTTGTCTGAATATTAATTTTTATACCTTAAATTGTTTAAATCTCAAGAAACTTACAAAATTGTGGCTACTACTAAAATTTACATTGTAGCTTTTGAATGGGTTTAAGTATTTCCTTTTCTAAAAATTTACAGTGTACTAAGATCAAACATACAGATGTGTTCTCTGTTTCCATTTTTGCTTAAAGAATGGAAATCAATGAAATAAGCTTTGAAAATGGTATTACTATCCTAGCAAAAGTGTTTTCTTTCATGGAGTTTTAAGAACTTTGCAAATGAACATGTAGATATGAACATAGTAGGTTAAGTAAATTTTGGATCTGAAATAAGACATGTTCTTTTGTGTTTATGTATTTGCTTGCATATGTTTTTCTTGTCTTGTTTAAATAATTGGTCTAAAAATTTTGGAGGCCTTTTTTTTTTTTTTTTTTAGAGTTCCATGGAAATTTGCAAATTCTTAATTGTGTTTTCCTTGTTGTTGATAGTTTTTCATGAAAGCAACCCAGCTCGAACAAATGAAGGAAGATTATTCATACATAATGGAAACAAAAGAAAGAACAAAGGAACAGATAAGTCAAGGAGAAGAGGTTTGTAAACATTTAATGCAGTTATTTTTGAGATCAGTCAAATTTCTATAGGTATAAATGTTATAAAATTATATACATTTATATATTTATATATCTGTCTATATGAAAGTAATATTTTCAAAGTACCTATGAAGTGTGGTTTTTATATTTAGGGATTTACCAGCCTTTACTTTTTGTTTTGTAATAATGGGTATGTACACATATTACTTTCTCCGTTACACTAAAATTAGGGCAGTATCTTACATATGTAATCTTAAAATATGACCAATTGGTGAAAACTCGAAAAGTAGGGGTGAGCATATTTATTTTTATTTCCCACATCATCTTTCAAACTTGGTATATGTGGATGTACTGTAAACCACAGCATTAACATAGCACACTTTTCTTGGAATATCAATATTATTAATGGGGAAAGGAAATGCTTGCATATTTATTTAAATGTACTTAGTATATGTTACATTTATTATGTAAAAAATCAGGACTTTGAAAAACTTTTCTTGAGACAGCCTGGGGTTAAATACCCACTTTCCTCATGGTATACTTTGCCATCAACATTTAAAGATATTTTGATTATGAAGTTTAAGAAGTACTTCCCTATATCATGTAGCAGAGTTCTGTATGCAAAATGTGCACTTAATAAGAACTTTTTTTTTCTAATTCATTAAATGCCCCATATTGCTGTGCAGAAGGAATAGATGTGGAGAGATCAATAAAGATGGTGTTATCTTCATCTAAAGAGGTGATAATGACATAAACTAGGGTGGTGGCAGTTGTAATGGAGAGAAGAGTTTTGGAATGATTTGGGCAGACGTTATATCACATGTGTCAAACACAAGGCCCACGGGCCACATCCGTCCCGCCAGGCCTTGCAATGTGGCCCGCACCGCGCTGTCATCACTGCACTCCGCTGCGTTTCCATCACAATGACAGTTTATGACTGTTCAGTAAACCATTCGGCCCACGATTTAGGCTGGATTTTAGATTTTGGCCCATTCTCTGATTGAGTTCAACACCCCTACATAGTACCTGGAGGAGTAAAGTTGAGACAGAAGAGACAGCAAGGGTGACAGAAGGACACCCCAGCTGTAGAGTATGTTTCTTAAGATAGGAAGCTTGGGAACCAGTCTTCCTTCCTCGCTCCCTCCTTCCCTCCCTTCCTCTTTTACTTTTTTCTTTCTTCCTTTTTTCTTTAAGAAAGATGATGAATTCTATTTTGAACAATTTAATTTTGGGCTGCTTATAAAGTATCTAAGTACAAATGTAAAGTGGGAAGTTGGATATATGAGTTAGGCATACAGAAGTCCAGCCTGGCCTCAGTAATAGTTTGGGAGTGGTCAGTATATTGTTGGTATCTAAACCTGCGGTCGCCAACCTTTTGGACCTCACAGACCACCAGAGGTCCTCGGACCACCAGTTGACGACCACTGATCTAAGCCATATGTAATGTCTGAGACTGAGAAGTGGGAGAAAGTGGGCCCAGGCCGGCCTGGAGCCCTGAGAAATAAGTGCTTGGAGTCGCAGAAACTAAAGGAAGAAAGAATATGAGAAGGAAGTGGGTCACCACTGTACTGAGGGGACAGACACCACACAGATGGACAAATACTCATCTATATTTAGTGACATGGTCTTCGGAGACATCTGTGGCGAGATAAGAGTTTCAGTAGTGGCGAAATAGACAGATTCACGGGGCTGACAATGTGAGGAAATGCAAGAGATAGAGATTCTTTTCATGAGACATGAATGAAAGGAGACTTTAGAAGAGGAGGTGTTCCCAGGAATGGATAGTGGTGGTTTTGTTTGTAAGTGGGAAAGGTAAATGAGTAGAGAGTAAAATATGATAAAGGGAAGGATTCAGTGAAGAGGGTGAAGTGGAAATGAATGTAAAAAGATGCCATGAAAAATAAATTCATATAGATCTGAGAAGGCAGAAGGGGATGGTTGAATCCAAACTGTAGGCAAGCGATGGAACTGGACTTAAGGATAAAGAAGCCACCTCTTCTGTAGCTGGTGGAGGAGGTGACTGATTTAGATGTGTAGGTAAGGTGGTGGGGAGCTGGAGGGAATTCTCTCTAATGACTACTACATTCTCTGAAGTAGGAGGCGGGAGATTGAACGAGAGATTAGTGTGGCGGAGAGTATGAGGGTTGAAGAGTAATGGTGGATTGAAATAACCCTGGAGAATGGGAAAGTGACTTGGCTAGGGAAGCACAGTAAAATGAACAGTGAATGTGTAAGCATGGATGAAGGGGAGAGGCGTCTATCCAGGTGTATAGAACATAAAGTCTAGGAGCCACTTCAGAAGCTGTTCTGATGTCATACTTAATATTGGTTTGATGATTTTACTTATTAATTAATAAGAAAGGACTTGGCTAAGGAAATTTATACTTTAGTTGATTTTTGGAAATAATTTTCTTCTGGGTCTTCCAATGTGTTGAGAATGGGTGCAGAGTGTGCTTTGCCCAAAACACATATTAGTCTGTGCATCTGATATGGAATAGAGAGAAAATGGTAAACTGTTTCGTGATTTGTCTATACTTGTGTTGTCTTTACCCTTTATTTGGCCATTTTTATAGTACAAAAATTAACAAAATTGCTGTATCTAGTAAAAAATACCAAAGAATCAAAAATACTTTTATTTTCGCCAAAACCAGTTTGGCTCAATGGATAGAGCGTCGGCTTGGGGACTGAAAGGTTCCGGGTTCGATTCCGGTCAGGGGCATGTACCTTGGTTGCTGGCATATCCTCAGTGGGGGGTGTGCAAGAGGCAGCTGATTGATGACTCTCTCTCATCGATGTTTCTAACTCTATCTCCCTTCCTCTCTGTACAAAATCAATAAAATATATTTTAAAAAAATACTTTTATTTTCATCTTAAAAAAGTCATTTCCTAGCAAATCTTTTGTAGTACTTTTTTAGACAGTGTATAAGAAGAAATATATTTGTGAAAAGTCTTGTCTTTTCAATGTTAGTAAGAAATATATCCTTTTTTTTAAAGCGACTTGTTGAACTGAAACGCCAGTGTTTAGAGAAAGAAGAACGTTTTCAAATAATTGCTGGTTTAAGTACAATGAAGACTAACTTAGAAGGCTTGAAACATGAAATGGCTTGGGCAGTGGTAATTTTCACTTAATTATTTATTCACATATACTTGTATTATCAGAGTATATTTGGTTACACTTAGTGATTTGCTATATAATTTCTTTTTAGGTCAATGAAATTGAAAAACAACTGAATGCTATCAGAGATAATATCAAAATTGGAGAAGATCGTGCTGCTAGACTTGAAAGGAAAATGGAAGAACAGCAGGTAATTACTATTTTTATGCTGATTTAGTATGTTGAATCATATGAGATTGCTGATATTAGACTATTATTACAAAAGTAGCAGTTCCAACCTTTATATTTACCTAATTTGAATTTGTTACTCAAGTGAAGCTGACCTAAACTTTCGTTCAAGGAGTATTGTGGCAATACTTTTAAAAAGAGGACTATTTGGATATGATCAGTTAAGATTCAAAAAAACTATCTTCCACTTAGGCCTAGAGATAGAAATTGGTTGAGTAGTACATAAAGGTAGTCATTTGTTGGGATACTCCACATGAACTTTTTAAAATATATATATTTTATTGATTTTTTACAGAGAGGAAGAGAGGGGGATGAGAATTAGAAACATCGATGAGAGAGAGACATCGATCAGCTGCCTCTTGCACACCTCCTACTGGGGATGTGCCCGCAACCAAAGTACATGCCCTTGATTGGAATCGAACCCGGGACCTTTCAGTACACAGATCGATGCTCTATTCACTGAGCCAAACTGGTTTCAGCCACATAGACTTTTTAATACACAGCAGATCCCACTCTTTATTCTCACCTCTCCATTCGTTTCTTTGTGTGTCTGTGTGTGTGTGTGTGTGTGTGTGTGTGTGTGCACGCGCACGCATGTTGTGTGTTTTAAGATATTTTTATTGATTTCAGAGAGGAAGGGAGAGGGGGAGAGAGAAAGAGAGAGAAACATCAATGATGAGAGAGAATCATTGATGGGCTGCCTCCTGCCCACCCCACACTGGGATTGAGCCCACAACCTAGGCATGTGCCCTGATTGGGAATCGAACCGTGACCTCCTGGTTCATAGGTCAGAGCCATACCAGCCATACTCCATTCGTTTTTAAACAGCTTTATTGAGATATAGTTCCTATACTATACAGTTCACCCATGCAAAATTTACAGGTCAGTGGAATTTTAGTATGTTCACAGGGGTGTGTAGCCAGCACTGCAGAATTCCACACAGTATTATGCCAGAACTAGGGTTCCTAGCCTTTTCTTTCTATGTGGGACACCTTAACCCCACATTCCAACCCCCTTACTCAGTGTGGTTGACTTACCTCTGAGTATTGTATTATTCTTAGTAGTGGCTGGCCCACTAGCTTAGATGTAACTGGATATCATCTTCTCTACCTTGGTTTTTTCTGTGCCTCCAAGTTAAACAGATATGTTTTTTTTTCTTTTTAAGGGTTCTGACATTAAGCTATTAAAGGTAATAGATGAGTATGAAAAATAATAGAAATGCTACAGGTTGTACATTTTCTTGGTGATCTCTGGGCTGAGTTTATTACTCCCTCTTCAGGTAAAAAAATGGAAGTTCAATCCCACCTACTCTCACCTCACATACTCATTTTGGAGAGATTATTCTGAAATTTTCACTATATTTTTCTCAATCTTTCTTAGCTTCTCATGTGGAAAAACTTTTCAGTTACTCCCCTCTTTAGGTATTCACCAATCTAGAAATGGAATCCAGTCTGTACTAGGTACTCACCCTTTTTTTTTCCAAATAGGAAAAGGAAAATCTTGAGGCTGAGTAAAATTTGCTTCTGTATTTGTTGGCTCCACTTTAACTATTTGGGCACTTTATGTAGTAAGTGGTAAATCACTGACCTAATTTTATATTTATGTCCTTCACCCTCTGTCTTATATAAAAACTTTCCTGTAATATATGCTCAGTTGTTGATTATAGAAGGACTATTCTGAATAGTGTCTAAAGCAGACTTTAAACTTGTGCAACTTAATTTAAAACTGAAAATATATGATATGTTTGTACGTATAACACATAGGCCAACTTTAGTTTTTATTAAAAAAGCATACAGATTATACCATGTTTTAATAATAGAACTTGGTTATCATTCTCTGTAATGCTTCCTAAATATCCCAATACTGACCATTACGTAATCTCTATTTCCAATTCAAACGTTTATCCTGAGCACTGATTCAAATTTTGTCTTCACAACTTTATATAACCTGCTCCAGAAACTTTAAACTTAGCATGTCTGTTGACTAGCTGTGAGAGACAATGACTCACAAATTCTGAGGCATACACTATCTGGCTTTTTCCAGAAAAAGTTTGCTGATTCCTGATCTAAATTGTTCTCATATTTGCCACTTCTAATCCATTCTATTGTCAGTGCCCCATTCTGGCCTCTGTTAACTTCTTAATGAAATCATTTTCTTTAATTTTCCTCTCCAACCTACCTTTCTTGGCTCCCAAAGTGACTTACTATACAGATTTGGCCAGATCTTGCTGCCAGGAAGGTTAAGCTGTAAGCTGATCACTGTGGAATTCAAGACCCTTGTACTTCGTCATCTCATCTTCCTCCACTACCTTCTCAGTTTAATCTCCAGAAATATTTCTAACTCCTAAATGGTTATCAATCCCTTTCCACATGCTTCTCCCTCACCCTCTAACATCTTTCCTCAGCTTTTCTCCTGGTACATTTTTGTTAAATTTTTCTAGCCTCAGCTCAAATGCTACTCCTGCTTTGAAGACATGCCTATTTTTTCCTGGCAAAGCTATGGGTTTCTTCTGTTGCTTCCACAATTATAAATAGGCATACCTGACTTCAGCATTAATCTATTCAAGCTGTTGAGTAATATGCATGCCTATTTCTCTTCTGAATTGTATCTATCTTTCTTTAATTGTGTTACTTGAAGACAGTTGTTACAGCATCTTTGTATACCCAGAATATAACATATTTGCTGGAAATATGGAATTAGAATTTAATTATATTTTAGTATTTTATAATTATATTTGCTTGCCTGATATCTGGAGTTTAATCAGTGAAATTAAAGTTATTATTGGGGTGTGAACTATGTATAATTTTTAACATTTCTATTTATTGAGGAAAAATAAAACATATGCCAACAATGTTATTTTTTTAAAGGTCAGACTTAATGAAGCAGAAAACAAATACAAAGATATTCAAGATAAACTGGAAAAGATTAGTGAAGAGACAAATGCACGAGCACCAGAATGCATGGCATTGAAAGCAGATGTCACTGCTAAGAAAAGAGCCTATCATGAAGCCGAAGTGAGAAAAATTGTCCAATCTGGGATATTAAAAACTGTCAGATATATGTCAAATATGTCAAATATAAAGACTCTTCATTTGTTTTTACAAATAGAGGTTTTGTAATTGTGTTGAAATCTGTGTTGCTTTAAGACTTTAAAATATGTTTTCATTTGTTCATTTTTATTTTAAATATATATTTCTGCTTATATTCAGCCACTAATTTGAAGACTTGGTAAAGTGGACTTGAATGGGATATTTATTTGTTTTTATTTTACTGAAGTGTGTTTAATTTTTCGTTAGATTGTATATAGCCGTTCCCTGGATGAGTATAGAGCATTAAAGAAAGATGATGAGCAGCTTTGCAAAAGAATTGAAGAACTAAAAAAAAGGTAAAGTAGCTACTTTGTGATTTTTATGGTTCTTTCATTTTGTAATAAAGTAGTCTAGGTGAAATGGAGTTCTGTATTTTCTGTATTATTGTCAAAGGGTTTTATCACATTGCTTTATGTTTTTTTAATGTTAGGTTTTTCATTTAACATTTTCCACTTTGGATTATTTACTGTTAGTGCCGATCAGTCTTTGGAACCTGAGCGGTTGGAAAGGCAAAAAAAAATAACTTGGTTAAAAGACAGAGTAAAGGCCTTACAGGATCAAGAAATTTCTGTCAATCAAGAGATGGAGCAGTTTCAGCAAGCCATAGAAAAGGACAAAGAAGAACATACTAGAATTAGGTAAGTTTCAACATGCTTACAATTATTTTTTTCAATTACTTGAAAATCACATAGTGTTGCTCTTCATACAAAGTAAGAAAACATGGGGGGTTTTGTTCTACATAATTAGGGACTTTTTAAAATCATTTTTTGAGACTTTTCTTATACTCTTAGAGTTGAATACCTTCTGGGATTTCTAGTCCCCATTGTTGCATTTAAAAAAAAAATTTTTTTTATTTTTTAGGATTTATGTCTTTTTTTCTCCCGCTGCACAAGTATTTTTAAATAAAGACATCTGTCTGCTTTTAGATTTTAGGGTAGCGGGGTCTGTCATTGGTATGCAGGTGTTAGGGGGAACGGGTGAATATATCTATGTAATTGTGTCACATGTCTGCTCTGTTCTTCCACCTTTATATTTTAGGAGAGAAGAATTAGATGTGAAGCAAACACTGAGCTATAATCAGAGGCAACTGAAAGACCTGAAAGATAGCAAAACTGATCGACTGAAACGATTTGGCCCTCATGTTCCAGCTCTTCTGGAAGCAATAGATGATGCTTATAGACGTGGGCACTTTACCTATAAACCTGTAGGCCCCTTAGGTATTTGTCACCATTTAGTTAGGATATAATAAACATTAGAAATAAGGTTTTATTTTCAGGAGTGGGTCTATTGAAACTAATTTTAAAACTATTATATTATCAAGGAGCTATATAGTTATGTGTGAATTTTAATTGTACACATTTTAAGAAATAGTGATGAGTCATAGTAAAGTTTATAACTTTGCTTTTGTATCTTTAAAGCATAAAATAGTCAAAAGAAAGAGAACTTAGGAACATAATTAAATCTGATTTTTTCCCCCTGAATGAATAAACTAACTTTAATGTGGCATTTCCCATTCAGTTAAAGTAATATTTGTAATATCATTTAAGCTGCTTTCTATGAGAATATTTTAACATCATATGAACTATTTTAGAAAGATAGTTACACTAATACTTAAAAACAAGTATTTATGGGCCTTTTATGATTTTGTCTCACTTTTAGGAGCTTGCATTCATCTTCGGGATCCTGAGCTTGCTTTGGCTATTGAATCTTGCTTAAAGGGACTTCTGCAAGCTTATTGCTGCCATAACCATTCTGATGAACGAGTCCTTCAAGCACTGATGAGAAAGTTTTATTTACCGGGCACCTCACGGCCACAGATAATAGTTTCTGAGTTTCGGAATGACATGTATGATGTACGACACAGGTAAGACATCGGTAATTAAATACTGCTTCTGGTTTTGCTTAATCATGTGCAAGGTCACAAAGAATTAAAACATTTTTATGTTAACCATGTCTGTACTATTGATATGTCAGATTGCATCGGGCCACTTAGGTAGATAAACAAGAGAGATACTCTCTGCCTTGAGGTCTGTTGTGGGAATCAGTACAGTGAATTAGATGTAGTGTGGCATAGGAATTATGCTGATAAGGGAAATGGCGCCAGAACTTAGGTGCTCATTGTTCATTGTGCTTCAGAGATTTCTTCATGAGCTGTGATTGTTTTCCTTAACGACCCTAGTAAATCTCTCAAGGCAAAATACCTAAACTGTACTCTTGACTAGCTGCTGGCTGCCCACTGTATTTCTAAGTATATACATATTCCCTAACTTATTCTTTGTCAGCTTTGATAAAATTGGGTTACAAGGTATAGTTGCAGTTGAGATAAGGGAGTAACTAAATGTTAGGAGGTAGGTTAGTGAAGAAATCAGAGGAGAGAGGGAAATGATTGGTCTTCTAACTGATAAGTTTGTTAATTGCCTTCTAGGCAAATGGGAATTTTATGTGCAAATTGCATGGAGGCATGACATCATAAATTACTTTGCAAAAATAGCATTTGCATTATAGATAGTAAGGAACAGAGTAAAAGAGATATTTAGGACAAAATCAATGATACGTGTTACTTCAGTATAAGAGAAAGAAGAATTAAGGATGATGATTTTTGCATGGAGTGACTACCTAACAAACGTGCCAACAATTGTTTTGGGAAAAATATAAGAAAAAAGTGAATTTGTCAAAAGTGGTAAAGTCCTCTATTAGAATTATTGATTTGGGGGCTTTCATACTAGAAACTAGAGGCCCGGTGCACTGATTCATGCACCAGTGGGGTCCCTCGGCCTCACCTGCAGGATCAGGCCGAAACCAGCTTTCTGACATCCCCCCGAGGAGTCCCAGATTGCAAGAGGGCACAAGCCAGGCTGAGGGACCCCACCAGTGCAGGGAGGGACTGCAGGAGGGCTCCAGGGCGTGTCTGACCCATCTCTCCCAGTCCCAATTGGCTGGACCCCAGCAGCAAGCTAACCTACCTGACAGAGTGTCTGCCCAGGTGGTCAGTGTGCATCATAGCGACTGGTCGAACTGTTGGACACTTAGCATATTCGGCTTTTATTATATAGGATAACGATTGGGAATTAAAAGTGTTTTCTTTGTCTACATGGGAATGTCACTTTCTGTTGATTTCTAGTTTGATCCCTGGTTTCTTAAACCCCATAAAGGCGAAATTTCAATTGTACAATCAGACAACACTGCTACGGTAAAAATGACCCCTGACAGGTTAATTGCACCTGAAGGGGAATATAGGCATTTAAATTTAATTTGTGTAAAAGCCAGTCTCCTGATTTCTACCCTACAACCTGCTCTTCCTAGAATCTTCTCCATCTTCATTTTTTTCAGTTGCTTAAGTAGGTTTTCAGTTGTCCCTATGGAAAATAATGCAATATTTAATAACTAATAGTGCAAGAATAAACTGTTTCACATACAACTGTAAGCCTGCTTTTGCCCTACCCTGTACATAAAAGATACTGTCTTTGTGTTAGAATTCTGGGACTAAGGAAGCACTAAGACTACCATGACCATTTCCCCCTTAGATATTCATTGCTTCTGCGCCTTCTATTCTTGGTGTCTCCGTTCTTCAGTGCTGTTAATAGCGTAGATGTTTAAAATTTTAGTTGAAAGAGTGAATGTCTCTTCAGGGAGCCCAAATTATAATTCCTAAGAATATAATTTCTCTCATGTTTCCTCTGTGTTCATAATAATATTTATTTCAATTTTTCTTGTCTTGATATGAATATTGTTTCACTTTTTTAATTAATTGACTTTTATATTTATAAATGTAAGATTTAAGAAAGGTGTAATTATTGTAACAGGCAGTAGGGCATAATGTTTAAAAATCTGGCTCTACAAATGTTGGATCACTGTCTTGTACACCTGAGACTAATATCATATGCCAGCTCTACTTTATCGGGTCTAGTAATAATTAATGTCGTTTTAAAACATTCGTTTAAAATCTTGCTTGGTGTTTACTTGTATTGACATAACCTTCAAACACGTGGTATCTACAGAACGTGTGAAGTGCAATTAACAAGTTTTGCTTGAAAAAGTTTGTGTTTGGTTTGGTTTTTGTTGTAAAACTAGGGCTAAGAAGATGGCGGATGAAGAGCATATTCGGCACTGCATGCTTTATGAGTTCCAATTAGGAAGAAAAGCAAGTGAGGCTGCAAAAAACATCTGTAGTGCTCTTGGTCAAGATGCAGTTAGCGCCAGAAAATGCCAGCGTTGGTTTGAGAAATTTCGCGAGGGAAATTTTTCGTTAGATGACAAGAGTGATCGAGGCCGTGTGTCCAATTTTGATCAAGAAGCTCTTCAAGCTCTTTTGGTGCAAAATCCTCAAATTACCCAAGAAGAGCTTGCGACAACTTTAAATTGTTCACAAAAAACAATTTCCAATCAATTGCGTGCACTTGGCAAAGTCCAAAAGTTTGGAAAATGGGTTCCTCATGAGTTGACCAACAACAACCGTAATCAAAGAGTCACAATTTGCAGTTCGCTCCTCTCTCGTCAAAACCGTTTGCCGTTTTTAGAGCAAATTGTTACCGGAGATGAAGAATGGGTGCTGTATGTTAATTTGAAAAGGCGGCCTCAATGGTTGGACAAAAATGAGGCTCCGCAGCCCACGCCAAAACCTGGCTTGCATGCGAAAAAAGTGATGTTGTGTGTTTGGTGGAATTTTAAAGGAATTCTTCATTATGAACTTTTACCATCTACCCAAACCATTACAAGTGCAGTGTATAGTGCCCAATTGGAAAGGTTAGCCCAAGCTTTAAGAGAAAAAGAACCCGCGCTGATTAATCGGAAGGGCGTAATTCTTCACCACGATAACGCACGACCGCATACTGCAAGAATCACTGCTGAAAAACTGCGCCAGTTGGAATGGGAAGTTCTCCCTCAACCTGCATATTCTCCTGATATTGCCCCTTCCGATTACCATTTGTTTCGTTCTTTGCAAAACTTTCTTCTTGGAAAAAAATTTAATAATGAAGAATGCCTCAAAAATGCATTGACCGAATTTTTTGCATCAAAATCACAAGAATTTTACAACAGAGGGATTAAAATGCTTCCTGAGCGTTGGGCACAAGTAGTAGAAAACAACGGCAACTATATTGTTGATTAAATTTTGTTGTATTGTTCAAATAAATTCGATTTAAAAAGTATTAGAAAACGACATTAATTATTACTAGACCTAATATTTTAAAAAAGAAAAGGAAGAATCTGAGCTCTAGAGTTGAGCTGCCTAGTTTGAAGCCTCACCCAAGCATTTAACAAGCTCCATGACATTGAGGGACTTATTAAAATCTGAAGCTTTCTCCTCTGGAAAGAAAACAGGAGAAAATAAAATTATCTATCTCATTGTTGCTATAGGATTAGATGAGCATACAATATGCTTATAACAGTGCCTATCACATATAAATGTTTGCTGAGTAAATAAAATAAATCTAATCAGATGTTTTCAAATGTTACCAGATATTTTTCATTATCTTATAATTACCTATCATCTACTCACCCGTTAATAATGTGTATAGGGATGTTTACATATAACTGAAGTTGGATGCTAATCCTTATGTATTTGTCTCTCAGAGCTGCCTATCACCCGGAGTTCCCAACGGTGCTGACAGCTTTGGAAATAAATAACGCAGTCGTTGCAAACAGCCTGATTGACATGAGAGGAATAGAAACAGTGCTGCTAATCAAAGTAAGACCGGATGCATGCTGCGTGTATGCTATTTTAAACACTTCAGAACTGTAGTAGGTTATATAAATCCTGTCCCCTCCTACATCATGGAGCTATGGATGGTTCATCACTGTGCATGCACCTCCTGGGAAAATCTATAGAAGAAGATGGAGCTGGTGGTTTGTTTTTTGTCCCATGGAACATTATAACTTTCAGCTATTCTTTGTAAAGCAATTTCACAAATGTATATATTTTTTGATGCATGATGGTATAAATTTTTTTGTTTATGCTTTCTTGATTGCCTGCCAAATTCATTTTTTACTTGCCCTTACAGATACATCTGTTATTATCATTCTACTTTTTAAACAAATACTTGAATTGATATTTTATGGATCTCTTTTCTTAAAAACTTGAGTGCTTTATAATCAATATGTATTCTTTATCTGCATTTTTATGTACTTGTTTGATTTGATCACCATATTGTGTTTTACCTTTTGGAATAAATTTGCTGGGAAGAAATAAGGAATTTTAAAACAATTATGTAATCAAGACAAACACCATAATCTGTTTTTCTTATTAATGGAAATGAGAAGTAATGGAATTAGTAATCCAAGTGTATGTGCATTGCAAGTGTTGTAATTTTTGTGGGCTTAGCGCCATCATATTTTAGAAGGATATGGGAAATAAGACAGTGACATCCTATTGTAAAGGTATGTGCCTGGAGAGGTTAAGCCTCATTCCCCTTTTTACTTCATCTAGGGCTTAAATATTTCAAGGTTGTTGTCGTTTACCAGAATTTGCTATTCAGATGCATCATTTCTAGGGTGTAAAAGTCACTTAGAAAAAATAAGATTTGTATGAACTGGTAAAAGTAAATTTTTCATGTGAAGGGTTACTTAAAAATTTTAATTTTAAATGGATAACGATATTAGAATTTAAAAATAGAATGTATTAGTTTGTCATAAAGCATTATTTGCTGTGCTGATTTGAAGACTTAATAGTTTTAATTCTTTGAATCTTTAAGGGTTTTTTTTAATTCTTGTGTTTAACTTTATGGAATTATTTACTTGAATGTTTAAATAAAAAATATTTGAATCTTAAAACGATGTCAGTTAACATTTTGAAATTGTGTGCATCAGAAATGCTTTGGCACAATTTAAAAAATGTATTCCTCTTCTGTTGTGTTTAGAGTAATTCTGTAGCTCGTGCAGTGATGCAGTCCCAAAAGCCACCCAAGAATTGCAGGGAAGCTTTTACTGCTGATGGCGATCAAGTATTTGCAGGACGTTACTATTCATCTGAATATACAAGACCTAAGTTCCTAAGCAGAGATCTAGATTCTGAAATAAGGTTGGTATCCATGTGGCTTGGCATATGATTTCTCCTGCTTCCTTTGGGGTTCATATTTTATTAGGTAGCACACATTTTTTTCTCCAACTAAAAAATAATTAAACACTAAGGATAAACAAACACTATATGAAAATACAGGACAGATTTGTCCTACCCTGAAAAAGGTAAGTTGTAAAATTTAGCCATTTTGTTTATGTAAATTACGTTAATTTTAAAAATTTATTCTAAATATTCAGAAAAATGTTTAGTAACAATATTGTTGGTTTAATTTTGGTTTAGGCTCTTAGTTTCAAAGTTTATTTACTTGGTAAATTTTTATTAGCAAAATTACTATTGGTTAATAAATCTATAGATTTATATATGATAGATTTCTTATTAAATACAGAGGAGCCATTTTAAATTTTTGTATCTGGCCCCATTTTTACCAGAAATGCCACAATTATTCTTCTTTCCTCATTTTTATCATTCATTTATCATTTATTCAGCTGACTTTTCTTTTTAATTTTGAGAATTCTAATAAGATAGCACATTTACAATATTTATCATATTTAAGTTGCTGTGTTATTTTACATATCAGTACAAAAGAAAAAAGCTGCTAATAGAACCATGGACTGAAAGATTATTTCAGATATGTGGAAATGTGGGAAATATGCCTCTTACTGAAATACGGCACACACTCTCTCGGGGAAGTTTTTCGTAACTTTGTGCACAGGTGGTTCATTTCCACCAGGCTCTCAACTCCGGGAGACAGGTGCTGTGGTGAGGCAGGAAAAGATCATTTCTGAAGATAGTGAATGGCAGCCAGATCTTTATGGTTTGGGCATCTGCTTGCTTTATTCTCCACCCTTTCCATTGTCCTCCTTCCATTCACTGTAACTCCTCACACGTTCACAGCAATTGTAGCACTTACTCACCAAGAGTGTTGAGCTGTCAGTTTTATCTTTTCACCCCTCCATGCCTTTGTGTGGTTCTTCCCATCCTCTCCTCTAGGTGGTCCCACTGTTTAAAACTTTACAGAAGACAATTACCAGGTCTCCCTGAGTCTGATTTTCCACGGTACTATGGACATATTGTTTCCTGTTCATATTTTAATGTTATGGTTTATTTCCTGACTCTTTTTTGTTTGAGTTATCCATGTCTTAATTCTGTTTCTGCCTCTACCTATCGCTATGCACAATGTCCACCACACAGAAATCATATCATAAATGCCTATTATTAAAGTAAGTAAAATTTGACTCCAGTTTAGATATTTTTTTGAAATCATTAGGATTTTTTGCAAATAAGCTATTAAAAATTAGCTTTTCTTTGTAAAGATCTAAAGTATTTGTAATATTCAGAAATAGTTTTAAATTATTTTTTATCCTCCTCTATCAAGTGAATTGGAAAATGAAGTTGAAAATAAGAAGGCCCAGATATTAAATTTTCAGCAACATTTGTCTGCCCTTGAAAAGGATATTAAACGCAATGAAGAATTTCTTAAAAGGTACCAATTACGATATAAAGAATTAAAGGTAAAAAAATATATACATCATTTTGTTTTCTCATCTTGTCACTTTTAAGCTATTTTTAAAATGTATTTAATTAAGGAGTAGTTCTCAAACTTTTTGGCCTCAAGCCCCTTTACAGTCTTAAAAGAGCTTTTTATATATGTGAGTTTTACCTATCAATATTTACATTTTTAAAAATTAAAACAAAATTTATCAGTATTTATTAGTTCATGTAAAAATTACAAACTCATTGTTTGTTAACATAACATTTTTAAGAAAAATAACTTTTCCAAAAACCAAAGCTATTTACTGAGAAGATTGACATTTTTATATTTTTGTAGTAAATTTGTATTTCTAGCTTAATAAAACTCAGCTGAATTATCAGGTCACTTTCTGCAATCAATCTGTTGCAATAAGTACACGTCACCAAGTCATAAGCCTCCTGAGCATTGTGAGAAAATGATAGTAAAAATGGTGAATAATGTCTTACTGCTTTTATGAGAATAGTTTTGACCTCATGAACCCTTGCAAGAGTTTCAGAGGCATCCAAGCAGCCCTTGAACTACTCTGAGGACCACTGGATTAGAATGATGTTGCCACAACATGAGTCTGGATATTTCAGAATATTTTCTCTATGAATTCAACATTATCATCATTCAAAATGCAAAGATGGAGTACTTACATTTTTTTGTTTGTTTTGGGAATGGGTTACCAGTGAGGGTAATATGGCAGACTTGGTTCTGTAACTTACTTTGGTTTATTTAATACTAATATATCTCTTATATTAAATACAGAATCTTTCTGTAACAGAGTAGAACATCATGGATTAATATAACCTTTATTGTTATTTTTAATTTATTTTTATATTACTAAATTCGAATACTTTCTTTCAGATGAAAATAAGAAAAAGTATTTCTGAAATTCAGGAACTTGAGAATATAGAAGAACATCAGTCTGTAGATATTGCAACCTTGGTAAGAGTCTTTTCCTCAAAGTTATAAAGGTCAAAACTATCATTTAGTTTAACAGTATTTATTCAGCTTTTTAAAAAAAATCCTACTTGAAGCTGCTTTTTATGATTGTCTCCATTTACAGATAAGATAGAAACTACCTCATGTGTAACCTTCAAGTTTCTTATTATTTTGTCTTTATAAGTTGCATGAATAATAATTGATTTTGTCATCTACTGCATGCAAGAAACTTTATTAAAGTTTAATTGTGCTCTTATAATCAAACAGTAGCATTTTAAACCATGCTGCCTAGCATAGTATTTTTCTGAGTTAATCAGTACCAACATTAATGAATACCTTTTAGTCAGTTACCTTGGTCTCTCTTTGCATTGTTTCTTTTCCCCAAGTTAATAGTTTTCATTTGAATTGACCACATATTTATTATTCTATATTTTTTCAGGCAGGTGTTTATGATATTCAGCTTAGCTCCTCTGATTTACAGCAAACAATGTATTAGATAGCTTGCAGAATCTTTTTAAAAGGAAGAAGTATTACTTAGTGTTTGTCCTGTATGTCATATTAACTGCTGAGGGATTCAGCAGGTGGAGTTCTACTCGAATGAGAGTTTGTCTTCATTTTTTATTAGTAATCTTATTTCCCACATTTTATTTTTCTGCTTTAATTCCTTTAATTGATAGATTATTTCTTTTTTTTTATATGTATTTTTTTTGATTTCAGAGAGGAAGGGAGAGGGAGAGAAACATCAGTGATGAGAGAGAATCATTGATTGGCCGCCTTCTGCACTCCCCCTATTGGGCATCTCACCTGCAATCCCAGGCCTGTGCCCTTGACCAGAGTCACACCAGAACCCTTCAGTCCATGGGCCAGTGCGCTATCCACTGGACAAATGACTGGAGCGATAGACTAAGTTTCTTGAAGATATGTAGTGTGTTTTGTTTATTTTTGTGTACTCAGCATCTAAGACGTTGTCTGGCACTAGGTAGATATTTATATGTACTATATTGTGAAGGAAAAATAAGTGGGTAGAATAAAAGTTAATCCTCTTGATTATGACCTCAAGCACAATATAGTTTTAACTTGTGTCCTAAATAGTATCTCTTACTATTTTGAACCTGTTTTCTTCTTCCTAATTGGCCTTTGAGAGTGTGAAAATGCCCTAATAGTCTTTGAGTTTGTCTTTTATCTGATTTGCCTATAGCCAGTAGTGTCTTCTCTCTTAGAACTGTTTGTACTACTTTTCTATCTGATAACAAAGTGTTTTTATTAACTCTAAATGCTCTGTAAATATAATCAGGAAGATGAAGCTCAAGAAAATAAAGTAAAAATGAAAATGGTTGAGAAAAGTATGGAACAACAAAAAGAAAATATGGAATATCTTAAAAGTCTGAAAGTAGAAGCAGAAAACAAGTATGATGCAATTAAACTGAAAGTTAACCAGCTATCAGAGCTAGCAGATCCACTAAAGGTATGTTTTATTGTTCTATGGTATATGCATCTTAGGTTTTAACTTTATATCTACTGTGTACTCAATAGATACTGTCCTAATATAACTTATGTTTAAATGTTTATGTAGCCACATAAAAATAGGATGTAAACCAAATTTTCATCCTTAGATCAATTAGAATACAATGCTTCTGCTCACGCTTTTTGAGAATAAATTGGCAAGTTTCTGTTTGTCCCAGAAGATTATAGTTCCCCGCCCTCTTTATTTTCTGACTTGAAGCTAGAGCCAGGGACATCTTGTCTGTCTGCACCGTTTCTGTGCCTGCCTGTTCTGTTGTCCCAGTTTCCTTCAATAACTCGGGCCACCTTGAAATAAAGTGCTACTCCGTTCCTGTTTATTGGCATGTCCCGTATGTTCCAGCTTGAATTCAACTGGTTTTTTTTTTAAACACATGCTTTTTAAAACCAAATTTAGGAAAACAAAGTTATTCAACAGTTAAATCGTATAAGTTTTTCCAAGTTGTTTATTGGCTTAGTTACTAATATTTTATTGTTATCATTTTTATGAATAGCTCAGTTATTTTCAGGACTTTTATTTATAAGACACTGAGAAGAATGAATAGTATATTTTCAGAGGAGTCGGGTATTTGAGATATCACTCTAACATATCCTTTTCTTTTTTTCAGGAAAATTAATTGCCCTCTGTGTATTAAAATGTGTTTAGATGTTTTAAAGTTTAAACGAATTTGCATGCATAAAATTTTTATTGTAATTTTGTTTATTGAAAATTTTTTAAAAATTTGTTAAAGAGTTGAGAGAATATTAGAGGAATTTAGAGGTTTTGCTGCATAGAAATAGCTTCCCCCCTATTTGTGGTAGGTCACTGGAGCTGAGATTCCTGTCTGCTATTATCACCTTAGATGGATCAATTGAGGTGGGCAAAAGTGGATTGAGGATGGAAAGAGACTTCGCTTGGAGCGATAGGTACACGATACAGCGTGCAGGTGTATTTTATTGGGTTGTACACTTGAAACCTGTATGGTTTTGTGAATTAATGTCACCCTATAAATTCAACAGAAAATAAATTATGACTGAGAAAACGAAAAGGAGAAAATAGGAAAATAAACTAACTGATTAAGAAGAATATATAGTTTAAATATTAAATTGTAAAGTTGTGAGGAAGGAAAAAGTACTAAAGGTAAACAGAAATACGAATAAGAGAGTAGTTGCCACAGAAAATAAGAATTAGGAAGATAAAGCCTAAGACAAAAAAAGATAAAGAACTTCATTTTTAAAAGGAGAAAAATAATAAAATAAATATGAAAATAATCAAGAATAGACAAGGTAGAATTCAGAGAAATTCAGGAAATTCAGAGAAATTCAAGGTAGAGCAGTAAAATTACAACAAAAATAAGGTTAAAATATTTTTTTTAACGGGTGAAGGATTGAACAGAGTGACAAAATCAAAATGATGAAATTGGTAAAACAATACAGGGAAAGAAAGCACCTAAATTATTTATCCCGGAAGACTTAACATTACAAACAAGAAATGATGAAGAGTAAGCTGTGTTCTGTTCTTTTAGGGACCTCTAAGCTAAAGCAACTCCTGGAATTAATAAATAAGTCCAAGAGCAGAAAAATATGGGCAGAAGGCAGTAAGAATTCTTGGTCTTAGCTCTTTGCCTTGGCTGCAAATAACTGAAAGCTAGGAGGTGAGTCCTTCAGTTAACCTGCATGCAAACAGCTAGTAGCCAAGAGGTTTTCCTTCACAGAGTCACACCACATAGCCGTCAGTAACAGGCTGACCAAGACGATTTGACTAACAAAATAATTCCTGGGAAGCTGCAGTCACTTGTTAAACATGAGCAGCTTCTAGACATAATGCTTGCTGTTAGGACGTTTGTTCATTTTGTGACAGGGGTGGTGAGGCGTAGAATACTCTGTTTAAAACATGCAATCATGAAAATCTTGGCAGAGGGAATACTTTCCTCACAAAATTTCATATTTTATAGTTTTTTAAAACCTCATCATGAATGTAGGTTTATATGAAACAAGAAGCAATCTTTGCAATGGTGCTGAATAAAATTCGTTGTTTAGGCATCCAAGACAATAAAGCTTTTCAATGATTCTGGCCTTTCTAGCATCTCAGCCTATTTTCTAAAGGTGGAAACTCTACAGCAAGCATGTCAAACTCAAAGGTTAACACAGGCCAAAGAAATGAGGTGTGTGGCCTGAGGGCCATGAGTTTGACATGCTTACTCTACAAGTTTAAGGGCTGCATCAAAGTTTCATTTTAGACCTATCCCCTCCTAGGCTTCACCCCCAAACCAGGATGAATGTCATCAATTTGCTTTTATTATATCTAGTTCTTCATTTCACCATCAAATTAAATGAAATACTCCCCTGCTTTCCTTTTAGTTTTAAATCCCATAGTAGCCAGGACCTATATTCATTAAATACACAAGGACAAATCAGACAGCCATGGTAAACGTTGAGAAAAGGGTATTAACATTTTGTAGTACTTTTCCTATTATTTTACGCTTTAGGTCTGTCCCTTTCTCAGGTTGCTAGGAGGGAAGATTAACCAGCACAGATGTGTCCTTGTATGTTTTATCCCTTCTGTTCCCTAACACTGAATTGATTCCCTAAAGCAAACAGGGCCTATTTATTTTGACAGCTTCTACCAAAAATGATTAGAAAACCCTGCTCTGTTTTTAGAAGACAAGCATTGTTTCATACACTATTTCATGCCATTCCTCATTGTAATCTCTCCTGCTACACACATTGCACCCAGTTTCTTTTACGCTGTTTGACATAAAAGATCAGTTTTCTTCATCCTTCATGTAACAATGATTTTTAATAGAACTTTTATAAAAGCTATATGTTATCAAATGTCTATCATGGTGATATTTTTATTGATATGAACATGATGCAATAAATTGTATTCTTAGGTTAGAAAATAGCCCAATTCCTCCATTATGTGAGGTAAATATTTTCCGTGTTTAGGTACCTCTTCCTTTTGGGGATGCCTCCATATGTTGTCCTGTGTGATGCTGTTATTGCTGTTCTGGTTTGTGTCTGTTTCTTTTTCTCTTCATAACTAATTCTTGAGACTGAACATGATAATCACAGTGTCAATGAGCAATGCTAGGCTCAAAAAACAAACGAATAAATTAACTAAAATATAACACGGTGGTTCTTAAATCAGGAGCCTTTTTAAAACAGTGTTATAGAGATACCAGTGACATGCATCAGATACACTTATAAGTGTATGATTTCATAAATTTTGACATGTATATGCCTGTATAACCTCACAATCAGAAAAAAGAAAAATCCTTCATGCTCAGAATTTCCTCATGCCCCTTTATAATCTGTCCCTCCCTATGCCCTGTTCCTCATCCCCAGACAGCCATCAGTCTGCTTTCTACACTATATAGTCTGCACATTTTCTAGAATTACAAGTAATGGAATCACACATTATATACTCTTGCTTTTTTGTGACCTGACCTTTTCCAGAACCTAACACACTGTCTAGCATATAATGTGTACACTGTTTATAGTTCGAAAGAAAAAGTGAGTGAATGGAATACAAGTTGCTCCTTTTGATTATGGTAATCAGTAATTCACTTCTTCTTATTGCCAAGTAGCATCCCATTGTGTTTGATATACCACGATTTGTTTCATTTACTGATTGATGGACATGGGTTTTCAGGTTGGGGCTATTACAAATAAAGCTGCTCTAAGCGAACGTTTGTATGTCAAACCAAAAGAACAAGCCCTCTGAGATTCTAAACTTATTTTGGTGCTTCTTAAGTCAAGAGCTATTTAAAAGATTGAGATTCGGGATATTCCAGACCTAAAAGAACATATCCAGGGGTGGAGTCTAGAAGTCTATATATTTTGTAAAAACATCCAAATCAGTGGTAATGTAAATCATTGTTTGAGAAGCCACCGTATGAATGTCTTGATGCATATATCATCCAAGCCTTCCACCAGGTTTTGTGGCTGTTTGCCAAAATAAAGATGAAAGTACCATATATGTGGAGACTTCGTGTAAGAGTTTGAATATAATAATGTGACTCCTCATTTCTATTCAGACACATCCTGTGTGAACCCTAACACTTGTGTCTTTAAGCAACATAGTCCTGTCCACTTTATGGAGTTGTCAGTTAGTTTTATAGCTATGCTGGTAATTTTTTTAAAAAACAATACTTGCTTTAGAAATCATTTTGGCTTTCTTCAAACAGGATGAATTAAACCTTGCTGATTCTGAAGTAGATACCCAAAAACGAGGGAAGCGGCATTATGAAGAAAAGCAGAAAGAACACTTGAATACTTTAAATAAAAAGAAACGAGAACTGGATACGAAAGAGAAAGAACTAGAGGTTATCTATCATTTTTTGTTTTATGTTTTTGTTTACAACCTTAGTCCTAATTCCTAAAGTGCGTTTCCCTTAATATCCTGTTTTCAAACATACACAAGTTGTCCGATGAATATCTGTTTCCTACAAAGAACAGCTGTTTTGGTGAATCAAGAGAGAAGGAGGCTTAGGGACTCTGACTGTGGGTCTTAAATAGACCAGTACGAAGAGGACTTGAGGCAGGAGCGACAGTCCGGCGTCTGAGAGGGGCTGGCCCTCCCTCCAAGCTAATCCTGCTCCTTCCAGGCCTAGAGAGCAGCTTTGTGTCAGGATAGCCCTCCCCGCCTCTGAGTGGTTGGAGCTGAGCTGGGCCGGGCCGGGCCAGGCTGCGGTTCTGCTCCTTCTCACTGGGCACCGTGATGGCAGCTGTGAGCAGCAGCCCTGATCTGGAGATGAACTGAAAGCAACCTGGGTCTACCTAGAAGAGATGGATCTCAACTCTGCCTTCATGTATCTTGGAAAAGGACTGAAACTCTAGTCCATTGCATTGCTTATTCAAGGCTTACACCCCATGTTGTAAATATAAAACAAGTACTGTGGTGAAAGTGCTTAACATGAGGGTCTTTTTGTTTGCACTTCAATACTATTTGGTGCTCAGAGTCCATCCTGAAATGCACAGAAAGCTGTCTGACCTCAGTGCCCTGCATGCCGGCTTTTCCTAACTGCTACTCGAAATTTGTTTCCTTAGGAACTTACGGAGGTCTTACAAATTATTAAAGGTGTGCACAGTAGTGTAATTTTGTCTTGAAGATTTATAGTGGCTGTGCTATATTCTCAATATAAAGCTTAGAGAAATAATACTGATACCAAATGCATTTAGAATACATTTTGAATGCATTTGGTATCATTTTATAAACATAAGTTTAGAATTTTACTTTGCCTGTTTTGGCATTAGTAATACAATGAATTGTTATCTCAAAGAAGAGTTTTAAAGACATTAAACATCTCTTGTCTTAGGAGAAAATGTCACAAGCAAGACAAATCTGCCCAGAGCGGATAGAAGTGAAAAAGTCCGCATCAATTCTAGATAAAGAAATTAATAGATTAAGACAAAAGATCCAGGCAGAACATGCAAATCATGGAGATCGAGAGGAAATAATGAGGTAAGCTTTTCTACTTGGTTATGTTATCTATATAATCAACACAAAAAAATGTTTAAATATAAATCTTAAATTTGGATCAAATATTGCACCACATATAATTTATAGCTAAACTAGTCTTTCATATGTGTATGTTAATAATGAACTAACTTTGCCTTGGTTGGGTTGCTCAATAGATTGGAGCATCGTCCCACACACCAAAAAAGGTTCTGGGTCAATTTTGCTCTCACATCAATGTTTTTCTCTCTCTCTCTCTCTCTCTCTCTCTCTCTCTCTCTCTCTCTCTCTCTCTCTCTCTCTCTCTCTCTCTCTCTCTCTCTCTCTCTCTCTCTTAATAAAAAATAATATCTATTTCTTCTTCTGAATTATTACAAAACTCATTACAGAATATTTGCATATAAATGTTATATTTCTAACTATAAGGTTCATGTAGACACAAAATTGTTCAGCTTCACAAGTAATCAAAGAAATGCAAATCAGAATAATTAGAAGCCATTTTCACATACACGAAGATGGAAAAAACTTCATGTCAGTTAGATCTCAGTTAAATGGGTATTTTATGCTAGATAAAAATGGAAGCTCCAGTGTAGTTAGAGCACAGGTTCTGTCTGAAGCAAAAGTACCTCAGTTCGAATTAATATTCTGTTATCTTCTTCCATGGCTGCAGCAAATTATCCAGTGTCTCTGAACCTTAATTTTCTCATCTGTAAAACAGATAGAATTATAGTATTTCCCTTACAGGGTTCTTGTGAAGATTAAATGAGACCATTCATAATAGACAGAATATATAGGATGCATGGTATGTGAGATATTAGTGTCTCTGAAATATATTAAGGCAGTTTATGTCAAATGCCCTCAAAATTTTTGTTGTTATAATCCAAAATGAGAAAAATAATTTTTGCTTGGATATGTTTATTGCAGTATTAGTTATAACAGTGAAAAATTAGAGCCATGTACAACTATAGGGTGATGATTAAATTGTAGTAGAAAATTGTAACTATGCACTTTTGAAGAACTTTCTCTATTTAAAAAAAGGCTGGAGACGGGAGCCATCTCAATTCTATTTTCAAAAGCATTGGAAAACAAAAATAGTCAAGTTTTCTTTAAAATAGATAATACGTCAGTGTTTAAAAAATAGAGATAGAAAGACAAAAAACTTTATGTTCTCTTTTTACTTTTATCTTATTAAATGTGCTCTCAGTGTTTCTGTATGCAAATGTAAGGTAATGTGACTGCTTTTTATCCTTTCAGATACAACATATAGCACAGTGTATAAGCTCCTTTGCAGATTGCTTTCTTTGATTTAATGATATACAGTGTTTTGGATATTTTTTCATTGTTTTAGGGCAGTGGTTCTCAACCTTTCTGATGCCGCTACCCTTTAATACAGCTCCTCATTCTGTGGCGACCCCCAACCATAAAATTATTTTCGTTGCTACTTCATCACTGTAATTTTGCTACTGTTAATGAATCGTAATATGAATCTGTGTTTTCCGGCGGTCTTTGGCTCTCCTCAGGACTAAAGGGCTCGTGACCCACAGGTTGAGAACCGCTCGCAGGGTCGCCCACAGTGGTGTCTGTTACTGAGGGAAGTACTTATTGCCTTCCAGTGTGATCCCTTCCCATTTAGAAGGTGTATATTCTCTAAGGTCTGCCACTCTGGGCCCCACTTTCCTCTGCCTTCTCTAGGGCTGGGCTTGGTTCCTGCCCAGCCTGCTAACCTCTCTCCCGGCCAGGGCAGCACCTGCTCCGCTGGGAGTAGATGGTTACAGCTGTGAAACCCGCTGCTGCTGGGTCCTCAGCACGCCCTGTACTCCCTGCTCTTCCCCAGGAACTGTATGTGAGATTTTACTTTTTTATGTTTCTTTGAATGGCCTTTATTTACTTAATATTTTGTTCATAAAATAGGCAGTACCAAGAGGCAAAAGAAACCTATCTTGATCTGGATACTAAAGTAAAGACTTTAAAAAGGTTTATTAAATTATTGGAAGAAATAATGCACCATAGATTCAAAACATACCAACAATTTAGAAGGTAAGTGCATTAAAAAAAAATTACCACATATGCATTTTTTATTTTTCTTTGTTTTCACTTATCCCTTAGAAATTAAATTAGAGAACTTTACATGATTCAGTTAGCGAAGACCTGCCAGTCTTACCTTGTCAGCTGTTGCTCACATCCTGTAATTTAATCAGAGAATTATGGATTTGAGTGGGCCTTTATAACAGCTGTCCAACTTTTCCACTCCATCAGCTACCCATCCTTTCCCAGCTCATTCGCAGGTGGCTGGTCACTGCTGCTCAGAGAGTCCTTTGGAGGGTAGCTCTGGGCCTGAGGCAGACTCTTTCACTCCTGGACGTCGCATGTTGTTAGGGAATGCATTTTTGATGGGACCTACTGAGGCAATATTCGGTTGATTTACCCTGATAACAAGAATGGTAGCTTGATGGATGCAGAATTTCTGCTTTGTTACAGCTACTGCAATACCTGAAACACAGTAGGAACTTGGTAGTTTTGTGGATTAATACAGGATTAGGGAAACTGGATATTATTAATGTACCCAGAAATGTACAGCCTCACATAGATAAATTGACTCCAACGAAAGTCACATGCAACAGATAAAGCAGAGAACTGTTTATTATATGCTGGTTAAAGATCATGCTGAATACACTCTGTATTTTTATATTCTTAATGTGTCCAATTTTTTATTTCAAGGTGTTTGACTTTACGATGCAAATTATACTTTGACAACTTACTATCTCAGAGGGCCTATTGTGGAAAAATGAATTTTGACCACAAGAATGAAACTCTTTCTATATCAGTAAGTATCTTAACTTTGCATGTTGATTATTAGGAGATGCTTTGTCAAAATGTTGAAAAGTAAATTGACCTGCTGTTGTAGCTCTTTTAATAATAATTTAAAAAATCCCCCCCAGACAATTACATTATTTTCTTATGATGCTAATTCGGAACTTTATTTCATAGTTGCCTTCTCTTTCTAGTCCATTAGTTTCTTTCTTGAAATTATGCGGGACATTATAGAAGGTCCATTTTCTCTGGTATCACTATAGGAAGCCAAAACAGAATTTTTCAAAGAATGCTCTAACCATGTAGTTGTCTGTACTACTTATTTCTGAAGATGGACCTAGATCTGATCTTTTTGGAGAAAGAAAGCTGCCACGTTCTACTGTGTGGAGTATGTCTTCATGTATTCTCTCACAGTCACATGTGTGGAAAAGAGGGAGCGCAGGGCAAGAGTAGCTACCCACTCCAATAATTGGAGCAAAACTTTCAGATACTCACTACTTCTGGTTGCCATAAGTTTTATATGTCCATGTTCATACTTAGAACAAATAATAATTTGCAATACATATACAAAACGAAGGACTCATATCTAAATAATAATAATTACGAAAAAGAATGACAACACGTGTAAAAATGATCAAAAGTTTTAAACAGGAACTTCATAAATTAAAGTGTCCAGGTGGCATATAAGCACATGAAAGTGTCCACTATCATTTGTCATCCGAGCAATACAAATTTATATTATAACGTACTATCACATCGCCATTGGTGTGCCTACAGTAAACGGGACTGATAATGAATATCTTGTGTGGTGAAGATAGAGATTAAGGACTCTCATTCCATGCCAGTGGGACTCTAACTTGGTAGAACTAATTTGGAAACCCGCCTGCCACTGTCTGTTAAAGCCGTTCCATTCTTCACAAACTGGCAGCATTCATTCATGCATGTGGTGAAAGTCAAAATAGTGGTCACCTTTTGGGGATTGCTAGTGACAGAGAGAACGCAGAATGTGCAGAGATGCCAGAAATGTGGGAGACAGGTGATCAGTGTTTCTCCGTCTCTCCCCTTTCTCTCTCTTTATAAATAAACTAACAAACATATCTTTGGGTGAGGATTAAAAAACAAAACAAAAAAAGGAATCCAGTCATCCTTTTTTTTTCAAAAACGGGAAATTGATACAAATATCCCATGGTAAGTTAGTAATAGATCTTCATGATTCATCCAGGGCCTCATTTATTAGATTGATACCAACTGCCGTTTTGGACAAAAGATACATCCTGTTACTTAGTTCTTACTTTCATGTGTGTCTTTTTTGTTTGTTTGTTTATGTGGTTTGGCTGTGTATGTTAATGTTGCCTTTTCATTTGGATTTTCATGGAGGATTCAGACTTACAGATGATAAATATAAAATTCCAGTGTATGTTTAAATTCAGAATATTTTATAACTCTTAGATGATTAAAAAATAATGAATGCTCACTTGAGAGCTACATAATTTTTCAAATAGCAATTTGCAAAATATGTGAATCCATGTGTCTGCCAAAATATGTGTGAATAGCCTTCATGAAGTAGAACTGGTAGGCGCTGCCCTTCACCTGTGCAGCGTGTTTGTGCAAGTGGAATCTGTCAGAATGAAGGAGTGCCTTCCAGTGGTTAGCAACCATCTCCTCAGGCAGTTAGGACAGTGCTGTTCATTTATTAATTGCTAGTTTATTGTTCCCATGAGCCCTTATTTATTAAAGGGGGCTTTTTCTAAGAGATTTTGTGAATTTCAACTCACTGCTGTTACTTTCTTGGCAAGTGTGAGCCTGTTTAAGTCAGTCCTGTCTTTCTGACATCCAGTAATTGCTTTTAAAGCAACTTTACCACTAGATGTCACTGGAATTCAAGTAACAAACGTTATTTTGGCACTTAGAAATGTTTGAAAAATGAAATGAAACAGTCACATTTACAACAGCATCAAAAACAGTAAAATACTTCGAAGTAAATTTAACCAGGGAGGTGAAAGACCAGTCCACTGGAAACTGGAATGCATCGAGGAAAGAAATTGAAGAAGACACAGGTAAATGGAAAGAATCTGGTGTTCATGGATCAAAAGAATTAGTATTGTTAAAATGTACATGCTTTCCGAAGCCTGGCTAGATTTAACTTGGACCCTATCGACTCCAGTGGCATTGCTCACAGAAGTAGAAAGCACAATCCTAAAATCGGTGCGGAGTCATAAAGACCCTGAATAGCCAAAGCAAGCTTAAGGAGGAGAAGAACAAAACGGGAAGCAGTCATGCCTCTTGCTGACTACAACTTTAACCCCGCTGGAAATCTTCTCCAAGAAGAAAACATGGGGAGGAAGCTCCTTGGTGTTGGTCTTAGCAGTGATTTTTGGATTGGACACCAGAAGCACAGCTTTGGGTATATATTCAGAGGCAATGAAATAAAATCACATCTGCACCCCCGTATTCATTGCAGCCTTATCTACAATAGCCTTATCTACAACAACCTGAGGGTCCACCGAGAGACGGATGAGTGAAGAAAATGTGATGTCCCCCCCCCTCCCCTCTCTCTCTCTCTCTCTCTCTCTCTCTCTCTCTCTCTCTCTCTCTCTCTCTCTCACACACACACACACACACACACACACACACACACAGTAATATCATTTAGCCAAAAAAGGAGAGGAAATTGACATCCAGGCAACAACATGGATGAACCTCAGGGCATTGTGTTAGTTAAAGTGAGTCACACAGAGGAAGACAAACACTGTCTGGTATGACTTATGTGGAATCTAAGAGCCACACTCGTGGAAGCACTGGAACGGTGGGTGTCGGGCGTGGGGGAAGCAGGTGGTCACAGGGCCCGACTGTCCCAGATGAGAAGGTCTTCCCATGCTATCTTCTACATGTTGTATGGTTTCGGGTCTTCAGGGGACTGTGAAAATGCCAGAGTGACCAGTTCAAAGTATTTTCATTACTAGCATTTGGCTCACATTGGCATTTTTATTACCAATGTGAAGTAGAAAGCACAATCCTAAAATCGGTGCGGAGTCATAAAGACCCTGAATAGCCAAAGCAAGCTTAAGGAGGAGAAGAACAAAACGGGAAGCAGTCATGCCTCTTGCTGACTACAACTTTAACCCCGCTGGAAATCTTCTCCAAGAAGAAAACATGGGGAGGAAGCTCCTTGGTGTTGGTCTTAGCAGTGATTTTTGGATTGGACACCAGAAGCACAGCTTTGGGTATATATTCAGAGGCAATGAAATAAAATCACATCTGCACCCCCGTATTCATTGCAGCCTTATCTACAATAGCCTTATCTACAACAACCTGAGGGTCCACCGAGAGACGGAATTGGAATTGTGGTATGTTAGATCTCATTACAGTGAGAAAATGCTTTCAATTTTTCTTTTCTCAGTACAACAAAAACCACTGTTATATATAGCTCATTGTAGGATATTTTCAATGGAAGTCATTTCCACGTGACTAAATGACTTTATTCTCTTCTATTATTTTTAACTGTAAACCCATTCTTTCTAATGCGAGGCAGCCTTTTTGTGAAGAATCTAATAATGCCTTTTTCTACACCCCCCTTCCCCCCCCCCCCCGTTGACTCATTCTAGGTGCAGCCTGGAGAGGGGAACAGAGCGGCTTTCAACGACATGCGAGCCCTGTCCGGCGGCGAGCGCTCCTTCTCCACTGTGTGCTTCATCCTCTCTCTGTGGTCCATTGCCGAGTCTCCCTTCAGATGCCTGGACGAGTTTGATGTCTACATGGTAGAGTGACATTTTAGATTCTCCAGTCTGGGGGTGGGTGGTGGCCGTGTGTTCTGTGTGGAAGCAGTTCTCTTTGGTTTTCCCAAAGTAGGAAAGCTCCTGCCCGACACTTCAGTCTGTGGTTATTGTTTACACTGCTGTTGGTTTTCCTGGACACCGTACTCTGTTTCTCCCCCCTTCCCACACTGTTGCCCAAACCACTACCTGCATTTGGAAACTGTTCAGATCTCCCTGACCTCTCTCTTGCCCATATGCCCAACTACCAGTCAGACTTAATCTATAAACGACCTGCATCTCACACTCAGCATGTCTGACACCGAATACGTCTTCCACCCAAAGCCTCTCCCTTCTCATCAGTTTCTTCCTCCAGTCGTGGCAAATTGCCAATGCCAACCCAATCACCTAGCTGCGAAACTCCATCTGTGATTCTTCCTTCCACTTGCACAGTAAGTCTGACCCCTGGCTGTTCCTCTTTTAACATATCTAATTCCTGCCCTCTCCTTCCTGGTCCCTGTCCTCCTCGCCTTTTACCTGTTGTTACCACCTCGTCTCCAGATCCCGGCTTTAATCTGCTGCTCCATCAGGCCCTCCTTCACCGTTACCCAGCGTGCATTTCCAAAACAAATTGGAGTTTGGTCACTTAGTTTTTAAAGCTCTCCCGTGGCTAATTGTCCCTTAGGTGAAAGGCTAATTCTGTGGGTAACTTTGAGCCCCTTGTGTTGGTGATTTTCCAAAACCGTGCCTCAGCTTGTGCCCTCCTTCCCGGTGTCGCACCTCCTCTCTCAGGACTCGGCTCAGATGTCCCCTTTGTGTGGCCTCCTGGCCCAGCCTGCAGGCAGCCCCCTCTCATTGCCTCATTATATAGTTTATATTATGTATTACATGTGCTATTACACTAGTATTTTATCTATATGTATTTTTCGTTCTGTTGCTGTCCCTCTTATTTCTGAATCTCCCACCAAATTGTAATCTTTTGAGGTCATATTTCTACCATCTATTGTCTAGTAAGCATTTAGAAAATGCTTATTTATGCATCAGAATTTGTACTTGTGAGTGCTATGTCATCTTTCAAGTGACACCCCCCCTCCCATATCATTATTGATTAGTTAGAAATTCCTCTGAGAATTGGCTTTGAATCTAACTCACCAGCCTTAGAAGGCAATTGTTCTTTCATGCATTGTTTTTGTCCCAAATACCATTTTGCGGTCCTGTTCTATGACCCATCTTATGTCATATTTAATTCAGGACAGCTTCTTTCTCTTTCAGAAACTTGGAGGGTCTTAATCAGGATGGCATTTTGCCCCATTAAAATTATTCAGAAAAATGCACCAGGTTCTGAGAACCAATCCAAAGGAAGCAAATAAAAATGTTTTTGGTGTGTTGACAGCTTTGTTATTAATGACAGGCCATGCCGAGGCAGTGTTCCAAAAGGACAGTATTCCATTTGTGCAAGCTCTGGTTACTTTTGTTCACTGTACGCGAGATTACTTTGCAATATTCCTGGTGGAAGAGTTTGTATCCTACGAGCCAGTGAGCAGTGTAGGCGGGATGCGGGTCCCCTGTCTGCCTGCAAGGCCCATGTCTGAGCCAGCAGCGGCACGCACACGTGGTTCCCAGGAGTCCTGTCAAAACCATCCTCCTCCCGCCCCTGCTCTCGGCGCTCCGGGGCTCGCAGGGGTGGGAGGGCTGCTTTGATTGTTTTTCTTTCCTGTTATTTAACTCAAAAATGTAAGCACAGTTTAGTTCATTTCATTTCAAAACCTATTATAACCCAATTTCTTTTTCTATACACTGTGTATTTTAAAGATTTAATTGAGAAATTGGCCTGTGAATTCAACTTGGTTCACGTTGCACACATGGTAGAAGATGCAGGGGCAGGCAGTGTTTAAAGCACCTCAATCTCTGAGGGGAAATGTGAGAGACTTGATACGTTTGCACTAGCCCTTTCTGATACTGTGCTCCTGAGTGACTGTTACTGAACAAATTAGCCTCATTCTGGAGCAGCGCATGGTGTCCTTGGGATGCTCAGAAACACATCTGCGCAGTAACTCCCTGGGAGAGAGGTGTACCCAGTTGCTTCCCTGAGAGTTTGGACATTATCTTCCCTAAGCCTGGCATCACAGAGCAGGGCATGGAGGATCCGTGGGTAAAAGCCGGGACTTGCAGCAGCCAGCAGATCGCTGTGTTCCCCGGAACTTGATTGTCACGCCACCACCCTGACTTCTGCTTGTTCCCAGGACATGGTGAACCGGAGGATCGCAATGGACATGATCCTGAAGATGGCAGATTCCCAGCGCTTCAGACAGTTCATCCTGCTCACCCCTCAGAGCATGAGGTAACTTTTAAGTCTGCTGGGAATATGTGTGTCAGGTGTATAAAACCGGGACAAATCTTATATAATCTCAATTTTTAAAAAAATATTTTTATTGATTCCAGAGAGGAAGGGAGAGGGGGAGAGAGAGAGAAACATCAATGATGAGAATCATTGTCCCACTGCCTCCTGCATGCCCCCTACTGGGGATTGAGCCCGCAACTCGGACATGTGTCCCTGACTGGGATCGAACCCAGGACCCTTCTGTCCACAGGCTGACGCTCTATCCACTGAGCAAACTAGCTAGGTCTATAATCTCAATTTTTAAAGTGCAAATGCTTAAGTGACCATTAAAAGGAAAAATTAGCATCTACACCAGTTCTGGAGATTTAAGATAATTTTTTCTTTGTAGATATTTAAAATCTTGTTTGTATCATCTCCCTTCCATAACAGAAGCAAATTGATCTGAATATGATTTTTGACTGATTACTGTTTTATTTGAATCTGCTCCTCTGTGTTTATTATGGCCAACCAGTGGAAAGTGTTTGTAGTCATTCCATTTAGACTGAAGGATCGAGCGTGATTCCCTGCGCTTGGCTCTTTTCCCGGTCAGTTACACCCTCCCAGCAGGGAGGGAGTGCTCCTCCGAGGTCAGCCTCTGCGGGGTGCCTGCTGGGGACTAGGCTCCGTGTCCTTAGAGACCGTATTCTCTCTAAAGTGGTCGCTTTGGTGGGGATTTAAATTTGACCCTGGAAATACCAGGTAACCCCTTTCCAGTTAGGCAAGAACGAGAGTAAGGAATAGTTGACATATAAATCTCCCTCGTTTTCTTTTTCTGCCAAACTGAAAACCCATAGCATTTAGCAGGAAGTTAATTTTTTTAAATGAAACCAAATTATTTTCTTATTGCAAATCATATTTCTTCTGGAACTTCGGAGCATAGCCATACCCCCCTGCTGTGAATATATGTTAACAGATAACAGCCATTTAGATTTATAAAGTTTCAAGAGAAGGAGGAGAATTTTCTAGTAATGTGAAAACGTTCTTGGAAATGTTAATAATTAATTTTGCTTCCTCAAGCTCACTTCCATCAAGTAAACTGATTAGAATTCTTCGAATGTCTGATCCTGAAAGAGGGCAGACGATACTGCCTTTCCGACCCGTGGGTCAAGAGGAAGAAGAAAACGGAAGCTGATTGTCTTGTGTTGGAAGCTCTGTAAAGGGAAAAGAATTCAGGACTATTTGATGTAATAAAATGGAACTGCAGATATTCTGAAATAAAAGAGAATCCTTTGTATAGATGACCACAGTAAAATATGTAAATAACTTTAGAAAACCAGCCACAACCAGCAATTTAAAATTACTCTTACTTTACTTGGAGAAAATCGGTTTCACAGTACTGGTTTTAAATCCTTTTATGTTTATTTGTTTATTTGTTTCATTTTGTTTTATTTTTAGCCATCTACTTTTCTAGATTCTTTTTCAGAAGTAAAATTTTGTACATATGTACATGTACATATCTGTTTCATTTGGGTTCATTTCTATAGAATGAAATTTGTAAGAATGAAAATAAACGTTTTGATTCCCTGATTATATTTAGTCTTGCTTTTTCAGAATATTACATTCTCATCGTTTGTATCTACTTTTTATTACTGAAAAGAACCACTCAGTCTGCTGGAGAATCTGTTTTCTCTGAGTGTCCCGAATATCCCCAGAGCCCACTTCCTTCTGCTGCTGCTTCATGACTCACCATTGCAGGTGGGCGCGCTGGTGTGTGTGTGTGTCTGTCGTCTGTCATAGTGTTGGACACATGGTAGATCCATGAAGATTGCTATGAAGGCATGGCCTAGGGCCTGACTTCACCAATTGCCCTTCCAAGGAGCTTTCCCGTTCCTCGCCCCACCCCACCCTCACTGGGGAGGGAGCATGGGGAGGCACTCACTGAGCCTTTCCCATCCATCTCTCCCTGCCCCCACTTTGGACACGCCTAGCTCAGGGGTTAAGAACACCAGGATATTCTGTTAGCACTTATATCCTAAGGCAAAGAAAAAGAGTGTTTAGCAAAAAGCACTCAATCAGAAATGGATAAGTTAGCACTGCACTGTGATAATATACTGCCTACATGTGGCAAATTAATGTTAAATAATTAGAATGGAAAATAGTTCCTCAGTCACACTGGCCACATGTAGCTAGCTGGTTGGGACATTCGTGTTCCCGACACCAAGAAGCTCTGTTGTACAGCACTGTAGGAAGGAACTGAACTGCTCTGGACATGTTCTGACTGCAAACCTGCCTATAGAGTCCTTTGTTTTTATTTTAATTATTGATTTGAGAGATAAACACTGATGAGACACATCGATTATCTGCCTCCTGCCTACCCCCTACTGAGGATCAAGTCCACAACCTGAGCAATGTGCCCTGACCTGGAATCCAACCTGCAGCCTCTTGGTTGATAGGTTGATGTTCAGCCACTGAGCCACACCAGCCAGGCACTTCATTAGAGCTCTTGATGGAATCTTTTCTACGTTCTCTCCTGGGGCTACGAGGGTCAGGGTGGTGTTCCATCCTGATAAGGAACAGGCAGTGTACTTCCCGTTTGGAAAGACCTCTTATGGAGGACACTGCCCAGCTTGCTGAAGGCGCCCTCCCAGCTTGTGTGGGACATACCGTGTTAGCACCAGAGTCACACTGAGACATTTTATTTTCATATCGTGAGCATCTTTTAAGGATGAAGAGTTGTGTTTTCTGTCAATTTACATGCCCGATGAAATCGTCCTTCTGAGGGCCAGAATGAAGTTGGAAAGTTGCTTTTCCCTTTCTGTTGTCATTGAATCCTTCCATTCCAGAGTTGTCTGATTAAGGGTTAGATTCGGTAAGTAGTTGCTAGCTGACCCTTGATAATTATGAACATCTGTTTCACATCTAAAATCATGAAATAAGAACTCAGGGAAAAAGTCAAATGTTATAAATTTATTTGGGACTTCTATCGACACCTCTTCGGAAGCCTTTGAAAACTCAAGCAGAAATCAGTACACTTTTTGTCACTTTCAATAAATAATATCTTTGTGTGTATATATATTTATAGATAGATAGCTATACTTAATGAGTTATTTATCAGGATTTTTAAGTTTTATACTGCATTAATTCCAAAACAGCTTTTTCCAGGTTGGTAGGATGCAAATGAGGTCAGAGTGAAGGCAACCCTAAAAGGCATGCAAATGTAGTACATTTCTATTCACCGGTAAGACAAGCTCTTGTGTGTGGACCACATGGAAGAATCAAGAATCCCTGTGTGTGTCTGTCCAGTACTATTTTACAGGAAAACGGTGACACGGCTTATAATTAAGTTACATTACCATAGGGGGGCGGTGAGGGGATTCTCAGTGCTACTGACATGTAATCAAGGAGACAAGCATTAGCAGAACATGAATGAGAAGACTCTTTGCTGCACATTTCCGGCCAGGCTTTGGAGAAGGAGGGCTGGTTGTGAAACAACATTACACATATCACATCGTGGCAGGTGGTTTTATAATATACGCTTTTTAAAATTCATTAGCAAATGACATTCTCATGCACACGAGTGTTTCAAACACAAGAAGCAAGTCCATGTATAGGTAGTCCAAGCAATGTGTGTGTGTGTGTGTGTGTGTGTGTGTGTGTATGTAAGAGAGAGCTGCAGATTGAATGGAACATTGAAACGAATGCAGTCCATAGCGCTGACCTCAGCTCATTTCTGAATGTCGCACTGCAGAAGTAGGACAATGGAAGGGTCGCTCTTGGCCGCCTCTTTGAATTCATCCAGTGTGATCTGGTCGTCTTTGTTCTTATCCATCTTGCTGAAAATCTTGTCTACCCGCTGCTCAGGAGTAAGGCCGTCCTCATTCATCTTCATCATGATCACAGTGCCCACCATTTTGTAGATAGCCTGCAGAAAACAAGAAGCGGACCAGAAGGTTCCATGGTAGGATCAGCCACTCCAGTTTATCCCAAAGACCTCTTTAAGTGCTTTAAATAGCAGAGTGAAATACTCAGGTGTGAGTCTCAGGACCACCTGGGGAGAGAAGAGGTTTCTGGCTGGAGGAAATGGGCAGGAAGAGCAGCTCAGTGGTGAGCTCAAGAACCGTGGGTTGGGGTCAGTCAGGGAGGAAGATGATGCTTCTGTTTTAAACAGAGTTTGAAGTGTAGGTGAAATGGGAAAACATGAAATGTGGTTCCAACTGATAAAGGAACTTGCAGTCGCTTAAGACAATCACACAACATGGACCACTACCAGTTAGTCCTGAGAGAAGTCAGTGTGAGAACTGCGGACTGGGGACTGTATGTATAAGTTAAAGCTAGAGCAACCAGACTCCAATTGTTCCATTCGTCACACACAGTTCTCAAGGGGGCAGTTTCCTCGCTAGAAACAATGTTTTTCTCAGAAAAATGTCTTAAAGAAATAAATCTACCAGTACCCAAAGACTTGAAGGTCGTAGCCAAAAAGTGGAAGCAATTGGTAAACAGATGAACACATGTGACATTTTATATAACTGAATACTATTTTAGCATTAAAAATGAATGTGATAAATCCTACAACAGATAAAAAGGAAGCCACAGCCAGAAGGCCATGTGCTTACAGTGTTTGCTTCAGTGACGTGACATGTGCAGAAGGACAGTATTTTACTGAGCCGGGAAGTGGCAACAGGAGGACAAAGAGACCTTACTCATGGGGAGGAGGAGGATGACCACGTGAAATTGGATTAAGGCAATGGCTGTGCAGTTTGCTACGTTTACTAAAACCCATTTAATTGTGCCGTCAAAGTGGGAGAAATTATGGTCCATAAATTATGACTCAATCGAGTCTTTGCAATGCCCATTGGAGGAGCTGGGTGGCATCTTCTGCCCACGGGGAGGCTGGTTGGGGAAGAGGGCGAGTCCAGCAGAGCAGAGCTGAGCCTGGCCAGTGGGGAAAGGGTCCTGGTAACATCCTCATCCTCCGCACCCATAGGTCCTGTTGTGTAAGCACAGAGTGTGCGGGCTGGTTCATGCCACCTCAGTGGGCAGTGCCAGCTGCTGGGTCTGGGCTTTCCTGCCCTGCGCTGGAGGGGGAATGGGGTAGGAGAATCCAGCCTAGGTGTCACTATCAGTGCCCTGGGAGAAGGGGCCGCGGTAGACCTATGCCTAAGGAAGGGGCTCTGCCCTGTGCCCGCAGCCCGGCCGCCCGAGGGCCGCTCACCTCGATGATCTCTAGCATCTCCACGCGCGTGATCTTGCCGTCGCCGTCCAGGTCGTACATGTTGAAGGCCCAGTTGAGCTTCTGCTCGAAGCTGCCCCGGGACGTGATGGACAGCGCGCAGATGAACTCCCGGAAGTCGATGGTGCCGTCGCCGTTCTTGTCGAAGGTGCGGAAGGCGTGCTGGGCGAACTTGGAGGCGTCCCCGTAGGGGAAGAACTGCAAAGCGGACAGACGCGGTCAGGGGGCGGTCAGGGGGAGACCCAGCCCTTCCAGCAGAGGCCGAGCCCCTCCAGACAGACAGGCCGCAGCACCCGGTGGTCTCAGAGGGGCTCCCCTGTCTGAGCAGCAGCCTGGCCCCCAGCTCAAGGCCAAGGGCGCTGGCACAGGGAGGGCTGTCTGCGGTGACCTCCCTCGCAAGCACCTCGGTGCCTCCCTGGGCCAGGCTGGCGGGCCCTGAATGGGGGGAGCCAGCACCCCTCAGCTACGGCCTCTCCGGTCACTCCACATGGACAGGAACTGGGCAGGTGGCAGCCTCTCTCCACGCAGGGGGGGGGGGGGCGGGTTCTGCATGGATGTCCACTTTCCCCTCCGTGAGAACACCTGGTCCCTGCCCCTGAGCCCAGCCAGGTTGCCCAGACCTGCTCTCTCCGCCGCTGGCTCCCTCCCCAGTTGTCCTCTCTGATGAGGCCCCAGCGTCCCGCCGCCTCTTACAGGGCCTCCTCCTTGGTAGAACAGACATGTAAACGCCATTAAAGACACAGCATGCCTGGGCTTACTTTTGAGAGACAGAAAGAGGTACTTCTCAGAGCCACCCGTTGGCCAGGGTGCTGCGGGAGAGGATGGGCACTAGGAGAAGGAAGCACAGACCCGGAGCGGCCAGGCGGGCAGAAGCCTCAGCCTGAACGTGAGTCTCCGCCCTCACAAAGGGCAGGGCATCTGACACCTGACCCTCTGCCTGGCCCGGCAAAGCTGAAGGACATTGTCCGGGTGGAGGGGAGAAAAGAGGCAAATGAACCTCAAACTCCCCCCCACCCCCCCAAATAACCCGTTCTATTTAAAAACAGAAAAGGTATGTATGCATTTCTGGATGAATAAACCCAGCAAACACAAAGCATGTTCTTGAGGATATGTTCTGCAAGTGTTACCACCTGCTGGCGGGACAGGGGGCTGGCTTCGTGCCCACCCGGGCCGTCTCCCTTTGGGAACCTCGGTTTCTCTCTGTCCATCCTGACCTGGGACCCGCTGCCCACTCTTCCTACACCTAGAAGCACAATGGGAGGCAGAGCATTTCCCTCCGGAGATGAAAGATGCTTTTCCACGTCAGGACCCCTGACCTGAGGCCCAGAGAAGGGACCAGCCTTGCTGGGGGACGGGGA